TAATATCTTATTCATAAAAAATAATATCTTGAAATTTTAAAATGTGTGTAAAAGATTAAAGATAAATTATTTTAAATCTGAAGAGATAGTTTTTAGCAACATTTATTATAACTTGAATTTGAATGTAGATAGGAATAGTCACCCAGCTTATTTTTTTACAGCAAAAAAGTTACATAACTTTTTTTTTCTAAAATAAATGTAAAATTAAATTAATTTAAAAAACCGTTTTTACAAAAACTATGACTGTTACTGAGAAGTGAGAATGAGAGAAGAACTTTCGTGTGAAAAATTAAAAACCTTGAAAGCCAGATCTAAAATCTTTTATCATATTTGAAATCAGTCTATGTCAAACTTGTTTATCAACTCTCTTTGCCATTGGTTTCAATGGAGTAGAAGGTTTACTGTGTCTCCTGCCATTTCTTTCCTTCCATATGAAATAAATTGTGTTATGGAACACATATTGAAGGAGGTCAAGAGATATATTAGCTTGATATTCATCTAACTAATGCGTTGAGAAAACTCACCCATTATGTCGTGCGATGCACGTCAAGAAAATTTGAAGTGAGCTCCTGCCATACATTTGCAGACCAACAATAAGCAAAAAAGAGATAAGTTCTTGTTTCAATATGTTCTTGGCAGAACACACATGAAACTTTCGCTCATGTGTTCCACTATATCATCCTGCCCCCTGTAGATAAACGACTGAGTGTTGCAAACCAGACGATGAATAAAAACTTTGGTGTTGCGTGTTGTAACCAAATCGCTTTATACAATTCTTTGATTGGGTGTGCTATCCGAACAAGTTTTCAAGTGTTTTTTTAGCTAAACTTGGCTTTGTACTGACCTTATCTGCTTTCCAGGATACTACATCTTTCTTCTGATACATTTCTTTATGCTGCTGGTCAACTATGACATTCTCAATTTGATTGAAGATGTCTACTCGATAGCGTCTTCTCTGATGGGAGGACAAGATTGTTGCGACTGTTGTATTGATTAGAATGTCCATATCCATATTATTTTTCGAGACTGTCAGGTTGTGGATTCTTCCTAAAAATGTCCAGTCATCATACCAGAGGTACTTTAGTAGCCTTCCATGTTCAGGAGCCAAGAGAGGAGAACTCTTTTACTGACCAAAAGAAGCTTTCACGAATGAAGAATCTCCTAATCCAATTAACCCATAACGAGGAGTGTGCAGACAGTATTCTCTAGATTAACTTTAAACAGCTCACCTTATTTGTTTCAGCAAATGATTTCAGTCTTAGACCACCTTCTTCTTTAGATTGATAAACATTCTTTCATGCAACTTTTGCCTTCTTTACATTCAAATCAGGACCTGACCAGAGAAGCGTAGAACAAAGCTTACCTATCTCCTTTATACAAATTTTAGATAGATTAAAAACTAAAAGTCACATAACTTATATTAATCATAAATTAAATTTTGATCATTTTATTGATTTTTTTATTTATTTCATAATTGAGAATTTAATAAATATTTATTACATATCTTTCCCAGAAAAAAAGAATCCATATTATTTTATATATATGAGTTTATCTTTTTACTTTTTTGCTCATAAAAATTGATAAATTACCAATTAAGTTTGACTGATGCAATGCAACTTCAAGTCATAGTGAGCCAAAGATATATTGGGCTAAAATAAATTGTCTTTTGAGTTACAATTATTTTGATTTCGCAATTGAGATTTTAATAAATATTTATTACATATCCTTCACAGGATAAAAATTCATATTATTTTATATATATGAGTTTATCCTTTACTTATTTCGGTCTAAATTGATGAATTAACAATTAAGTGTCACTGTCCACTGATGCAATGATGCAATGCAACTTTAAGTCATAGTGAACAAACTTACATAAGATAGATTGGGCTAAAATAAATTGTCTATTGAGTTACAATTATTTTGATCCACAAAAGTTGGCTAATGGACGCCCACTAAAGATTAGAAATGGGCCCTTAAGAAATTTAAGTTTTCAAAAACGTGGAATTCGCCGGTTAAGATTATTTACTTCTTGAGTGCTAACTCAACACCACAAGACTTCAGTATCATCAAATTCATTGGAAAACACTGTTCATAAAGAACAAGTATACATTAACAATAAGTGTCTAGGATCCCAAAGGGGAATGGATGGTCAATTTTGGGTTTAGGTTCTCGTTAAATAAAATTTATCTGATATGAAAAAACTATTTTTATTTTATTATTATTTGTTTTTACTTGTGGTTTTATGAAAAAACCGTTCCTTTTTTTCCTATTTTAGCCTCTTTTATACAGTTTTGAAAACTTTGCTTTCATGAAAACAATTAGGTAAGTTCATAACATAATATCAATGGCCGTCAAATTGTCCGTCTTCCAAAACTTCTCAATGCCCTCGTGGGGAGCATTGATTGGTTTGCCTTCCATATAATAAATTTCATTTGGCTCGGTCTCACCTACTATATTTTTTGATTAAACATGTAATGATTACGTTCTTTGCATATTAGTAACATACTGTATATTGCTTCTCCCTAATTTATACATTGTATGCTTCCGTTCTATGTATTATTAAGTCACGAGAAAGAAAATGGATTGTTGACACTTTAGCTTTTAGATGCTTTTAAAACCCATATATTTGGCATGATCATTATCACAAAATTTTAAACTATTATGGCATATTCTCTTAAATGTAACATGAAATTTCAATAGTGGTTACAACTTATTATGGTAAATATATTTTGTTGAAGTACTTTGCAATATGTAGGATACAGCTTCGTTTACAAAAGCCGGCTGTCAAAGTTCGGATATTGTTGAAGTACTTCTGTACTTCATCTATCTTATCTTATATTCGTTCAGGCTTTGTAGTAAAAACTTCAGATGTGTACTTTGCAATATCTTTAAGGCTAGAAATAAAATATTTGTTTGGACAGCAGCATGTACGATTTTCACTATAAAACTTGTGGAAGACCTAATCAAAACCACCCATTTTGCCCTTGGAAACAGCCAAAAGCTGTTTAGAATAAAATCGAGAGTCCTTGTGGTATTTTCTTTAAAGAAACATTGCACAAATTTGAAATTTGTCAGTTTATTGCATCTGATTTTTTTTATAGAAAAATTAGTAGTACATAATATAATGTTTTGTGGTTATTTATTTTATAATAACAACTTTTTATCTTATATATTGAATAATGTTTTATAAAAAAATTAGATATGATATATTTCTTAGATTCTAGTTTTTAACCAAAAACTTTATACATGTAGAATTTAACTAAAAGTAAACTTTAACTAAACTAGTATTTCCGCTTCATAGTAAATATTATCGTAAACAACTTTTTTATCATATATTTTTATGTAGATTTTAAAACATATTTTGTATATGTTATTTTAAGTTATTGAATGAATAAATAAATTGAAAAATGTATTAAAGAAAGGTGTATAAAACTCCTAAAACAACACTTATGATAAAACGAAAATAGTATATTCCTCTTTCAAGTTTAAGAGAAAATGATTTACGCTTCTAACATTATTGTTTCACGATGCATTAGCTAGGTTATCTAACAATTCACTATAAATTATTTTTACCTAAAAAGGAAACTTCGCTTCTATTACTTTATCAACAATACTGATGATGGGGTAATAACACAGAGACTAGATATGTACGTCTGTAGTGTCTTTTATTTAAGTTGAATAAAGCGAGGGAGACAATTGTCTCGCCTGAATGTGACCCAAAAAAAAAAATACTGATCATAAGCATTAAAGTATATGAAGGCAACACATATATATGACATGTGTTATCATGGCATCATTACATAATGAAAAATAATAAGATAACGTGTATGTAGCTTCATATTTGTTTACAATTCTCTTTATGGAAAAAAAAAATTCTTTACGAAATACGAACACTTAAATTTTGCTTTGTTGTTGTTGCATAATAAAATTCGGCTTTATGTATTAACCATACTCCCTTATACCGAACTATATTACCTTAATGACAATTTAAACAAATTAATGTGTTGAAGTGAAAAACATAAACCCAAAGTTAAACTGCAATAGATTATACATATATATCATAAAATTCTTCCAAGAAAAAATAAATAAATAAAAGCCCTTATTCAAAAAATAAATAAATAAATAAATAAGGGCTTTGATATACTATATGATAAGGTGTTTTGGACAGCATCGTCGTGCAGACTGGTAATGGCCCTATCTCTCGTTCAGCTGTTACGTGTCAGAAGACGGTTGGTTTGGGTAGTAGCTGGTCAAGCTCACTAATTAGATCAGCAGAGACGATTTCTAAAGTTCTTTTAGTTACTGTTAATTGTTAAATACTCTTAATTTTTGTTTTTTTTAACTAAACATTCAATTTTATTGCTAATCTCGGAGTTCCCACCAAACGGATATCCACTAGATGCCTAAATTACAGGATTATCCTCGCTAGTCATCAATCTTTTGTGCACGAGGGATGTGTGCCACGTGGAGATTGACATTAGATTGCTTGAAATAAATATACTACTACTAATTTATTTTTTTCTTAGCCAAAAAAACAACAAGAAGTTGTATCAATTTATGAAATTTATAGCTCAAATCAAGGAAGAAGTGCATATAGCTTTGTAATATCTAACCATTTTTATATATGTTATTTTCTCACGACAAGTAAGAACTTATAAAATATACCATCATGGTCACATATTATAACAAGTAATTAAGCAAACCATTCATTTAATAAGCATACATTTAACTAAATATAATATGCCATCGTTATCGCACATTCACCGCCATATTTTTCAAAAAACAATTTACACATTCTTCAGTTGATTATATATTAAATCCTTTCTTTTTTCCTTTGGGTCGACAAGAGTTTATTATATATATCCTTACAAAATTATCCGTACGACATTATCTCGAAAAAACCAAAGTCTAGGGGCAATTTTGGAAATTCGGATAGTAGTGGCAGGATATATATAAGGTCTCCATGTCGTTATCTTTTGTAGTCAAAACATTTTAACCAACAGAAAATCAAAATCCGAAGCTAAAAACAGATTCACAATCAGATAACTGAAAGAAAAATAGAAAATATCAATACATATATATATACACGCATACACAAATTAAATCTGTTGCATAGATACTCATGGCGTTTGACGAAGATATGAAAATGGCGACTTTTCTAAGGGAAGAAGATGAAGAAGAAGAAGAACATCACTATTCGTTGTCGAGGCTCTCCGTCTGTTCCAACTACGACGGCGATGAAGCCGACGGCGAACCGTCTGATTCCGACGAAAAATTTGTCGGCGGAGGAGAGAAATCGATGGAGCAGCTAGAATTTTCGGATTCCGATAAAGGATCAACGGGATGTCAATCGCTTCCGGCGACGCCTCCGAGACGGAGACGGCAGCACGGAGGAGGAAGTTTGGCGGTGAGTTCTCCGGTTTCCGGAGATAAAGCTTACGCGAGCGAGAACGAGGCGCAGAAGGCGAAACAGGGGAATAACAATCAGAGGAGAAGGAGGAGGAAATTGAGACCGGAGTATCCACCGTGGGTCGATAGTATGCGGAGGAGCTACTTCGATGAACATAGCGGTTGCGGCGGAGGAGTGGTGGTGGTGACGAGGCCGATAGGAGGAGGAAGGCCATTGTGTATGGATTTAGGGGAAGTCAAAGCTTGTAAGGATTTAGGATTTGAGCTTGAACCGGGTCGGGTTTCGTATTCCGGTTCAACCATGGATACTAGTAGTGGCGGCAATTCTCCCATTTCTTCTAACCACCGTATTTCCGGTCCCGGTTAGTCCCAATTGCAAACTTTTTTAAAAGAAATATGATTTACTTAAATTGATTTTTATAAAAACTAAACATTTGATTTAATCTGGTTTTTTTCAGGTGATGATCCCAAAGAGGTGAAAGCGAGGCTGAAGGCTTGGGCTCAGGCTGTGGCTTTTGTATCTACCAATCATCATCAACCTCCTAATTCTTTATGATCACTCAAAAAAAATAAAACACTTTTCCAATTCCAAAAAAGAAAAAAAAAAAATACTTGCATGCATTTTCGAGTTGGGTTTTGAAAAATTATTTTTTGGGTTTCTGATTTTCGTAATTTTTCACAAATCTTCTTCTGTTTTTGTGTGTCGATGAGAGATTTGGCAATTTGATATGTTGGTCAATAAGCCAAATGTATAGAGTTTGTTGATTGATTTACTCCAGCATTGTGTAATATTCAACACTTTACATTATTATTATATCTAGAACTTAGAAGTAACATTTTTTTATTAATGCTATAAATTAAACTCAACGGCGTGTTTACCAAAACAAGAATCGTTTTTTACTCCCATTAATGGGAAGAAAAAAAAAAGAATCGTCTTGTGTATGAAAAGAGCTACGAAGAACCTGATCTTGTAGTAGCGACAACCACCGGCTCTTGAGGCTCATCATCGAACTGATACTTGTCGTAAACTTGGAGCAAGAGATCACGGCAACGCACGGTGGCTCCAAGCTTGATACAAGCCAAGAAAGCGCCGGATAGTTTACGGTGAAGGCTGTAGGCTTCGTCAGGAGGTGGCGTGAGTCTATGCTTCAACATGGTTGCTCCTAGATTGGAGATGCTAGAAGTAATGTTGTTGGTTCGAAAAGCGTAGCCACCCGGTTCAGCAAAAGGTAGACCCACGATGAAACCGGCTTGGACATGAGCGTCAAGCATCACGTCCGATTCATCTCCGGTCAAGAACCCGAGTCTCCTCGACATCTCAATCACTCCTTTACTGTCTTTATCCGCACATGCCATCACCTGAAGAAAAGGATCCACATAAGTTTGCTCTCAAGAATCAAGATTCCAGAAGATAGTTATGTGCATACCATTCGTAGATAGTCATCGACGAATTTCTTAGGGTAATCACGAGCTGCTCCGAAATCGATAAGGTTGATTGTTTTTGTGGCTTCGTCGTATAAGAAGTTGCCCCAGTTTGGATCCGTCTGCATGAAGCGGAACACAAAGAGCTCCTTCAATGTGAGTTCGAGCATCTTCATCCCAACATAATCTCGTGTTTTCTGATCTAACAATGCCACTTTATCGATGGGGATCCCTGTTGAGAGCACGGTTCAGCTCACTGTTCACCACATAGCATATTATACATAAACGGAACAGAGTAAAGAGGAAATTGCAGTTTACCAGAAATAAGTTCTGTGGTTAGAACTTTTTTGCTTGAAACCTCATCAACCACACGTGGAACGTAAAACCCTGGAGTATCTGAAAGCAACTCACGAAAGTGCTTTTGACTCACTGCTTCTATTTCATAGTCACACTCCCGTGCCAACTCTTCTTTCGCAACCTGCAAAAAAACAACTTTGTCATGAATCTCAAGACACAGAAAAACTGATCTATTGCATATCTTACATATACAATCATGTTCTCAGGAAGAGGAGAGTGAATCAATCCAGAAAGATAACAATTTACCTTAACAGCTCTGTCCAGAAAGAGTCCTTTAGGGATTAGATTCGTATAATTTAACAAGCGTCTGACGTTTTCGATATCACTCTCAATACTGTTGGCAACTCCAGGGTACTGAATCTTCATTGCCACTTCTAATCCATCTTTAGTGACAGCTCGATGCACCTGAAACAATTCAACACATTCACAACGACGAAAAAGCATTCTTCGATGGAAAGCGGTTCATGAACTTGGGTTCAGTACCTGACCGATACTCGCTGCAGCGAGCGGTTCATAATCAAAACTAGCCAGCTTCGACTGCCAATCAGAACCTAACTCAGCATCCAAAACCGGATTAAGTTGGCTCCTTGGCATCACATCTGCACCTTGCCGCACATATTCCAGAGCATTCAAGATCTAGAAAAGAACCTACTTTACGTCAAACAGGATATATATATATATATATCAAACTGCACATTGCAATGGCCTGATCTAGAAACTTGGGAAGAAGAAGAATGGTATGTACCGGAGCAGGAACAAGACTCTCGTCCTGTATACTCAACATCTGCCCAACTTTGAGTGCAGCTCCACGCATTTCACACAGTCCAAGAGCCAACCTCTCTGCGTTTTCCTTTGACAATATAGACGAGAGCGCAGGCTGATTGTCTTGTGTGGTTGGTGTCCCATTTACTAACCTATAGGTCGATTCTTTAACAGCTCCCCAAGCAAGACCAGCTCCAAGATTGAAAAACCTTCACAGGTCACACAAATTTTCAATTTTTCACAAACACAAGCTCTTGCCATTGGAGTTAATCCAATCTAACTATGCAATCAGGTTGATAGATTCCAATAGGAGCACATACCCAAAAGCTCTTGCCATTGGAGTTGATCTAATCTAACTAAGCAAACAGGTGAATGATGATTCCAATAGGAGCACATACCCAAAAGCTCTTGCCACTGGAGTTGATGGAACCTTCCGTTCTCTAGGCCTCCGTCTCTTCACCGGAGCTACCTCCAACGGAGATGTTGCTACGGCAGCTCCAGCTCCGATGTTCCCGTCGTCTTCACCGCCTGAAACCTTGGTCTCGACTTCTCTGTTTGAACTCTTGGCTTCACTGATAGATTCACTTCTCAGGAGTTGCGAGTCAACCATTTGCTCATGAACACCGTTGCTTTCGACGGAGGTAGGTTTTGCGATAGCAGATCCAATCCCAGGCGCGACAGGGGGATCAGCGACGTGGCTCGAGCCGTCGTGCTTGTTGTCTTCATTGTCGAAGTACACGACGGATGGTTCCTTAGATCGACGAATCGACAGCTCTCGGAGCTTCCCGGAGGTGAGTCCGACCAAGTCGGTGGCGGCAACCAAGGCCTTTTTCCCCGAAGACGTGATTAGGCCTTCGAGATCTCCATTTCTCGCTCTCTGTAGCTCCGGAGACTTATTATAGATCTCCTTCGCCACAAGCGAAAGACCATTGACGAGCCTGCTTAGATGCTTCCACGAACTCATCACTGATCAACGGCGGCGCGTGCAAAGTTCGCTAATCGTGAGTTTGCCTTCTCGTTAGGATTTTCTGTTGCATAGTATTCCTCTTTTTCGTTTGCTTTGGCTTTTTCTTTCGATTTTCCTTTTTCAGTATTTGGTTTGAATCATTGGAGATTTTTCCGAGAAAATTTATAAATATGTGTGTTCCTGCGTTAGAACACGAAGGTCGGAGACGAAGAACCGAGGTTTACGTGGGGATACGACAACCAGAAACTCGTCTTTGAATATTCTAGTTTCGGCCCAACTAACCCTTTATTCACTATCACCATATAAGGCCCATTGGGCCATTAAATTCGCAGGTCTTCCACGTTAGCTTCTTTACTATTTTCCTACCATTGACATTTTTTGTCAATTTCTCATCTACCTTCGTTCCTCTTTTCCATTGGTTCTTTCATTCATTTTACTCTGGTTCACCAATTGAAATAAAATTTCGTTTTTGTTTTTTAACGTAAATCTAGGTTTCTGATGTATTAATATAGTTTTGTTATGTCAGGTAAAAAGTTGAAAACATACTACTGTATAAATGACTGCTTTAAATCAACAGTAGAAAACCAATAATAATTGAATATGCTAGCTAGCTAAGATGTAATTTAAACTTATATGCCCAAGTACAATGCACCTCCACTCATAAAGTTACATGATCAAAAAATTATATAATACATACAAATTATATAATAATATAAGTAAGATCCAACAATAGGTGAACATCATTTTTGAAAATATTAGTTTCTCTAACCCAATCCTTTTGTTTTTTTCTCAAACGTTAATAAATGATTTTTCTTTTTACTTTATTTTTCGTTGTTATAAGAATGTAAGTTATTTATTATTATAACCATCTTATGGTACGAACAATTTTCGAATATTAAATTGGTCTAGCCATTCAGATTCGTCAGGACGGTAGGCAGTGTAATTTTTCGGATTGATTGAGAAATATGCTATAGTTGGCATCTACCTACAGGTCTTCATCATTTGTCTAATATAATAGTATATAAATCAAAATCTATTTCAACTAAGAATATGTTAAGTCTTGAGATCTTCAAAAACATCAGAGAGGTTTGACAACAAGACGTAGAGAAAATGTCCATTAGAGCTCAAGAACATCAAATCGTTGAAGGTATATTGATGCAATCTTTTTCTTTTTAATAAGCTTTCTGTTCTAAGTTTCTTTTTTTTTTTGAATCCGTTTTGCATCTCTGGTTAAACTTTTGCTCCTCTCTTCAAGATCCTGAGATCCAAATTAATAATTTTTTACTCTCTTGCTTATGTTCTATTTCTCGAAAGGTTTTTGCTATATAAGATAAGATCGGGGTTGGTTTTATTGATCATATAATATAATATATCATATACATAGTATAGACTTTTGTTTAGGTGAATATATTTTGTTGCTCTTTTATCAGAATTCCATTAATGATGTTTATGAAGATCACAAGTTCATCCAACTTCGTAATTATCAATCCAAAAGCAGAGCCAATAGGTTTCCCCAAAACCTCATTTGGATCTAGAAATAAATATTTTAAAGTCTTTTATATAATAATGCCAAATACTACAGAGTCAAAGCGAATACAATTTTAGTGAAAATACTTTAATATTTGTCGGTAATTTCACTTAATTTATAACTTAGATTAGGACATTCGCAATGTGCTAAATTTTTGCTAACTAGACTAGAGAAAGTTGAAATGAGGAGAAAATGGGAAGTATAAGGATAGTTTTTGGTTTGACTTAGCTAAGTAAAGGAGTTAAAGTTCATTGCCACATTTAGTATTTTCACTCGAAATACTATAAGTTAAACATATACTTTATGTAAGCCCATTTTGAGTATAAGAATATTAAGAGGCCCAAATGAAAAAGCCTATAGTTCATAGCAAGCCTGCTTTTAGACGCCTTTCCAGATCTAGAAACAATGCAGTCTTCTCCAATCTTATTAGATTTCTCCTCGGCCTTTCGTCACCCACGCGCCGCCGCAGTGGCCACCACCTCCTCCTCCTCCGCCGTGTCAATTTCACATCCCCAGACGAGAAAATTTCACTCTAGCAACGTATCGTTATCCTCTTTTTCTCATTCGTCGACATTACTGCTAGCTTCTTCTCCCCGTAGATGTTTCTCGTGCCGATTTGGGGACGGTTCTCCGCGGTTCGATTCGAGCGACGATGATTATCGTAGCGAGGATGATACTGAAATCGATGAGGATGATTATATGGTTGATTGCTTGACAGATGGGAAGACGGAGGATTTGGTAGGCGACGATGGGGTTCTCATCGTGCTGAAGAAACTCGAGAAGAGCTCGCGGCGAATCAGTTCGAAGATTGGGATGGAAGCGAGCCTGGATTCCGTTTGGAGCGTATTGACTGATTACGAGAAGCTATCGGATTTCATCCCGGGCCTCGTCGTCAGCGAATTGGTCGAGAAGGAAGGGAATCGTGTTCGCGTCTTCCAGGTTTTTGCTGCTCTCAATACCATTTCTTTTCGATTTATCAAGTCATAAATGCATCTGTTTAGGTTCAAATTCCAGGTAGTAGAGCTTGAATTCGCCATGTTCTTGTTAAAAATAGTGATACTTTGCTGTTACTTGCTATGTTTTTAGCTGCTGAGCTTTGGTTTGAATGCATTTCGTATTGGCTCTTGGTTGGATTCAAATTTTGGAAACTTTCTGAATCTTTTAGTATTTTCGTATGGGCATTGAGTGGTTTCTTGGAGCTGTGATGATGTTGGACACAAGTCACACAACGAGATCTCTCTCATTGCTATGATGCTGAGCTTTGGTTTTGATGCATTTCGTATTGGCTCTTGGTTGGGTTCAAATTTGGAAACTTTTTGAATCTTTGAGTGGTTACTTGGAGCTGTGATGATGATGGAGACAAGTCACACAACGAGATCTCTCACATTCTCTGCATTGCGTTTCTTTCAAAACAGATGGGACAGCAGAACTTAGCACTGGGTCTTAAATTCAATGCCAAAGCTGTTCTTGATTGTTTCGAGAAGGAGCTTGAGATTCTGCCTCATGGGAGGAGACGCGAAATCGACTTTAAGATGGTCGAAGGCGATTTCCAGTTGTTTGAAGGCAAATGGTCCATCGAGCAAGTAAATATGAAATCCTCCTTTGTTAGAAACGAAACACTTTCCTCAGAGCTTGTTTTTTGATTCCTCTCTGTGGTTTTTTTTCTTCTTCCCTTACACAGTTCGACAAAGGGATTCAAGGAGAGGAGGCTTTGGATATACAGTTTAAAGATTTTCGAACGACGCTTGCGTACACGGTGGATGTAAAACCAAAGATGTGGTTACCGGTACGGTTAGTTGAAGGAAGATTGTGCAAAGAGATCAAAACAAATCTCTTGAGTATTCGAGATGCAGCTCAGAAAGTCATTGAAGGTGTTATTCATGATCTTTGAGTTTTTCTTTTTCTTTCTCCTAAGCCATGTTGAAGCAGTCTTCTGCAGGTAGATAGTCACAGTAAAGCCTATATATACAGTAATTTTGTTTTTTCCATGAAATTTAAAAGCTTTTTATACATGTTTTTCTCAGTTGTATATTATATCAAGTCTTTAAATATACTAGTTTTTCTGCGACAAGATTTTACTAAAAATTTGTAATAAACCGGAAGTATTAGGTAAATAGTTAATTAAAGGAAGTATTAGGTCACTACGCAATAACAGAAAATTTAGGGTAAATAAGAAAGAACAGGAAACTACAGATGACCTAAAGGAAAGTTCTCAACTTCAGATGAACAACACGTTATGATTAGTCAGCACCATATAATTGGATCAAATGATTTATTAAGATTAAGGTGAGATTAAGATGTCTCAGAAGGGATCAAAATTAGTTTATAACGAGTGAGTTGCAGCAGAAAGCAGAGGCAGAGAGAAAGTTAAAATAAGATGTACTGTTCTGTTTTTTGTTACTTCAAAACAGGATGCTCTGTTTTTTTATGGTCGAGTGAACCTTGGAAGTGTAAGTTGTTTGAGATTATCCTTAATATATAGTAAACATTATCTTCCTTAAATGTACAATTACAATCATCACTGCTTGAGCCTTCCCCAGATTATAAACTCTCTGGAAGCAAGACTATAATACAGCTCCAAAACAAGAAGCTTATCGCAGACGATGATGATGCAACAAAGGGAACAAAAAAACCCAGTGAATAGTAAATACACAAGATACAAAAAAAAGAAGAAGATGGAGTAAAACCATAAACCCGGATCATCATCATTATTATGATTAGGATCAGAAGTTGATGTTGCTCTTGAAGCTCTGACCAAACCGCCAGTTCGAAGGAACAACGTTGAGAGCTGCTTTGATTCTTCCATTGCTGAGTTGAACTCTGAAAGATAGAGATTGACCATTAAGATAAGTATTACTCTGAAAATTAGCTCCCCAGTTTCTTGACATTGTCTCCCATTTGTTGCTCTTAGAACCTTTGATCCAAACTTTTGAGATCTCACCGGCTCCTCCAACGTTTGAGATTAGGACTAGCTCGAAATAGTTCCTACCGTTCATCGTGAATCTCATCCCTCCGCTTCTTCTGCATCCAACCCTATAACAAGAAGAAGAAGAAGAAGAACCCTTTAAGCATACACTACTTTGAGACATTCTTGATCAATACTAATACATTTGTAACTTTTTTGTTACCTTTTGTAGAGGATGGGGACGATTCCAGCTTTGTACTTAGCGATGGTGAGAAAGGCAGGCTGAGCCATGTCGAAGTGAGGTCTTGGTGGGTTGCACCATCCTCCATTGTCGCTCGCCTGAGCAAAGTTTGGTGGACAAAAGTTTGTGGCTGTGATTGTGATTGATCTTCCTCTAAGACACCATTGTGGCACTTTGGTTGCGTCGCACACAATCTGGTAGCATCCACCGCATGACTTGCCGTCGTTGAACAGTGCCGTGCTTAACGCCGCGGTGTTCGTCTTGTAACCGTCCGTGTATAGGTTTCCATAACCACAAGCTCCTCCTGAAGAAAGACAACAGAAAATTCAAATCTTTGAGAAGGTTTCTTGATGAAGAAGAAACGTTTATTTTTCTGACCAAAACTAGAACCAAAATTGTTGTCTGATTCATACCGAACAAACCATACGGTCCGAACCTAAACTTTACCGAAACTAAATTTTGTGAGACTATGTACTTGGAAGTGAAAATATGTATCGAGAGATTCATGAAAATAAATTTATTTGTATTAGATAAAAGAATATATAAGCTATTTTTTCTTTATGTATTTTCTTACTGAAACCAAACCGAGAGATTCTTATTCTAGTTTGGTTTATGTTTCTCCAAATGTCAATCCCTAGTTTGGAAAACTTACCCATTGTGCCAGAAGCATCACTTCCGCCATAGAAGGTCGCATGAGCTCGTAACCACCCTGCAGAAACGGACCTGATCTTCATGAAGAACATTATGGAGAAGATAACTACGACTGAAAGAGAGATGATTTTCGTCATTTCTTATCGATTTTTAGGTGTTTAACTTTGATTATTTCTTTTGATTAAAGAAGCTAGAGAGGTTTATGATTATTGTGTTCGATGCATAAGACTTATAGGCTTCAGCAGCTTTTTATAGTGAAAATCACAGAGCTTGATTCAATTAAGATATATGGATATATTAATTAGATATGACTTGGAATTAGCGGAAAAACGTTGAAAATAATAATATGATTTGGTTATGATTGACCCAATGATTATAAGAGTGCGTAAAATACGGAGTATTCTAGCATGTGACTATAGGTAGTTGCTTTTGGTTTCTTACATGTATTGTAGACTTTGCTCTGTTTACATAAGTTTTAAATTCTTTTTTCTTGTCAACCAAGTTTTATAAAGGTTTTTTATTGATTGTTTAGCAGAATGGTATTACGGCGGTTAGTAGAAGACAAATATAATAGACTAGTGTGCAGCAAACTAATGGTTGATGCTTGAAAGTTGATTTTAAATCGAATAATTATCAAACTTTAACTATTTTTATGCTTTAAATAACTAAAATATTTAAAGTTAAAAAAAAACATAAGTAAAATATCCGCAAAAAAATGTAGCAGGAGACGTTCCACAACACAAAAGTTGAATGATCTTTTTCGCTTCTCGTGAATAATCAGCTAGAATTATTACATTATATTATATAGTTTATAGTTTTTGCCCCCAAAAATGTCTATAGTTATACACTTATACTATTACAATTTATTACATATATATAGACAAGTTGTCTTAACAATTGGTAATGAACGTATAATCCGAATACTTAATGGGGGTTTAGTTGAAAATTCAACGTACGACATCAACTGATAAGTGCTCCTCCATTTACGCAAATTCCGTGGTACGTTGCAAGTTGCCAACTTACGCTGATAAATAGATTATCTATGTATCAATTATTTTTTGTTAGTTTTCTTTTGTATACACTTTTCTTTGTTAATCCTTTATAACGGCTTTTTTGTTTGTTTGTTTGATTATCATGTTGCCAAAGGTTATGGATCTACTGCTTGAATAATGAATATGGATCTACTGCTTTGTGAAACTGTTTCGAATTTTCTTCATCTACATTCGATCATCTACAGATTGATATATACTCAATATTCTAAACATATTTCATTTGGATCTTCAATCTAGCCTTAAGATGGTGGAAGTCAAAAGTTTTATGTATAAGTACGTAAGATTATCAATTTATCACTCATGTAATATAAAATGTGATCTATACCCTAATATTATGGCATATCTAATGGTACGTCCACGTACTTATCACATGGGTGATGCGCTGATTCCATTTGATAAACTCACACATGGACCCACACCACTCTCCATTTCAATAATAGAATTTATATAATCAAGTAGTATTTATTTGACAATCGCACTAAGAGAAATTAAATAATAGGGAGAAAGAAAAGAAAAGTACCATGGTACAATACGTACGTAGCTATAATCTGTATATAATTTTGTATAACATTGTTGACAAATTTGTACGTTCGAAAGTCGAATCTTGAATGTATCAACTCGTAATACAAATACAATATTACGTCGTAGCCCCTCGTAGGGATCTTTAATCAATTTTGAGTTATTTATTTTAAGCCTTAATTTATTTGAGAAAATTGAAGAGAAGTAGAACGATGTTGATATGGGACTTCAGATAACCAACGGTTTGATATCAATCCAAAAAATATGATTGGATTGGGTTTTGGTTAGAGATTGGCTTGATTTCGTCGACGTCTATAAGAAATTCAAATTTGTTGGTGACATTTTGATACGACACTTTTTTTTTCGAAAATTCGATTGCTAAAATGAACAAATCATTAATCTTTTTGGATATCATAGAGACAATCAGTTTAAGTTATAAAAAGATAGGTTAAAAGATAAGTTATGAGAGAAGCTAAAAAACCCATACTTTATCTTTGCTTAGGTTGAATTTTTTTTATTTCTTTAACATTTTCAAGGACCCGAAACAACAAGAAGAAGTCAACAACAACATAATAGTAATATAACATGTATCTTACAGAACCGAACCAACCAAAAGATTATCTTAAACCGAACCAACCGAAAGATGATCTGATCCGGTAATAACCTTAAACACATTCTTGCTTGAAGGCAAACCACCCACTGGTTCATCTTCAATCCCACACTCATTTGTTCCTCTCCTAATCATGAAATAACCATCCTGCAAAATTTCATATATATACATGTCAAACATTCACATTAAAAAAAATTAAACCAATTCTGTAACTTTTCTTAAAAATAAATTACAAATAACACTTACATCACCCCAGCTTCTGTTCCACTGATTTGCCAACAACTACAAACAAAAAAAAACAGAAAAAGTTATAAATTTCGGTTTATTTTCAAAGAATTTTGAATATAACGCTCCAACATTTACCCAATAATCTTCTCCTTCATTGGTAGTTCCCCAACCAATAAGTTTAACAGCATGACCACCAATGTTAGAACCTGTTATGTGCTTGTACACTCCAGATTTGTAATGAGCAAAATCCTAATCAAAACAACCCATTAATGATCCATCTTTCTTTAACTTAATCAACAATCTAAAGATCTTGCTTTTCATTGTTTTTACCTCATAAACTGTAAAAGAGACTTCAACAGGTCCATTCTTATAAATCTCTGCCATGATGTCTTGTGGATTAGAATTAACAGTGTATGTACTAACACTGTAATGCTTAGATTCTCCCCATAACTGGTTTCCACTAACGCATTTCCTCAAACATGTCGGTGTGGGATATCCCGGTTCGCAACCCGGGTGAGAGCATCCGGTTTGATCAAAGTATGGATCACACTAATAAAACCAATCAAAAACCAATTCCAAATTTGAGGGTTTTAGTGACAAAATTAGTTTTTTGTTTACCTCTTCCGTGACAACACCGTGAAGTTTAAAGTATCGCCAAGCAGCAATTGGGTAGCCACCGTCACAACCATCACCACACATGAAGCCACAACATGCTAAGAGATCATTCACTGATAGAGAAATGTTCTGAGTTATACATAAAAAAAAAAAAAAAAAAACAGGATTAGTCTTTGGATTATTAGTCTTAAGTTGGTTTTCTGAATTGTTAATTAGTATATATTACCATTCCGAATTGGATACAGAATCTATCAGATAATGCTTCAACAGCACCAAATGCCCAACAAGAACCACAATGTCCCTAAAACCAAAAATCAAAAACCATAAATGTCATTTTTTTTCCTTCCAATAGATTGTTACAAGAATCACAAAGATTGAAACTTTACCTGATCTGTTAAGAGAGGAGTCATCAAGCAAACATACACAAAAGTCAAGAGTTAGTAACCGATAAACGAAACACAAATTGTTGAAAGAGAAAGCTAAAAAAAAAAGACCAAACCTAAGATGTTTCCGATACTGGTGCATTGTGGCCAAGCGGTTCTAGCGTCGAAGTCTTTAGGTAGCTTCAAAGATCGATCATGGCTTACAACAGGAACACCTAAGAAGTGCTTCTTTGGTGTTTGTTTAACCCCGAGAAGACGCTTAAACTCTGCAACCTGCAACAATAAAAGAGGCAGACAAAAAAGTTATTTTTGTAAGAAAGAAACTTTGTTGTTGCTCATACATATAACTACATAAGAGATCTTTACGGTTGCGTTTGAGAATCGATCATTTATAGCAGCTTTCCATCCAGCGTTTGGATTTTGGTTAACTTTCTTCACAATCTCTTCCTGTGGAAAATCAAAGTCTCGATTAGGGAGAAATCAGAAGATTAGTAAAAAAAAAATTAGCAATTTTATTAAAACAAAAAAGGATTCAAACCTGAAGTATCTTTGAGTTTAGCTTCTGTTTTGATAGATTTTCTGCTGTGGCAACCTGATTTAATTTAGACAAAACCCAGAATTTTGATTATAACCCAGAAAAGTATAGTCAAGAAAGTTTGGATCTTTCTTCTTTTTCATGTTCATCAGAATCATCGAAATTAGGTTAATTTGCTCAACATTAGAGCAATCGGTTAAACAAAACTGATCAGCCAAACTAAACTCCATATATACACAAATCAAACTTAGAGAAAACAAATAACAGAAGATTGTGAAAGCTACCTGCGAGAAGAAAGACGAGGAGGCAAGCCCCAAGAGCAAGAAAACAGAGACCAAACAGAGTTTGGTGGTCGGATTAGCCATTGAAGCTCTCTTCTTTCACTTTCAGTCTCTTCTCCTCTCGACCCCTTTGATGAATCCCAGAAAATCAAAAAATCTCGTTGCAGAAGTAACCTCACTAATGGGAGAATCTTCTTTTTATAATAGAGATAGAGAGAGAGAGTGGCTTATCTACTGAACAATGACAGAGACATTTCTTGGGAAACTGAATGAATTTTCTAAGAGCCAAAAAAGTTTGGGAAAAGAGATCTTAGCCGTTGATTGGTTCTCATCTACGGAAAACTAGGCGGTTCAAAGCTATACATGCTCGCCACGTTGCATCATTAGTCATTACATGTCGTTGGATTGGAGTTGGACCCTTAGTTACGAAATCGCATTAACCACTAGAAGCAAAATATCGGTTTGTAATCCATTTTAATTTGAGTTTTTTATTTTATGAAAATTAAATATCCATTTTTGATTTTGATACGGACAATACAGATAATTGTAATTTTATGGAGCAAGTAACTTTGAACAAACAAAAATGGAGCAAGTAACCAGTATTTACATAAAAGTTTTCAGAATTTGTATTCATAAAAATTAATACTAGAAAACAACTAAAATATATTAAAGTTTTACATTTTTGAAAAACAGCTCTTTTATTTTGCTGAGATTTTATTTTGCTATTATTTTTTGCTTATTTTTCTATTTTTCTAGAACAAATCGATATACAGATTTTTAACGGATAGACATAGAGTTGCAGTATGGATATATCATATATACATATCGTGAAAGTGTTTATCGATACAGAACACAATAGATCAGTCACGTATACCATACAATATCAAAATATCTGATAACACACTAATCTCTAATGACTCTAATAACAACCGTGATCAAGTCCATGACGACCCAAATTCTTACAAGTTATATATGAGTAGACAAAGAAAGATATGGGAATTGTATCATTTATATAATTAGTTTAGTGATAATAAAAGTTGTATAATTTGATTACATAGCATAATTACTATGGGAATTGAGGCGAGCTTTGTTGAGACAATTGAAAGCATCGACATAGGAGACGAAGCCCATGAACCAAAACTCAAACCCATCTTGCGTCACCACATGCACATACCTCTCGCTTGGCTTTAACACATTCGATGATGAATTAATGCTCCTTATCTTTTCCATCTCCATCACCACCTATCATTACATTATAATATCACATAACTAAGTAATCTTTGTTAGAAAAAAAATGCTTTATAACATAAGGTCTCCCTAAAACGCCTTATAAACGATTCTGTGGTGTTTGAAAATTGTAAATGTTGTAATATTTTTGGAAAACAAAACATTTCTGTATTAGACTGACCTTGTAATATGCCGGAACACCGCTTCCACCGGCGGAAGAAGGACGGCGGATGGCATAATCGCTACAGAAAGTGATCCTTCGATTCGAAATGTATAACATTCCGGTCACTGGTCCTGAAGTGGTTGATATGTAGCAAACGAACGAATCTAAGAGTTTCTCTGAGGCTAAGAGACCAAACTCTCTTTGAAACACCCTCTCTGGTCCTCCTTCAACGAACATTTTAGTGCCTTGAGCAAGCCTAGCCATTGCTGCATCACCTATGCTTGGACTAAACTTCACTGTTTATATATTTCCGGTCACATTAAAACACCGAGATATGTTTTAGTTTTTATTCATGGCATCGATTAAGAAGAAAACATATAAAAAATGTTCACGTACGGTGATCTTTTAAACCGTCGGCTAATGCTTCCGCCTTACGAGTCACCTCTTCCACTTTCTTCCCGCACCGATTCAACACCTCAAGAAACTTATCCTTCGACCCTATAGATCCCTCCAATTACCATAATATCAATCAAGATTTATAGTCTAGCATCATTAAGTAAAAGGTTTCTTTTTTCTTGATTAGAGATGCTTACGTAAAACACACGTTCGTATACATGGACATATACTTACTCTTATCAGAAGCCGATGTTGGAGTAGAAATTTGGACGTAAGGATTATTATTATTACGACCACCATGACCGTTGGTCTTGTGCTTAGCCGTCGAGTCTTTCTCGTTCACGGTCTTGTATTGTGGAACCATGATGTTACGTACCTAATGATGATGTACGGAGATAGAGAAGACGATATGTTAGGTTAATATAGATCGAAGGCTCGTGGGTTGTACGCGATCTAATTTAACCTTTAATTGAGTCACTAGAATTGTTCCTTTGCTACCGATATTCTTATTCCATCTTATCTTACGGGAATAATAAAATATTATCATGGTTTCACGAACCTGTTTTTAATAAACACGTCAATTAATTAGTTTCAGTTTACTGAAAGTATTTCTACAGTAAACTTTTTTTTTTCTACAGTGAACTTATGTGTCAGTTTCTCAGCGTGTGATCTATTGAAGATGATTTTTAGGTTTCTCTTGTTTCTTTTTGTGTTTGTGTAATAGTATTTTGTTATATTCTCAACTTTTTCTGCACTAAGCTTCGAATAAGCAATCGTACACATCAAGATATGCCTCTTTTATACGTACGGTAATATTTCGCTTCGGTTTTGTACCACAAAAATCAGAACAATTCCATAAATAGGCAGAGTCCATACTTCTTAGAAATAAATAAAATAAAAGGACTATATTGCAATATTTGCAGAGTTCAGAAACAAAAAAACCCAAATGTCGCTCAAAACGCTGTTTTCTATTGTTCTTCGTCGTCTTTAAACTGTCAACTCTCTCGCCGCCGTTGTGCCGAATAACATTTTCTCCAGTTATACAAATCGCCGGTTGAAATCTCTAATCGTCGATTTGCGCCGCTACAATTGCTACACTGATTTCAATCTGCAATAAATCTTCCGAAACCTGTTTCGGAGGATACGGTGAATCCGGACTCGGAAAACCCACCGGAAAAGTATCGATTTTTTGCTCGCTTTAAGCAGTATTCGTAGATGGCTTTTAGAGGAGGAGGCCGAGGAAGAGGACGAGGACGAGGAGGAGGAGGGTTTGGAGCGAATAAGTATGTCAAGCCCGAGCCTTTTGTGATTTTCCCTGTAAGTACAGTTTTGGTCCCCTCCCCAAGAAATTGATTTTTGCTTATGATGATCCTCTTCGATAGCAGATTCTGTGTCTCTGCGTGCAGGAAATTACGTTACCCGATCCGAAATCTATCTCAAACGACTCGCAATTACTCTCGAGCTTCTTTGGTTTTCAAAAGTTTTGGAGAAACTCGCCTTATCATCTAGGCGATGGCGTTTCAAAGAAAGGTATCACTTTGACGATTTGTACTCTTAAAAAAGCTTTGATTTTTTTTTGTTTTCTTGAAGTTTTATGTTATTTGCTTTTCTGTAATCGTCAGAGAGTGAGAGTTTAGACATTGAGAGGTTTTCAGACGCGTTGGAGCCGAAGAAGAAGTCTAATAAGAGTGGTTCCTTTTATGATTTTCTTGTGCTTAGACCTGATAACTTCCCTAAAGAACTTCTTGGAGGTATACAATAATCATCTCAACACATTTGTTATTTATTTATTTTTGTTTGTTTTAGATTCATCTTGTAGTCACTGAGATTGCTGATCATATGCGATTTCAGATACTCGAAGAGACCGGCCTGTGAAGAGAGCAAAATGGACTCCAGACACAGGTACATTGTTTTGACTTGCTTCTAGTTTTAGCAACAAATGTTACAAGCTTTCTCAATCTTGTGCTTCATTTTGCAGATTTGCGGAAATTGGATGTGTTTGAGAAGCTTGAAATAAAATATGGGGTAACAAAGAAACATATTAATATGTTCAATGGTTTTTATAGACGGCTAAAAAGGAGCAGACAAAGAAGTCACATTTTTGGATTATTGTTTGGTTAGGATGATGGCAAGGAAGTGAATGGAGAAGCAGAAGATGGTGAAGAAGTTGAGGAATCAGAGGGAGAAGATTCGGATAACGGAGACTATGATCAGGTTCTGTTCTGTATTCTAATTAATGGTGAAAGGAAACCTCTGAATCTTCTTATGAAGCTAATTAAAACTTTTTTTTTTTTGGTTCTTTTATGTTATGATGTAGGCTGCAGACTGTGATGATGATGATGACGATTATAACCAAGCGGATGATGGTGATTGTAAGCATCATCTTCACTCTCTCTGTCTCTTTACGACGATTATATACTTCCAAACGTAGAAATGACTAACTTTGCTTTGTTTCTCTCGTTTTTTTGCCAACAGATGAAGAAGTATATTAAGCTTCTTCGTCTTCTTCCCCCAAAGTATCAAGTTTTGCAGACAAGACCTGAAGCTACGCATGTCCCGGGCTTTAGTTTTAGAGACCAGCCAAAGGTGAAAACTCAATTATGTTTTATGTTAAAAGGGATTAAGTTTTCTTTTTTCTGCACAATGCACGATTGAAGGCAGCAGTACTACATAAACATTTCAACTTCAAATGAATTATCTCAATTTTCATTTGAAAGTGAAAGTAAGAGGACTCTCTCGAAGCATATCGTCCACAATCTCTAGCCTCTAATTAGTTTTAGGCTTTAATCAATTTTCAGTTTCATCTCTAAATAAACTGTTTAATTATTTTTTAACTAGCTTGAGAAGGTTTTATTGCGATGCCTCATGCTTTCTCTTTGGCGAGGTGGAAGTAAAAAATACTCCCTCCTTTCAGAATGTATGATATTTTGAAAGAATGTATGATATTTTAGATCTGTATGATATTTTAGATCTCCTTTCAGAATGTATAATATTTTAGATGTTTTACAGATATTAAAAAAAACAATGATTATTTAATTTTCTAAAATATTTTATGTTTGCTTGTTAATTTAGTACTAATTTTTTATATTTATTTATTCAAAAAATTATCTTAAAAAAAAAAATATTATATACAATGTAAAAAATCAATTTTTTTCGAACAAAATAAAAATCTAAAACACTTAAGGGAGGGAGTACTGTCTTACTCTTTTTGTTATTGAAATTAGGGATCTCTTTTTAGTTTTTTCTCCTCTAATTGTGATTAAAATTAGGACCCTTTCTGGTTTTTTTTTTTTTATTGTGATAAAAACTAATGATCCATTCTGATAGTTATTAAAGTTTGGCATTTTTCAGAAATTTTCCTGGCAAATTCGTTGAATTGGAATAAGACTCTGTTTCAACCCAAATGTCTCCTTATGATTATAAAGCGGAAAAAGGCATTGTACTCCTTCAATTGTCAATTGTTGCTAGCAACATAATAATAATAATAATAAGTGGGTTCTTCAAAACTTTGCGAAAGTCAGTCCAAAGTCTCTCTCATGAAAGATTTTGGAAAGAATTTCACAAATTTTGAAAAACCTATTTATTTTCATATTGTTTAAAATCACAATATACTTAATATTATTTATTATTCTGGTTAAGTCTCTAGGGGATAATCAATCAGATATTGCTCTAATAAGAAAAATAAAACCTATAAAAATGTTATGAAATCTTCTTGAATGTAAATGTTCTTATGATTTTCAAAAAAAAAAATGTTCTTCGAATCAAACTAGCGATAAGCTAATTCAACAGATATTCGAATCTATCCAATGAAAGGAAGAAGAATTTGATGGCAAAAAGAGTAAAAAGCTTTTTCACCCTCAAAAAACTGATTCGAGTTTTGATATAAGCCTCTGTCTGAACCAGAAAGTGTTCCTATATTTCACCTTCTCGTTATTCGGAGGCTAAACATATTCATATGTCCAATACACAAAAACCCTGAAAATTAATGTCTGAAGCTTTTTGGGAAGAAGCTCGATTTTAGAAAACAGAAGCTCCTCCTCAATAAAAAAAAAAGCTCAAGTCAAACGACCAAGAACAATACAGAAAAGTATTAAAACAATACAGAAAAGTATCGATGATCAGACTGATTTTTGCCTCCTAACCAAGCCAAAATATGAAATTACCTAAGAACTTAGGGTTCATAAGGCTACTCTAAGGAGGCAGATATATCCCCAAACAAGATTAAAGTAAAAAGATTGAAAAGCAAAGAGATTGATGTTATGAGTTTGGTAGAGAAGTGGCGCAACCCTTTTTAATCACTCTCTGTTTCTAGGGTTTTTAGTTGTTGGGGTTTATGACTATTTCACCCTCGCCTTAAAGACGAATGGTTAACTCGGTCTGGTTTCGTAAAACCAATCTATCAATCTGGCAAAACTTAAATTGCTTTCGGTTTGTTTCTTTTGGTTCAGATTCGTCCAATCAATTCATCGTACAAGTGTTGGCACCTTCTAGATTTTCTTACTATTTTTTTTAGTTACATAATTTTTAAAACTTTAATATTTATATAAAAATTCCTTTTTTTACTCAAAAAAATTATCTTCAAAAATTAGTAGTCAATCAAATTAAATATAAAAGATGTGAAATCATATCATATTAACTAGTTTTTAATCATTATATTTTATCTTTAGATTTGATTCTTTTTTTGTATATTATCAGATCATCATATAATTCATATAATAATAAATTAGATTTTGTATATATTATCATTTAACTTTCTTAAATATAAATCATTCATATACCTCTCTTCATATTAACATATACTAATATTTGGTAGAATATGAATCATAATTTATGATTATTCTACATTTCATATTTCTATGAGTTTTATTAATTAATTTTCCATATATTTTGGTAGATGATGTTACAATATTAAAATCTAAATCATATTATATAAAAGTTGATGTCATAGTGCATTGAGTGCGTCCATATGGGATTAAAAAACTCGATCTGATTGGTCCACATCAATCTATTTATTAAATAAAAAAATATTAAGTATGATTAGGACGGAATAACTTGATTTAATTGGTTCACATCAGCTTTTTTATCAAACCAAAAATTATAAAGTATAATTAAAATATTAAAAGTTAATTTAATAAATTATGTCCAATAAAAAAAAAGTAAATTCAATCTGATTGATCCAAATCAACATATTTATTAAATCAGAAAATGTTAATATGGTTTAAAAATTTAAAAGTTAAATAAAAAAATTAACAATTAACAATACATGTATAAAAAAAGTAACCATTATCAATTATCAATTTAAAAAAATCTACAACAACTCAATTTAACAATTAAAATAATGAAAACTGAATAGAAATATAACATAAAACTTTTGGAAGACATGATGGAGAAGAAAAAATGGTTTTGCATGATCATTACAGCTTTCTAACAAAATTAAATGTGAATCAACATGAATCATGGATTATATATGCAGTGATACACAACATCAATAAGACTCTCAATAAAAAAACTAAATATTTGAACACATTAACCTTCAAGAAAAAGAACTATAGAAATTCTATGGAAAACAGAAAATAATATCAAAATCTTATCAAAATTATATTTCTCTAAATCAAATGTATATGTACATCAAAGATGGATAATTCGATAGATGTCATTGTTATTATTTTACCTAATAGTTTTTTAAAATTTATAAATAAAAATAATAAAAATTACACATTATATATTAAATTCTTTTATATAAATGATTTTTTTATAAATATATTATATTTTTAATAATTTTAAAAATAGTAGCTAAAAATAATTAAACCAAAATATTAATACAGAATCGCGCGTAGTACTAGTTATATACCTAGTAATATTTACATAGTTGAATATATATGGTAACACTGCTATAATTATAGACCATATTTAATTTTCTCCTAATCAACCTTGAAAAAATAATACAGTCTACTTTACTTTTTTTGCTTACATGTATATATATATGTCCAACTATTGCTTATTTCCCAATGTCATTTGCTTTTAGTGGATACAAAATATTAAATTCAATGTTTTTATGCATAGATCTTACACGGTTTTGTAAACAGCAAAGAGTTCATATGTCTACAACAATAACGGCACGAACTTCTGCTCTCCTTTTGAGCTCGCACGTGGGAACCAGCTTGTAAAAGCGTAAGCATGCGCGCTGTGTTTTAATTGGTGACCGTTATACCAACTGTCTCCTACTCATACACAAATAATTAACTTTGAGACATTCTTTTTTTGTCAATACTAAAGAAAACTTCTTCTCTCTCTCTCTTTTATTTTTTTCGTTCTAAATTTACTAAAAAACCAATTTCGTCTCTGTCAAATATTTTTCCTGAATCTTTCTTTCCTTTTCCTTTTTGATTTTTGATTTTAATTTCCCTTCGTTGTTTCCTTTCAGGAAAAGAGAGGAAACAACGTTCTTACAAATCCTCTTCGATTCTTTGCCTTCTTAAGGTAAAACCCCCAAAAAGTAAAAAGAGATCATCGCATTCAGATTTTTTTTAGAGGTTTGGACTCGAAGTTTCCGACAGATTCTCAGGCAAAACTGAAGACCCAAACCCCGGCAATGTCGACGTTTTCGCCGTCATTGGCCGCAATCTCTTTTCTTTTCTTGGTTCTTCTGAATCTCTCTCTGCTTTCCGCTAATTCTTCCACGGAGGTTAAAGAAGGAGAGATCCGGTTACCTTCGGAGAAGATCATCGGTGGAAACAGAGGCGAATTCTGTGAAGGGACGGTTAAACCGGCTTCGTGTCCGGTTAAGTGTTTCAGGGCTGATCCTGTTTGCGGCGAAGACGGCGTTACTTACTGGTGCGGTTGTGCAGATGCTCTGTGCCACGGCGTTCGTGTTTCCAAAGCAGGAGCTTGCGACATTGGTAATGGGGTTGGATTGTCCGTTCCTGGACAAGCTCTGCTTCTGATCCACATTGTCTGGCTCATGGTTCTTGGCTTTTCTATTCTCTTAGGCTTCTTCTGATTTCGTTTGGTTTTTTTTTTGAATCCAGAAGAACACATAGAGAGAGAGATTGGTAGATTTTGAGATTGCATCCTTTGTTCATACCTTTCATGTTTATACCCAGCAAAAAAAAAAGGTGTTTTATTTTTTTGTTCTTATTGCTCTATTGTATTACATGAAAACCTTAAGAGGAAGAAGGATCATTATTTGGTTTGTTCCTTACAAAGGAAGCTTTTTTGAATCTTGATTTCTCCATCTCTTGCCCAAGATAATCCAGGATTGTATCAGTCACATGATTAGGCAAACAGTTTGCATCTAGCATCACTCTCAAGTACCTGTACGCTTCTTTCAACCTCCCTGCTTTGCTATTCACTTCGATCATCGTGTTGTAACTCACAACGTCCGGGTTTATCCCATTGCTCTTCATATGCTCGAACAGCCTCGTCGCTTCATCTAACCGGTTTGCTTTACCGAGCGCGTTGATCAACGTGTTGTACATTACAATGTCTAGGTACCCTCCTCGCTCCGTGAGCCTGTCGAGCACCGCGCTGGCTAAGTCGGCTCTTCCCATTTTGCCTAATCCTTGGATGATTACATTGTATGTTGCTATGTCCGCTGCGCAAAAGTTGTCACCCATTTGGTCGAGCACTCCACGGGCGGTTTTGTAGTAACCCTTCTTCACAAACGAGCTCATCATGGAGTTGTAGGTGTAACTCGTGAGACCGGTTACACCCATTCCGTTGAATATCTCAAACAATTTGCAGGCTAAGCTGAGATCACCTTTGGAGAGATAAATAGATAGGAAGGTGTTCATCATGTCTACGTCGAAAGATTCTGGCTTTGCTTCAACCCTTTGCCCTCTGGCTAAAGCAAACAAGGGCTTTGGTTGATTGTTGCTCTGGTGAGCTAATTGGTCCATATATGGAGATGATGACCAAGGGTCATCTCCAATAGGTGATGCTTCCTCAGCTCTAGCTACACCGTCTTCCTCAGAATTCACCATGTTCATGATATCTAAAAAGCTCCCTTTACTCGGAAACATTGGTGTGTAATCTCTATCTTTGCTCTGTGGACGTTTTAGTGAAGCTTCCACTCCAGCGTTCCATCTCAAAACGTTAGGCACCAAGTTTCCTTCCCGCACATGCTTCATCAGCTTCTCTTTCCAATCCCACCTCCCTTGTTTGTGAAATCCGATCAAGAGCGAACTAATCGTAACCAAATCCACAGAGAAGCCTCTAGTTTCCATCTCCTCCACCAGTTTCACCGCTCCTTCTAGCTTCCCTTCCCTGCAAAGCTGCAACACAACGATGCTAAACGTAATGGCATCTACAAACTGACCCTTCTTCTTCAAATCACAGAAGAAAGTAAAACCAGCCTCTGCCCTTCCGTTCCTAAACAACCCGTCAATCAGAATGTTGTATGTCCAGCAAGAAGCCCTAACTCCTTCTTGAACCATCTTCTCAAACATCTGACAAGCCTCAGTGACTTTTCTTGCCTTCAACGTCCCGTCTAAGAGAGAATTATACAGAACGGTATCAGGTACAAACCCGTTATACTGCATCTCACCGAATATCCTCATTGCATCATCCATCCGGTAAGATTTACAACATCCTTGGATCAGTATACGATACGTCGAATTGTCAGGCTCATGGCCAGAGATTTTCAGTTCCTCCCACACAATCAAAGCATCTTTCGCTTTCCCAGATAAACACAACACATGGATCAAGGTGTTATATGTGCATATATCAGGACCAGTAGAAGATCCAGAGACTAAGCTTTGCTCCTTCATCTCCTTGAACAAACTCAATGCAGCATCCAAATCTCCCCAACAGCCAAATCCATGGATACATATGTTATAACCCCAAGTGTCAAACTTGAATCTTTTCACTCCCTTCAACTTTTCAAAAGCACTTTTGAATTCCGATTTCATATCGGCTTTCCTTAGACCTACCAAGAGCTCATTAGCAGCAACCGTTCCAGGAAGATAGCTTGGAGTAGCTCCACCATCATCAAAAGCTTCTAGAAGCTTAAAGAAAATGGAGAGAGCGAGACGCAATTCGTTTTTCTTCACAAGAGCAATGAGAACAGAGTCATATAAACGAGGGTTTAAGCAATCTCCCAATTCCTCCATGTAATCCAAAACTCCTAGCGCCAAATCGTACTTACCCAGACGAATTAGAGAATCTAGAAGTACCTTGGACGTCGTCTGGTCCAAACTAACGCCATCTTCCTTCATCGAAACAAGCAGATCGGGAACTTCTCCGAGAAGCCCTGTCCGGCACACAGTGCGGAATATCTGAGAGTAAGCTGACACTGAATGTTTGTACACCGGCCGGAGAGAAAAACACCACCGGAAGAAATCTAGCTTCTTCGAAGGGTCCAGGGAGTTTCGACGAAGGATCTGGAGGACGACAGGTTCCGAAATAGGGGTGGAATCCGCGTCGAGGCTCCGTGTACCCGACTGAGACAAGGTCTTGGACAGAGAAGCGACGACAAGGACATTTCCGAGCTGCGGAAATGGTGGATTTTTCGCCGGAGATAGACCGGAAACTGCAGCTGATACGGCGCTTGCTCTTCCATGGCGCATCGCATAGCGACCACTGAGGAAAATTGATAGAAGAGAAACGAACCGGAAGCTAACATTAACACGCCGTCGATTAGCAACAATTTCTTGTTAAACGTCGTCATATATTTGCTACCGGCAGTATGGTAAAATACGGGCTGTACTAGCTCAAGCCCAGGCCCGTTTTAAAGAGATTTGGTCAAACCGATGTCATTATGATGGGCTCACGCTTGGGCCCATTAAGATTTCGGAAATAAATGTTTTCAATTTTCTTTAGTCGATAAACCCTAAGTCCCTCCGTCGTCTTCATCACCTGCTTGCCGTTTTCATCGATTATCATCGAGAGAGAAGATTCTCATCGGTTGTAAGAATGGGTTTCAAGAGGAAGAAGGTTGATGGTGAGGGTGAGGAAATGGAAGCTGAAGGTCGCGGAAAACCCAGTTTTAACGGGACGGAGAAGAGGAACGTGATACTTCCTTCGATGATTAAGAACAAAGATAAGAGATCTAAAGTATACGCGAAGCAGAAGTACGAGAAGAAATTGGAGAAGCAGAAGAAGATCAAGGCTCGTGATGCCGCCGAGAAGCGAGCTCTAGAGCTTGGCGAAGAGGTAAAAAAACATCTGGAAGAAATCTTAAATCTGTTTTTGAGAGTTTTGAGATCTGAATTTGTGGGCTTCGTCTTCCTTTTTTACAGCCTCCACAAAAGATGATTCCGCGAACAATTGAGAATACTAGAGAATCTGATGAGACTGTTTGCAGACCTGACGACGAAGAAGTATGTTTGGATCTTCATCTTTCATGTTCATTGATTCATCTCTAATTCAATGTTTGGGTCTCGTTTCACTAATTTTTTTTAAGTGGAATTGAATTTGCAGCTGTTTGCTGACATCGATGCTGATGAATTTAACCCAGTCCTGAGACGTGAGATTACACCTAAGGTCTTGATCACAACATGTCGTTTCAATTCCACTGTAAGATCACACAAAAACGTTAAATTGTTAAAACCTAATTTGAAATGTAACATTTTGGTTTGTGAATTTGTTTTGATTCAATGTAATGTTGTTGGATTGCAGAGAGGACCTGCATTTATATCTGAGATGCTCTCGGTGATACCAAACTCTGAATATCGGAAAAGAGGAACTTATGATTTGAAAAAGGTATTTTTGCTCAATAGTTTCAGAGATTTCTAATAAAAATCCCCAACTTTTATGCAGCTATATAACACTTTTATATTATATGGTTCTGCAGATTGTAGAATACGCAACGAAGAAAGATTTTACATCTCTTATTGTAGTTCACACAAATCGAAGAGAACCTGGTTAGTTTTTCATTCCTGAGTTTCATGTTTTGTGACCTTTAATGTCATTTTATTTCTCAAGCTTTTTTGCTATTTCATATATGTAGATGCGCTCCTTATCATCGGTTTACCAACTGGTCCAACCGCTCATTTCAAATTGTCAAATCTTGTTCTTAGAAAGGATATTAAGGTATGTTAGAAGTAAGAAAACACTGTTTCTTATCTACATCGAGTTTTGTATTAGTGATTACACTGAAAATGGGCGTCTAAATTTCAATTGCAGAATCATGGAAACCCGACAAGCCATGAACCGGAACTGGTTTTGAATAACTTTACAACTCGTTTAGGGAACCGTGTTGGGAGGTAACTATGGTTTTTGCATGACTTGATTTGATCTTTTATCGTCTTTGATTGATCTCTTGCTAATGTTGTTATATTTATATGATTTTGTCAGGTTTTTTCAGTCACTCTTTCCTCAAGAACCTAACTTCCGTGGTAGGAGAGTTGTAACATTCCACAACCAGCGAGACTTTATATTCTTCAGACATCATCGGTACATAGTTTCATCACCTTTTCTTCATCTTATAGATTCTCTTCTCTTTTTAATAACATGTATTGAACAAATGCAAATCTATGCTCAGTTACATATTCGAGGCAAAGGAAAACAAAAGTAGTACGAAAGAACAAGATGGTGTTGCTCGAGAGAAAGTAAAAGCTCGTCTTCAGGTTCGCATTATCGAAGATTTAAACCTCTTCTTTTTTGGATCTATCAAGATTCTCAATTTCTGTAATATACCAAAATCTTGGAATTTATATGTGTGCAGGAATGTGGTCCTCGGTTCACGCTTAAGCTAGTTTCTTTACAACATGGAACCTTTGACACCAAAGGCGGAGAATTTGAATGGGTTCATAAGGTAAAAAAATCACCATAAGTACATATTTTAAGCTTTTAATGATGGTCCTGAAGAGTTTACTAATTATTAATTTGTCTGTTTATGTTTTGTGTTTTCATTACAGCCTGAAATGGACACGAGCAGGAGGAGGTTCTTCTTGTGATTTTTGTTTGTTTATTTAACCAAATCAGATTGTTTTATGTTAAATCGTCTTTAAGATTAAAACTTCACATTTCTTCTCAAATATAAGCATCGAAACAATTGTACGACGTATTTCAACAGTATCGGTTGTCCGAAACTAAGTACACTTGCATATGATTTAACTATTTTGGCTTTTCAACGCAAACTGGTTAGTAATTTTAGTCAGAATACAAATACATGAGTTATTTATTACATGTCTCTTAACCGAACCATAATTAGTTCGAGAAATAAAGATACTATTTGCTAGATTGCATAGCATAATGTAATATAGTATTCAATGTTGCCGTCAATGGTGGCGGCTATAACCGAAAAACAGAATCTTTCTGAAAAATCCTTCTAAATAAAATAAAAGCTGCAACTTGGGTTTCCAAACTCTCACAAATTTTCATCAAGAACCATCAGTAACTTGCCACGTTTCAATTCACAATAAATTAATAATATTTGTCGCTATCGTTGGAGAAAGTTTGTTTTCTTTTTGTGTAACACTCACTTAACCTTTATTACTAGAGAGCATCATAGGATTAGTAATAGTATAAAAGTTGTTAACTTATAAAAAAAAATGTATACTGTTAATAGATCTGGGTATGTCTTTTTTTTTTTTTTTTTTTTTTGACTTGAGGTGTCTCAAAAGTTAAAAGAGGAAATGTTTTTTTAAAATGCGATAAATTATGTTCAATCTTAAATCCACACAAGATAAACTTACTAAAGACAAATGTCAATGAGACAAAAAAAAAAAATTCACAAAAATATTCACAAAATCTTAAGTGAAAGAGACACGGTTTAGCCGCGGTTATGTAGATCCGTGTCGGCTTCTAGATTTTTATACTCACGTGCTTACCCATTGATCATTTACCACGTCTCTCATTATCATTCTTTTCTTGGAAGTTACCAAAATTAATTTATCTTTATGTTTTTATTCAAATATTACAGAGGCGGATAGTGATATAAATAGTAACCCCTTTTTCTTTCTTCTCTTCATCCCTAGTCTACTAGTGGTTGTTGTATTTCAAAAAAAAAAAAAAAACAGAGAGACTCAAACCAATTCTTGTTTATGCGATTCGGAAGTTTTTGTTTATAGATCTGTGTTTTTTTTTGGGTGTAAGAATGGAGAATTTAGATCTGGTGGGTTATAGATTTTATCCAACAGGAGAGGAACTGATAAATTATTATCTCAAGAACAAAATTTTGGGTAAATCATGGCTAGTCGATGATACGATTAGTGAGATCAACATCTGTAGTTACGAACCAATTTGTTTGCCTTGTAAGTTTTCTAAAACTTCAATTCAATTTTGGAGATCAATCGTGATCTCTCTCTCTGTCTCTCACTCATCATCGATCATTTTCTTAATTTTTTGGTTACAGCTTTATCGAAGATCGAATCGAAGGATCCTGTATGGTACTTCTTCTCCCCGAAGGAGTACACCTCCGCGAAGAAGAAGGTAACGAAGAGGACTACCGTTTCTGGTTACTGGAAAGCTACCGGCGTTGATCGGAAAATCAAAGATAAGAGAGGAATCCGCGGCGAGATCGGGATCAAGAAGACGCTTGTGTACTATGAAGGTAGGGTTCCTAATGGAGTTTGGACTCCTTGGGTTATGCATGAGTACCACATCACTTGCTTGCCTCTTCATCAGGTACCAACTTTCACAGCTTCTTGAAATGAATTTGGGTTTGATTCATCTGTATCTCATCTTCTTCTTGGCTTTAATCTCCTGTGTTTGTTGCTATTAGCTTGCTCTGTCTGTGTAAGTTTGTTTTGCTGGCAAAGTAACTTATGTGTGTGTACTTTTGGGAATTTATTACAGAGGACTTATGTTATCTGCCAAGTGATGTACAAAGGTGAAGATGGAGACATTTTGTATGGTAATAACTCGAATGAGCCAAGCCACTCTCTGGTCTCTGACTCGAACGCTGTCAGAGCTATTAACACACCGTCTGAGGTGTGATTCACAGTTTCTGAGAATGTTTCATTATCATCCATTAAGATCAAACTGTTTTTTTTTTTTTTACTGGACTCTCTTTTTTACCATATTCAGGTTGAGCAGACAGGTCAAGAAGATGGTTTGTCTGTGAATGAGTTGTTAATCCCAATGAACGAACCAGAACCAGAGTATGGATTCAATCCAGACACGTTTCTCACCGACTTCAGCCCTAACTTGCAGCCACAAACACCTTTTGATGATGATGAGTATTTTAGTGGGTTGCTGAATTATAACGGAGGCAATTTCGAAAGCGTTCTTGCCGATCATCAAGAACTGATAATGCAGGAGAACCGTAACGATTACAGACCAAAGCAATCTTTGTCAGGGATCATTGTTGATTATAGCAGTGACAGCGATGCTGAATCGATATCTGCAACGGTAAAGCCCTAAAGCCCATCACTCATTCTATCAAATTATACTTTCTTGGAGTAATCTGTATATATTCTCTCAACCTTTCCTCCATTCTCTAATATGACAGAGTTACCAAAGAAGTCCAGGTAGTTCTAATAGAGACTTACCAAGTTGCTCAAGCACAGAGTCTTTCAAAGATCTAATCATACCATCTAAAACAGAGGTCTTGAATTGCTTTTATGTTTGATTTTGTGGGGGTACTTAGAATTTTCAAAAGGTAATGATGATGTGATTGGCTTTTCAGGTGAAGCAAGGTAAAGCCGTTGATGCAGCCATATACAAGGAGTCATATATGGTGAAGACAGAGAAGAAGGGCTGGTTTCTTGTAGAGGAAGCAATGCAGAGAATAGCTCCTCGTTGTGTATATCTCATGAACATGATCGTAGGATTCATCCTCTTGGTGGCTCTCATTGGCAACATCGTATCGGTTTTACTAAACGTCAAAGCCTGACCTTGCTGTCGCGAGGAGGAGGTGGCAAAGCAGATCGATCTAAGCACTCGTTTTTAATTGGCTTTTTCTGATTCTGTTTTCTTTTGAATGTGTGTAATAATATATGTGTGTCTGTGTGTGTGTATGAGCAGTAGATGAAACTCAATATTGTTCTTAACCTGTCTATCTTACAGGTCTTACTTGTGCCTAAAGCTAAAAATATTTTAGGGTTTTGTAATTAATATCATTTCAGTGTAAGATCGAGCTGCTGAATAATCTAAACAGGTGTAAGGTACATTGTTCTCTCGAATGTCCATGACCAAAATCAACAAAACCGGCTTTTCTCGATCGAGAATTAGATTCAAAATCGGTAAAAACAAGAAGATTAATTCAACATTAGATGATTTTTGGTGACGAAACTTGAGAATTATTAGAGAAAAAAACTCCCCTATTAAAATGGAGAAACTGAAGAAAGCACAGCACAAACCCACCAATATCGAAATTCGATTAATTTAGATTAAAAAGAAAAACGGAAAACTTCGAAGAAATTCGTAAACAAATCGGCGGATGAGATGATGATCTACACAACTACATATCCTCTTATCTAATATAGAGCGAGACGAAAATTATCACACCTTGACTGAAATTAAACATACCACACCAAAAATCATCAAAATGAGAATAAAATCAAAACTACATCTCTATTTTCTATGGAAACCACTAGTACTGAAATGATCTATGAGAAAAGGTTATAAACTCGCGCGCCCAATATTGTGAAACAAACCCAACCTTCGTTTTAAGAGTTTTCGGAAACTTGACTTATATTTACGATAGAAACAAAAAATCTACAAGTTTTGCCCAATAGATTGTGAAATAAAAATCGAACTCCATGATTAATATATCAAAATTATATGTGAATTTTGACGCAACACAAATAATTTCAGAAACTTTCTAAAAAGATCCCAAATAGTTATTGTATACAAACCAGGAATTTCTTCAAATGACTTTTAATTTGTAGATCTAAAGCTTGCATAGATTGATTTTTTGGGTGATAAAACTCTTTTTTTTTAAAAAAAAAAAGAACAAATCCAATGACACAAACTTCTTCAAAACCTTATTTTCCATAATACGCGAACACACCTCACTTTTTCATGGGAGGATAGAGACAAACAAAAAAATGGCAAAGGGAGAATTAAGAAAGGCAACACTGGCGCAGCACCGGCGGCGAGTCATCCACTAGGTTGGCCTTCTATACAAAAACATAAATCTTTAATTCTTGAACCTAGGTAATAATCTATTTCATAATTTTAAAATTTATAGCTTATTTTCTAATTCAGTTTTGTTAGTTCTTAGATTATAAAGTTAATGATCATATATCTCATGAAACAATTATTATACATTTAATTTTGTCATATTTTATAAACATAATATTATTATGAGTGTACATTTATAAAAATGCAACTCATAACTGGTCCACATCATACATTAACTTATCCACACAAATTCTTATCATAATATAAATTAAATCTTTTCAAAAACTCTTAAACTTAAATTGATTTACACCATATGAATGAAAAATTCGTCCATAGAAAAACTAAATACAGAAATATGGTCAACAACGTCATGAACTAAAAATAAATATTTCCTATGGTTATAAACTAATTTACTTACATTATAAACTAAGGTTTTCTGGATAAACACTAAAAAAGCAAGAGCGAAATTTCGTGTAATAAAAAGAAAAGTCTAGAAGAAGTCAAAGGGAGGAGGAAATGTTGTCTCTGCACCACTCAAGAAGAGGAAACTATTTTCGTCTCTTGGAGATAGAGAAGAGGGGAGTAGTATATTTGCATGCATGTAATGCACTTCGCTACGTGTTTTTTTCTTTCAAGTAGGCACTATATGGTTCCGTGACTAACGATGAGTAATTCATTACAAGAAAATATGCGATTTGCGTCGGTAATATTGATCGCAAGTCCGTCGCAAAAAGGTATATTGCAATGGAATTGCGACGGAGTTTAAAACGTCGCAATTCTTTAGCCACAAATCTAAAATCGTCGCAAAAGTCTCGCAAATTTTGCGACGAAAAAAAAAACGCAAAACAGTCGCAAATTTTGTTACGAGCCGCAAATATTACGAGCAACACAATATGTCGTACGAATATCGCAATCTCCATTCGTTACAAATTTGAGTGGACTGACCTTATAGTCTTCGTCGCAAGTCCGTCGTAAATATTACGACTGACTTGCGACTAATTATATATCGTTCGTTGCAAATCCGTCGTAAATATTATGACAGATTTGCGACTAATTATATATCGTTTGTCGCAAATCCGTTGCAAATTATTAAATATTTTATAAAAAAAATTTAACAAAAAAACATAAATACCAACCAAAATATATTAAATTAATTTATAAAACTAACAAAATATATTAATTTAAATATATATTTAAATAAAAAAAATTGAATAGTTTGAAAATCTAACAAAAAAATCAATTTTATATCTAATAATTTATAAATCTAACAAAATTAAAACCTAAATCTAATAAGTTATAAAAATAAATCTGGCAAATTCCAAACCTAAATCTAACCATTCATCAATCTAACAAAATCAAATCCAAAATCTTACAAAACACAAATACTAACAAATTCAATATTTAACAATGTTTCTCTCTTTCTCTCTATTCAATAATCAAATTCAAAAATTGTTAGAGTTTTAGAGAGAGAGAAAGATAGAGAAAGGTAGTGAGGGACATAGAGAAACCAGAGATGTGGAGAAGAACTAGTGTGAAGAGAAATAGAATAGAGGGAGATAGAGTGGCTAAGAGAAGAAAAATAGATATAGAGATCGAGATCGAGAGAGGAAGAGAAGAAAAGAAGCAGAATCAATATAATAATAGATATTGTGACGGATTTGCGACGGTCTATCTAATAAAATTTTGCACGCATTCGTCAAATTTTCTTTGAAAATTCAAAATATTTCAACCAAAAATTTCAAAAAATTTCAGTTTGCGAGGCATTTGCGACGGATCCGTAGCAAATCCGTCGCAAATTTCATATTTTCCTAAAATATCGAAAACACTATTAAAATGAATTTAAGTTCATTTAATAATGATTGAAAGTATGTATAATCAAAATAGATGATGTCTTAGTGATATCATATCTAAAACTTGAAAAATGTATATCATATTAAAATCAAGATAGATTATAATTAATGTTAAAAGATTAAAAGAGTAATAAGAAAAATGCTTATATATAAGTTTGAAAATATATATTTTTAACAATGTACAATTGTTTGAAAATATATACTTTTAACAATGTAGAATTGTTTGAAAATTTATAATAACTATAAATTTGATTGTATGAATAAACACTTCTAACTATATTAAAACAAAATTGAATATATTTATACGTCTTTTTGTTTGTTTTATATAAAATCCAAAACTTAAAACCTTAAACCCTTAGAAATATTTTTTTTTTGCGACAGATTTGCTACGGACCTGTCGCAAATCCCTTGCAAATTTTTGGTTTGCGATGGACTTGCGATGGATCCATAGCAAATTCGTCGCAAATTAGTGTTTGTCAAACATATCGAAAACACTTTTTAAACAAATTTAAATTCATTTGATAATCATTGAAAGTATGTATAATCAAAATATATGATGTTTTAGTGATATCATATCTAAAACTTGAAAAAATTATATGATCATATTAAAATCAAGATAAGATACAGTTAATGTTAAAAGATAAGTAAAAGAGTTAGAAAATAAATGTTTATATACTTTTAACAATGTATAGTTGTTTAAAAATTTATAATAGCTATAAATTTGATTGTATCAATGAACACTTCTAACCATATTAAAACAAAATTGAATACATATATACGCTGTTTTGTTTGTTTTATATAAACTCTAAACCCTAAACCCCAAACCCTAAACTTTAAACCCTAAACCTTTACAAAAAAAAATTTGCGACGGATTTGCTACAGATCTGTCGCAAATCCCTAGCAAAGTTTTGATTTGTGACGGACTTGCGATGGATTCGTAACAAATCCGTCGCAAATCATCGAAAACACTTTTAAAACAAAGTTAATTAAAAATATATATAATCAAAATAGATGATGTTTTAGTGATACCATATCTAGAACTTGAAAAAAGTATATCAAATTCGTTTTAAAAAGTGTTTTTGGATGTTTTGGATAAATTCAAAATTTGTTTTCATAACCAAATACATTAATATTCGCAAATCTCTTGCAATACGATTGCAAATATGCTGCATCGCAAATTAGTTGCAATTCGCGACGTACTTGCGACATGCTTTTTACCTGCTGTAAATACGTAGCAAAGTCGTCGCAAATTGCGACGACTTTGTGATGAACAATATTTTTGCAAATTTGCGATGGATTTGCGACAAAATAAGAAATATATAGCAAATCCGTCAGATTTGCGAGGAATAGTCTCCGTCGCAAAATTCCGACACAAATCGAGTATTTTCTTGTAGTGTAATGGCTATGTTTTACTAATCATTAACTCCTTTTTCATCTCTTCTTTTTTTTTTCAACTGAAAATTTCATTAAAACAGTGAAATGATACAGAGGAATGATACTTGAAATGATACATAACAGTGATACAGAGATTGAACACAAAACTAAAATACATAAAAGATACATCACAATTTAAATTGCCATAAAAGAAAAACTCCAACCTAACAACCAGCTGTAACTTCTGAGAACCTAACGAAGAATCTTTATCGAAGATGCACACAGCCAATCAACAATAACAGAAACCCTTGAATAAATTCATTTTTCATCTCTTCATGCAGGAATTTTTTTCAAATATATGTTTTTTCTCTTGTTTGAAAGTAAGGAATGGAGATCTGATAGGTCAATGACATATGCTATAATATAACTTGCTAGGGAGTATTAGAAAATTGGAAAAAGTTGCATCTAATTTTTTTCGGAAAACGTAAACTCGTCGTTTCTAAATTGAACTTTTGAAAATATAGTTATTTGGTATTTTTTTCGTACATAAGACTGTTGATATTCAACGTTTTTATAAAAATTAAAGATAATAGAGATATCACTTGTATATATGACAAAATTTCAAGTTCTTGATCCCTCATATATGACAAAAATTTTGAGTTTTTCTGCTTCCATGCACACGGTCTTCGCCTTTTTTTCACAAACTTGTACATTGTATATATATATATTTTTTTCTTCACAAACTTGTACATTGTATATATATATATTTTTTTTGTTACAAAACCTTTAAGCTATCTTTTTAAGTTATTTTAATTAGTTGAATAGCAACCGCATTAAGAAGATCACGTTTTTATGATATTTTAATTAGTTGAAGAGCAACCGCATTAATTAAGAGCTCCATTCACAAAGGTGAATTAGTGCTTCACGCGGCCCACTTTGGTTTTATTTTGTATTTCTTACTTCAAAATTTTCAAACCTTTGTGTCTAAGTTTTTCCTTAAAATGGAAGCAGGAAATTAAAATTTCACGGAAAAATATCCGCGTAAGTATCAAGATACTTGGATCCATAATAATATTATAAAGGACAATTTTTTTTAATATATATATTAGCTTTTGTTCATCTTCTGGATTTTAATTTTGAAGATGTTTATTGATAAAGGACAATTTAAAATATATAAAGTAGAATATTTATTGATACTTTCAAACTATTTCTTGATATGTTTAATACTTTTTATACTCAAATCATAGTTTGAATATCCTTTCCTTATCTAACGTGCATGATAAAGTATTAATTTGCAGAACGTGCATGATAAAGTATTAATTTTGTCGTAAAATTCAATGGTGGCGTTCTATAAAGTATATATGACCTAGATTTCGCCACCGCCTTCGGAGGAGGACTCCTGTAGTTCGAGATTCAGTTCTTCTATTTTTTTTTTTAATAATTTAGTATTATCTATTTTCGTAAAATGCAAGAAAAAAACAACTACAAACTATCGTGCTTGGACATATTTTCATCGATAGCCTGCGACGTGGACATTCACAATACGAAAGAGATGATGATCTGCAAACTAAAAGTGGGGTGTGCAATTTTGGAAAATATACTTTTGTGGCTGTCGTTTGGAAAAACTCAAAACTCAAAAGTATATATGACCTTCTCGGGAGTCTGATTAGTTAGCGAGATTACTAATACTAGAGTAATTAAGTATGCTCATTAGTCATTTGTTGACTTAAAACAAAACACTTTCGAGTCTGCGTGGAGCCCAGTATCCGTCACTGGATACTAGAGACGAGATTGAGCCAGCGCGAGATGCTTTTAAAACCTAAGCGAAGCCTTTATGAGGAATTTTTGATTAATATGATAACAGTAGGCGATTATGAAGATTTGGTTTGTTATATAAATGTTTGTCTTATTATCTCTTATCTTATGCACTCGAGTTTTTTTTTGTTTTTTGGTATTATCAGCTCGAGTAATTAATCAAATAAAAAAATAATATTGATTAGTTGATTAACAAAGAAATTGCAACATACCATTTTTATTTTTTTGTTTCTCAACAATATCAATATCTTACATAATAAATTTCAATTATCTTCATAATTAGTGGATAAAAATTAATAAAAACTGAACAGTATAAGAAGAAATTTGTATAAAAAAAGGTTCCAACATCTTTTTATATAAAAATTACTAAAATACCTTAAATAAATCAAAATTAAACCGTAAATAATCTTTTAATGTGTATATTTTAACAATAAAATAATTTTATTGAGTCTTAAATAGCATTAACAACAATTTAGATTCGGGTTGTCAAAAAAAAAACAACTCAAATTCGAAAAAAAAGCAACATCAACTTTCTTATTCTAGTTTTTCACTAAAAAAAATAATTTATAAACTAAAAAGACGATCATGTTTAGTTCGAATACCACTTGTGATACATTTAGTAATGAAGAATTCTGCATATAGGTAAAATAATACATATAATTGCATATTTAAACAAAATTATGAAGAAGCAGAAGACAAAACCATACTTAATCACATAAATACATTGCACTTTTTTTTAATAATGTTAGTATTTTTGATATATTAAGCAGATCATGATATTTGGATCCGGTTTCACAAGAACTGAAAAAATTGGATTTAGACAACTCGCCACTCGGATATCTTAATTTTTCTGAATCGAATATTGGATTCCGGAATGGATTTAATTGGTTTTAAAAGTCAGAAAAGGATTTTTTGTTCACAAAGATATAATATAGACTCGAATCTAATTCTGTTTAAATATGCAATTAGATTCGGGTTGTCTAAAAAAACAACATCTCAAATTCGAAAAAAAGCAACATCAACTTTCTTATTCTAGTCTTTCACTAAAACTTCAATTTATAAACTAAAAAGACGATCATGTTTAGTTCGAATACCACTTGTGATACATTTAGTAATGAATAATTCTGCATATAGGTAAAATAATACATATAATTGCATATTTAAACAAAATTATGAAGAAACAGAAGACAAATCCATGCGTACTTAATCACATAAATACATTGCGCTTTAGTTTTTAATAATGTTAGTATTTTTGATATATTAAGCAAATTTAAACTTTGAAATCATGATATTTGGATCCGGTTTCACAAGAACTGAAAAATTGGATTTAGACATCTCGCCAGTCGAATATCTTTTTAATTTTCCTGAATCGAATATTGGATTCCTGAATGGATTTAATTGGTTTTTAAAAGTCAGAAAATGATTTTTTGTTCACAAAGATATAATATAGACTCGCGAGAGTACCAGGAAAAGAAAAGCATATCGATTAATATATAAAAATATAATGGCTCACGTATAGCGTGACGTACTACCCCAATGCATAAATACAACATTTTCTTGCTTTCTAATTATTGTGACGAATATACCCCCAACGGGATACCGAAGGTATATAAATAAAACATACACACGGAGAGGAAAAAAGCATTGACTCCAGAACCCTAAGAAAATTTCAGTCAATACTCTTTAGTTTTCGTTTTTCTATCTTAATATTACTTTTTTCTTTGCGTGTAAGGAAAAAATGGAAACAAAAATAGTGGGTTATAGATTTTATCCAACGGGAGAGGAATTGATAAACCATTATCTGAAGAACAAAATTATGGGTCGAACATGGTTAGTCGACGATGTGATTGGCGAGATTAACATTTCTAGTTACGAGCCAGAGTCTTTGCCACGTGAGTTTTCTTCACGTTGTTGAAGATATATTGTTAATAACAAAATTATAATTCCATTAATGTGACTCATTTTAATTTGTTGCAGCGTTATCGAAGATCAAATCTAAGGATCATACATGGTTCTTCTTCTCTAGGAAAGAGTACACGTCCGCTAAGAAGAAGACATTCAAGAGGACAACGAGATATGGGTATTGGAAAGCGACAGGTAAGGATCGAACAATATTCAAGGAGAACGACAGAAGAAATGGTATTGAGATTGGTATTAAGAAGACGTTTGTGTATCATCAAGGTAAGGTTTCTAGTGGAATTAGGACTCCTTGGGTTATGCACGAGTACCACATCACTTGCTTGCCTCTTCATCAGGTAAACACTTTCTTTCTTTTTTTTTGTTTTGTTTCACATATATCATTCAATATCAGAGTTTTTGAATGTTTACTTATAGTTGTCCTTCCCCTACCTCTAGCTAAATTTGACGTTCTATATATATTTTGGTCACCATGGACCATGGGTGACGTGAAATAGTGACGTGCTTATGGTGTCAGGAACCACCCAAAGCAGATCGAGTTTTATAAAATGAAAAAGATCAAAAAGAAAGAAATAGTCACTTACATGTAGGATGTATGTAGACAAATATAGTACTAGCTAGACAAAGATGTAGTAGACCCGTTACATGTAAATGTAGGTAGCTAGAGATATAGTTTTTGTTTTTTTGTTTTAGGTAGAGATATAGTTAAATTAACCGATACCTTATTTTTCCCATTTTGGGGGCATAAATTGAATATAAAATTATAGTCTTTTTGCTAATAAGCCAAGCACGGCTAAGCCTCAAGAGCATTTCTATTCAGGGTATTTCAATGAGTTCTCAAACTATAGTAAAATAATAAATATGTTATAATAATATATAAAATATTTAATAAAGTATGTTTGGGTATCTCAAAACTTGAGAACCTCTCTCAAAATTTGAGATACTTTGGAGATAACTTTTCAAGTTTTGAAATATCCAAATTTATTTTACTATTACTTTTATAATATAAAAATATTGTTAATATTTTATAGTATTTTAAGAATCCCATTGAGATATCTTTAATGGAAATGCTCTAAGTAATATATGTGATTTTAGGAATACCAAAAAAATAGACTAGATTTCAAGATTATTCGTTTAGTAATAAACTAAACTTTCTTAGATTCGTTGAAATTTCTTTATGTTTTTCAGAAACAAGAAAGAACCAAAACAAAACTAATTATCATGGATTAATCAATACCAAAAGTGAATAAAGCCCGTACGTACACTATCTTATTATATAATGATGACATGTGGTTGAATTACCTTTGGGATTTTTGGTTCAGAGGACCTATGTTATTTGCAAAATAATCTATAAGGGTGACGTTGGAGACATCCCATCTGGTAGTAACTCGAGTCACTCTTTGGTCTTTGATGACTCAAATACAGTCGGAGCGATTAGCACACAGCCTGAATTGGTGAGTCCAGTTTCTTTATTTTAAACCCTAGTAGCTACTAGTTTCATTGCTCACACGGTCTCAGTTCTCATCTCTTTTACGTTTTGAAGGTACTTGAGCAGCCAGGTGAAGAAAGTTCCACTGGTTTATCTGTGAATGATTTGACAATGCTAATGAACGAACAAGAGGATCTCTGTACGTGGGATGTATTGGATTTGGAGCCAAATACGTTTTTCACTGACAACAACAACTACAATAACCCTAACGTGCAGCCACAAACTCCTTACGATGATGAGTATTGGAGTCGGCTGTTTGGTGGGTTATAACGGAGGGAAATTTGAATATGTGTTTTCCGATCAAGATCTCATGTCCAACATCTACTCAAGAGAAGTGCAACGCTTACAGGCCAGACAAATCTTGTTGATTATAGCGAGACAGTAATAGTGATGGTGAATCAAATATCATTTGTATAGCAGTAATTGTGATAGACTTGATAGTGATGCAAGTTGAGTACAGAGAATGATTTTTTTATTTCCTTGTCTTGTAGTTGGTTTTGTAAATATAAAGATTATGCTATTTTCTTTTGAGGTGAAAGAAGATTTGGTGCGCAGAGCCGCAGACAGAGAAGAAGGGTTTTGTTTCTTGTAGAGGAAGCAACTGGATAAAAAATGCAAGAACCTATTGTAATGGATCTTTATCATAGGTTTCAATGACATCACATCAGCTTAACTACGCACCAAATCTCAAGTAAGCATTCTCTGTAAATAATGTGTTGAAAATTCAGCTGTTCACAACCTTTAAGATTACAAGGCGTGGTTGTACATTGTCCGTACTTATACAAATTGGAAAAACGGATGTTTTTGCGCCTCAAGTTAACGCTTTTTAGGGTTTGTAATCTAATTTTTTTTCCAGTAAGAGAGATCCTGAATTATTCAATAGGAGTGAACTAAACGTGTTTCAAGATCTTACACTTTTCTTTATGAAAATGGTCATAGATTAGGCCAAAGAATCTGTCAAGACCCAAAAGAAGATTATGAGATCACAAGCTTCTGTAAAGAGAAGGCAGATGCATCAAGTGCTTGAAGGATCTTGACCCATAGATTTGATCCACCAAGAATCTAACCGAGTGCGCCACGAAACAAACGGCTAAGCACCTGCTCGTGGTTGATTCAGTCATCACTGTTAAAATCATAAGAAGAAAAAAAAAACCAAAACAAAGAAACATGTCAGGAGCAAGATTGATATACAATCTATGCACGAGGAAACTCGGATCCAAAGATCTGACCTTTAATCGCGACTGCGTTTGATGTTAAGACTAGCGTATCTACGATGAAGATCACAGAAACCGGAAATTCCCAAACCTGTAAATAGTGTTACAGTCTTATTACATTTTAACATCAACATGCCTCTCTGTTCTTCAGTATAATAAAGACTAAGACTCTGAGAAATTCTTATGAATCATACCGGCATAGCAAATAGAAAGATCTTGATGTAGCTCGAGATTAAGACCCCCAAAAGAATCTCTTTTCTTCTGCAAATCACATATACAAAGTTATTCAGGGAAAAACAAAGATATGTCTTAAGAGAAATTCATATTAAACATACATATATATACCTCGAAGCGCCGATTGACATAATCTTAGCCGCAAGTGAAAATGATAAAACAAATGCGAAATTCGTAGATAGGACATTGACCAGAACCTGTAAAATGCATATACTATGTTCATTTTCTAACGTTATTATAGAGACGATGCAGTTTCAAGGAGAAGAAAAGAGAATCAACCTCTAGAGATGCAAGAACAGAGCTCATGGACACGCTTGATTCATCATTGGTTCTTTGCAGTAGCAAGCTTCTATCTTTTGAAATCGTTAAGGAGATAAGAGTTATTCTATACTATACATTATAATACAAAGCAAAAAGGATACAAGTATCAAGAAGAAGATAAGCCAAGACCAGTTTCCTCAACAGATGCTGCCAAATTTTGAAATCCTCTGAAGATCAGATAACTGTAGATTCATTCGTCCATATCTATTTAGAATCAAAACTTCATAGAGAAACAAAAAAAAACTTTACCAATTTCTGCATCGAAACTAGAGTTTAGAAACAGAGACCATACACTGTATATGCTTAATCAGCAGATCTTTTGTATCAAGAAAATGAGAATGTTTTAAAAAATTTGCTTTTTTTTTTTTACCTGAACATTTATAGTTTCTTGATTAACCACATTGTAGAGTAAGTGTTTGTATGCCTTTGTTTTGTGAAGAATCAAGTCGATGAAAATGATCTGATAAATAAAATTTAACAAAAAAAAATCTGATGAACTCAAAAACTCAACAATTGAAAAGATAGACATAGAACAGACCATTAGCTCACACTCGATGTATTCGTCTGCTACTTCCTTGCAATTCTCCTATCAATATTTTTACAGGAGAAAAAGAAAAGCTGTAACCTTTGCGAAAATTACCAGTAGAAAGTAAGAACCCTAATTGATTTTTGGTGAAAATAAGAAATCGAGAAAAAGCTTACGCATTTCATAAGGCGAAAAGTCCCAGGAGAGTATTGAATAAACAATGATTTAACTTTATGCCCACACTCCACACACCTCTTCTCTTTCGCCATTTCTCCTTCTCTGTTCTTCTTTCTTCTCTCTCTCTAATGACAGTTTCATCTCCGGGTACGATATCGTATTCTTGTTCGGGCTACAATATGGGCCTTTATTTGGGCTCATTTTGGGCCGCAGCTTAGTAGAAGTTATACCATTGATTAAGCTAGTTTTTCTTCTACGAATCATCATTGTCAATGCAACTCAGATAATAAATTTTTGGAATTTTAGTAATATATACACACAGCAATCCAAGTCAATCTGAATTTCGAATATAAAATGGAGAAATAATGATAATTTTTAAAAAATGTTAACTAAGAGGAAACTCATCAATCATATACGCGCGGCAAATGAAAGCCCTAACCAAAAGTTTAGGCTGTAGGTCAAGAATCAGAGAAGGCCATGAAATAACTAATCATTTTGATATTTATGGTTTTATATACTGCTATTTCGCTATTTTTTTTCCTTCTTTGATTTATTACAACCTTACTTTTCAGAAATTCATTTATGTTCATCTTCTTAGTTTTTTTATGCAATCTAGGAACACAAATAGCTTTTGATCAGAAATCTCCACCAAACGTAAATGCTAGTAGATTATTTTGGAATAGTTGTATGTATAAATAACACTTTTGATGTCGTCAATTTCACACTGTAATGATGAGAAGATCCAAGATAAACTTATATAAATCATTTTTCAGAAACCTCTATGGTTTTTTCTTGAGGACTTAATTACCACTTAGTGTATAGCTGCAATATATTGCAAACACGAGTGTTAAATCATTAGTGGGTTTAAATCATAATACATATCTACAAATGATGACTATATATTATACCAAGAATAAAACCGAGACGTGTGCTCCAACGATTTGTACTAATGTTACCGTTTTGTGAAAACCCGAGTTTAAATTAGGTAGTGTGGGTGTATGAGACTATGAGTTGTAAACAACATAAACAAATATCATACCAAAAAGAATTGTGGAATAAGTATGTGGTAAACTGGTAATTTATATACATTTTTACCAAAAACATACAGTCATAGAGTATATTAAAATTGGAACCCCGAACAAAATGATTTATATTGCATCCATCAGGCCTGGCCCAATATAAATATGATGATGAAATTGTGCATTATAATTTGCATATGATATTGGTTCTTATGTTATCAACTAGATCCCTACTTTATTTAGTTACACAAATCATTTTTAACTTGTAAAACCAAACCAGACACGTACGGCCGTACGGGCTAACGGTTACAAGCAATTACGGGAAAACAAGAAAACTAAAAAGTAAATGAGAAGTAGCAGAAATGTATCTTTTTTGTTTTGAAGCAAGCAGAAATTTATCTTTGGGATAAAGTAAAAAATAACATACATTTTGCATTGTCTTCATCTAAATAATTATCATATATAAATTGAAATTGTCCTTCCATAGCTTCTCTTTTTTGTTCTCTGCCCATAACCTACAAATCTCTTTAAATCAGGCAAAGACAATAGTAACCAAACAAACTAATATTGGACCATGGGTTAGAGAGAGAGAGAGAGAGAGAGAGAGAGAGAGAGAGAGAGAGAGTTTTTGGAACTCCCCATTAGCTTAGAACGTACCATGAAACTTTGTCAGCTTAGCTAGAGATAGGCACAGAGAGTACAATTTATCAAACTTATAAGTCTCGTTATCCTTCCCACTTATCCTCTCAACGTATAACAAAAATTCTATATACCACCACTTTTGATTTATGGGTTGATGTAAACATATGATCAAATATGAGAAGGTATAGTTAAAAAAAAACTCGAGATTATGTAACGATGATAAATTTATTAATATATAACTATAAGGTTAATACAATGTTGAAAGATGGTGGCTGGTTTTCAACATGGTATTGGTAACTAGGGCTCAAGAAGTAACATGTTGAAACCAAAACTCAAAACCAAACATCATAAAACCAAATATAATATAAAACAAAACCCGGTTAAGTTCCTTACTACTACAGTCTAATTCCCCAATTGCCAAATTACATTGTAATGATTTTAAAGTTGGAACTAACTTAAAATGAGAAAACAAAGGGAATTTAATAAAAAATTGATGATATAGAGTTACTTATTTTTTTATAACTCCAAGGACTTCCCTTTCCTTTTATATTCTTCATCATCACTTAACGGCATAACCGAAGAAGACGATGCACCCATTTCGCCAAGTGGCGACCTCCAAGATGATTCATCCTCTCTGATCACAACTGGAGAAGACAAATAGCACCCTGCAACACCCATTTCGCCACGTGTCTCCCCTGAAGAAGAAGACTCCTCCACATCGACCCCAAACAGCCTAATTAGCTTCTTCGCCGTCCCTTCCGGCGGAGGCTGAGAAGGAGGAGGATAAGGCGGCAACATCGCCGACGAAGCAGTTGCTCTCGACGGCGTAAAAACAGGATATGACTCATAAACAAACGGCTCAGATCTACCAAGATTCCACTGATGATGATCCAACGGTGATCCCGCGTAGTAACGCCCACCATTAACAACTCTACCATATCCATAACCTAAAAGCTCCCTCTCCTGAAACTGGTTATGATAAAACGGTGGAAAACTCCGGTAATGCGGCATGGGATATTCAGTCACCGGATAATAGCTAGCCGTTGGATAAGTCGGAGACCCGAAAATCGGGTAGTGATGATGATTAATGTTGTGTACGAGGTTTATGTCGGCTCTGTGCCTCCAGTCGATGAACAACATTCTTCTTTGGTTCTCCGGTTCGCTAGAGTCGGGGACGAAGCCACGGTGGAAGGAGACGGTGTCTCCGTTGTCGAGTTTCTTCTCTTTGACGAAACGGCTCCATCCTTTGGTCATCACGTAGCTCTGGCTACTGTTCCAATACGAGTAACGAAACCTCCACATCTTGCCGTTTCTGTCTTGGAAATCCAACACGGTGCCGTTTTGATTGTCGCCTAACGGGAAGAAGTTCTCTGCATGTTGCTTTGGAATCACGAGCCGGTTCAGTTTCCCGACGTCACTTGGTGTTAACACTTTGTCAAACATGTGCTCTCTCATAGCCGAGTTGAAGTAGTTGTTGTTGTCGCCAACGCCACAATCTCCGATCTCGGTGAGTTCTTGGTCAGAGCTCGTCGTCGTCGACATATTCATCAGAAGTAACGTTTGTTATATGGGTTCTTGAAAAGATGATGACCCAATTTAGATCTTATAAAAAGTATCCAACTTTTTTTTTAAGAAATCTTAGTGGGTCATTGAGAAGATTAATGAACCAATTCAAGATCTTCAAAAAGTATCCAAACTTTTTTTTGTTAGATGGGTTCTTGACAAGAGGATGAATCAATTCAAGATCTTTCAAAAAGTATTCAACTTTTTTTTTGTATGGATCTGATAAGTGATTCTTGACAGTATGATGAACCAATACAAAATCCTTCAGCAAACATGAGATGATATTTATCAGATACCAAATAAAACTCACAATCGCAATAATAATTAAAAAAAAATGGGCAGTCAAGTCGAATAATATTTAAAATCAAATAATTGAAGATTAACTGAAGAACAAAACCCTAGAATCCATAAGAAGAAGAAGACAGACGTACTCTTTGTGTTTGCTTCTTCTTCTGGTCTTTTCGTTGACTCCAAAAGATAAAAAAAATGAAAATGAAATCAATGGTTGTTCAAGTTATATTGGGTTCTCTCTCTTTTTTGTATCTCTCGCTTTCTCTCTATATGACTTTAGAGGGTGAAGAAAAATAGTGGTGGCTTGAGAGATTTTCTCGATGATAGAGATGAAGATCACATATTAGAGAGAGTGAAAGGGGCCCATGAATGATGTGGTTCGGGTCATGTGAGAGCTTCTTGTCCTTTTCAATTTAGCTATAGACTTGGGGTAACTCTAGCTATATATATAGATAAACAAATCTATACTTACATGTATTGTGTGTATACGTGAGGTAAGAGGGTGTCAAGTTTTTTTAGACTACTTCCTCTCTTTTGATATATGTATTTGATTTATTTTCCTCTTTATTCATATCAGATTTTCTGTGTTTATTGATTTCATCTTGCTAGTTATTTTTAGCTTATTGAATTAATTACTTAGATATTATAACTAATATATGTGCGCAAGAAATAGAATATAGTACAATAGTACTTTTGAAATATATATGTTAATTAGATATTGTCTCATGCATTTACAGACGTGTGGAAATAGTTGATTTTACTGTCTATACATGTACATCAGATATAAATAAATAAACCATGAAGATAATCAATAATAGATTACAAGATAGATATCTAGACATGTCCATATTTTTTAATATATACTATGTATATCAAATATATATATATAATGACTATGAAAAGTATTTAATAATAAATTACTAGATATATAAATAAATTTGTAGGAAATCATTACAATAAACAGGTTAGTATACCTATTATTAAGTTCTAACTAAAGTTTTAAACAAATAAAACAATTCCAGTAACATTTTAATTTAGAATATATATAGTAAAATATCGTGTGTATAGTAAATTAATATGGATGTAAAATTATTTTGAGAGACTTAATAATACATTTATTCTTGTTATAAAAGTACTACAAAAAATTATAAAACAAAATCCAAAAATACCAAAAATATTATCTAATTTTTTTCTGAAATGGTGATACAACAATTGTAAAAAATGTTCCAAACATTTTCACAATGTTTTCTAAAACTAATTATGCCATAGTATTTTGTAGTTTTTTCAGTTTGTGATAATTATAAATTATAAATTATAAATAGTAAATATATTAAGGATTGTTTCATGTTTAAGTTAATATCTTCTCAGGTGATAACCAAATTAATTTGTCAATATTTTCTATGCCATAGTATTTTGTAATTTGTTTTATTTTGTGATAATTATAAATTATAAATAGTAAATATGTTAAGGATTGTTTCATGTTTAAGTTAATATCTGTATTTGATTTATTTTCCTTTTTATTCATATTAGAGCTTTTGTATTTATGTTTTTTGTTTGTTGATGTGTTTTTGCTAGTTATTTTTAGCTAATTAAATTAATTACTCATTTATCATAACTAAGCTGTGTGCGCAAAAAATAGAATACATTACAACAATATGCTTTAAAATATAGATTTACTAGATATTATCTCAAGCATATGCAAACGCGTGATACTCACTTTTAGTAATACATATATAACAAAAAAAATTACACCATATGTACATTTTCTTATTTATATATCAAATATAAAGAATGCCCATGAAAAGTATTTAATACGAAAATTTAGTAGATAGAAATTGACAAACTAAATAAGTTTTCCATCGATCATAAATAAAAACCTTAATATAGTTATTATTAATTTTAATCAAAAATAAAATTATTCTAGTATTATTTGAATGTATTTTCTTTGTAAAAGTAAGATATTGTGTATATAATTAATTTATAAAAATGTAAAACTATAACGAGGCACTTTATGATATTTTTATATTTTGTTCTTCTATAAAAGTACTACAGTGTTGAACTTTTTATATAAAATAAAATCCAAAACTACGTAAAATATTCCTTTTAGAATTCAAGGAATGGTTACCACAAGAAGTGTTCCAAACATTTTCACAATGCTTTCTTAAAACAAATGTTGTTGTAACTTAGTATTTTTAAAAGTTGTGATAACTATAAATTATAAATAGAAATAATGTTAAGGATTGTTCCAATTCATCAAATTCGTAAATATTTTCTCAGGTGATAGATAACTAAAACAGTTTGTCTACAGGTGGTGATAACCATTTAAGTCTTCTAGATATTTTGGTAGGTTGTAATTGGCTTAGTATCTCGAATATTTACACGTGGATTTAAGTATATAGCATCTCAACTAAAACAGTGTATGTATTACTTGACTTAATTTGTCAAAAAGGTAACCGCGTGTACGTTACTAAGATTTCTTTTCAATCGCTTGGTTATTGAATTCAAATCGGTTATGAACACACACACAAAAAGGATTTTTCTGACTTTTTCCGGTAATTACTCTTTACCTCCTAGAGCCTAGAATTGAACAAGTGACATGGATTATCTATCACTCATGCCTAATAAACATATATAGAGAAAACAAAATATAGATAAGAGAGATATTTTGCTAATCTTTTTGTAAGAAGAACATAACTACGATTATGTTTATTACGAAAATCAAGTAGTAGAAAGTAGGTCCGGGTTTCTATGTGTGTCCATGTTTTGTGGTCCAAAATTTTACAACACATCAACATCAAAGCACAATAAAGCATTTTGACATTAGGAAATATATATGTGCAAATCAATGCATGTATTTACAGTTATGTGATAAAATCCAGGAATGTTTGTAATAAGTAGTTATATTTCTGTTTTCCAGTTAGCTTTTTTAGTTATTAGTTTTCGTTTGCAGCACACTTAAACTAAAAATGTTTATAAAAAGTGTAAAGTATAAAGCATAAATCCCATATACGTACAAATGCAAAATTTGACATATGAAACGATTATAGTCATGTATACACGCAAATGATAACTAGCATTACTCCTCCTATTACCTTATATATCTACCGTAATCAGTTATCCTAAAAACTAATCATTCTTAACATCTCATATCTGTCATATGTTATGTCGCATAAAAAAAAGAAGTTATAAATAAACGCTTAGGGGGGGAGGACCAGTGGACCAATGCGTCCATTGTAGAGTTTGTCGCAAAAGGGCCTCACACATTTTGCATCACCACGCTTTTCCTTCACACATTTTCTTTTATATATAATTTATTTACTTTGCTCAACTTGGAGGTATATTTTTTTTGGTCCATGGGGGACTTTTTCATTAATTATTTTCGCACCTCATTTTTTGTATAGCCAGAAAGATGTTAAGAATTAATTTGGTCCCCTTTAGGAAGCAATGCTTTATAAAAATTTCGTAGTATGTGTGATAAAGAAAAAATGCTATTATTATTTTGTGTATATACACATTTCTAGACATTTTTGTCAACATCTATACAGCCATGAGAAACTAGCGGGAAATAGCGATTGTGTGTTCAGATACGAAAAAAAGAAGAAGCTATTATGTGATATAAAAGTAGCCGGTCCAGTTTCATTTTGGTTGGACCAAGAAAATAAACATTAAATAATTGATGATGAATTAATCTGAAATGTGTGAGTCATGAGCTCGTGTGGGTGTGGGTGTGTGAGTGTAATATATGGAGAATTGGTCTTTATAATGATCATATATAGGAGCCAAATGTAGTCCATTTGTATGGAACACACGGTGGCAAAGTATCTGTAAATATATATTACGTAAAGGTATTCGTTTCGTTACGATTCAAAAAAAAACACTAAAATAGTGATAATTAACTAGTTTACCCAGCAAATAAAAGATCAGAAATTAACATCTATCGAGCAAAATCACAAATCCATAAATTTAAACTTGAACATCCAATCCTTTTCCAAAAAAAAAAAAAAAATTACACTTATCGAACATAAGATGAAACTTTTTGTAATGCGTGAATAAAGACATAGATCAACACATTTACTATCAATTGGTTTTGAATTTATAGATTTCATATCAAAAAAAATTAGAGTGTATTAAAGACACGAGTATGTCTCAATCTAAACCAAAATTGATCTCTCAAATGATTATGATCGAACCAACATAAAAATTATCCTCTTTAGATATTTTGTTAGAAAAATCATCTCAAGAGGATATGTTAGAGCATGTTTATATGTGCATTTGATAAGAGTTTCTTATTAATATAAAAATTAAAAAAATAAAAAAGGTAGATAAAAAAGAAAAAAAAATTCTTAAATGAGCAATTATATATACGGTCTTTAAAATTTTTTTTAACACCTGTTTGCATTTAATTAGTTCAAAAAATTTAAAGCTATTAAAATTTTAAAAAATTATTACATTCTACTAAAATATTAACTATGTTAACATACCTAATCGATGGAGATAGTTTTAGAAATCTCACCTCAAAAATAAAATGGGACATCATAAAACAGTAATGTCTCGGGATTAGTGTAAATCTCAGTTTATAATCAATCACACTATTTACAAAAACAACATATAAATAAAAAGGTGTACAAAAGAGCTTGACATACACGCGCCGAAGTTTCTTGGGAAAGGGATTGGTATTGATAATATACTGGGCCAGGCCCAGTTTGGGTGGGCGGCAGATCCGACTATCTGACAACAAAGAAAAAAAAAAGTTTTCCACCACCTGACAATTTCTTATTCTGATTCTGCAAAATCTAATTGGGATTTGTATTGAAGAAGAAAGAAAAGGAAATGGGAATACGGACTATGCTAAAGTGACAGTGACACTCATTTAAAAATAAATGTCTGGTTTCATTGGAACGAAATCGAAACTTTAAATGATAAAAGATTACAAACACAAGTGAGGAAAAAAATCTTAAATTGGGATTAATGTTGGGCAGACAAAAGACCCCAGAAGAAAACAACAACAACACACAAGAAAGAAGAAGAAGCTTTAAAGCCAAATATCAGAGAACACGTGCTTATTCAAAATCCAAATATCAGACCAATTCTTGTTTTTTTTCTTTTTCTCTCTCTCTGCAACAAAATCTGAGATTGCAGAGCAAAAATTGGCAGGAATGTTCTTGAGAAATGCTTCTTTTTTTTTTTTTTATCTCCTCAGGGTGTGAAGAATGTACTCAGCGTAAAGGTCCCTGTGATAATGATTTCAAAATCAAGAAAATTGTTAAAACTTAAAAAAGATGAAAAAAAATAAAAAAACTTTGAAGGTCAAAATAAATAAAAAAAAGTTACATTGAGTACTGAATAGCTTCAACAGCAGGACCATTTGGTAGAAAATCATCTACAGCAACTTCCTTGTTCTCATTCTTCTTGTCTGTTAAATTTTGGTTAAAGACAGCAAAAGACATATATATTTTTTTTCTCCTAATAGAGAATTATGATTAAAGATTTAAAAATGTTAAAAAGGATACAATCTTCAAAGAATCGCCGGATTTCAGAGAGACGATGAGGTGGAAGATCAGTGATGTCAGTGTAATGCTTATACTCAGGATCATCAACACAAACCGCAATGATCTTATCATCTTTTTCACCCTTTATTAGAGATCAAAACACACAAAAAAAACTCAGAATGTTTATACAGTTCAAGTCAAAAGGAACAATAATATAAACATAGATTTGAATGTTACCTGGTCAATCATAGGCATTAAACCAATAGCTCGGGCACGGAGAAAACAACCAGGAAGCACAGGCTCCTGTACATAAACAATTTCATTTAAGAATATTATTATAAAATTTTGGTTTTTTTGTTTTTGTTTTTGATGATTAGGTAAGACTTAATGAACCTGCATGATAACTAGAACATCCAAAGGATCATTGTCTTCGCACAATGTGCGTGGGATAAAGCCGTAGTTGTGAGGATACACAACCGATGAATACAGAATCCGATCAACCTGAGAGTCAAATCAAATTGTTGAGATCAATCTTATAATATTCATACATAAACTATATATTAAAAAATTCAGATCAATTTACCTTGATGAGTCCTGTCTTTTTGTCAAGTTCATATTTCACCTTGCTACCTTTTGAGATCTCAATAACCTAAAATTTCATTTCAAAATTCTAATGATTTCAGATTCTCTTATATATATATATATATATGTATATATATATAATCTCATTAGCAAAAACCCAATATAGACTTACCACATTGAAAATCACTGGAGCTCCAGGTCCTACAAACAATTTTCATTTTTCAAAAGGAACATTTCATTTAGTTATAAGACTCAAAACACAATATCTTTTTATAACATTTTTTTCTTTCTTTCTTGAATCTAGTGATTAGTGAATTTTACCGATTTCAAGATCATGCCATGGATGTGCAGCAACAGATCTCCTAGATAAAGATGAGAGGATCCTCTCGTTCAAACGTGGAGTTGGTCGCTGAAGCTTCTCAGATTGTTTCTCTTTCACTTCTTCACTCATCTATAAGAACAGAGCCAAGTCACCCAAACGAACCAAGTGTTAGAATCTGTCACTCGATTTCATGAGTTCACGTCTAAGTAGGGATATAATCCTTAACTAAGCGATACATCACTCAAAGATATAACATCTAAAACAGAATCTACTACTATTAATCAACAAAACCTTATCACAGATTGTAATCCATCAGTCATCTTCAACGAAAGCTAATAATCAAAATCGAACTCCATAAAATGAAAACATCGATCATCCGAAGAAGATTTCAGCTAAGCAGTACTGGTTTAAAATTTTTTTAACACTTAACACAATCTGTGATCGAAGTTGTTCATTTCTTGATTTATTTTTAGCTACAAGAAAAATCCAGAGCAACAAACATCGAAACGCATCAAGAAATTTGAGATCTAAAAACCAAAGAAAGAAAGTCGTACCTTGGAATCGATTCAAGAACAGAAACAGTTTCGCGGAAAGTATGGAGAAACAAAGTTGACGAGGGAAAGAACACAGTAAAGCGCGTGATATTCAGTTGCGAACCATAACCTTATTTATAGAAAGCGAGAAAAACGGGTTAAGCTTTAAGCAAGTTGTAATTAAGTTATTAATTAATCGAGTTTACCTAATCACCGTTCGATCTCTCCAAACTTGGGGCCCACCGTAAATCACTAATCTCAGTCTCTTGAATGATTCTCCAACACACACGTGGCACTCCCGCTCTAGCTATATAATCTTAGTGAGAAAACCAAAAAAAAAAGCAAGAAAACAAAAATTTTGTAACAATGGCTATTAACAGGATCGCGATTGGAACGCCCGGAGAAGCTAGCCGTCCAGATGCAATCAGAGCGGCGTTCGCTGAGTTCTTCTCGATGGTTATATTCGTTTTCGCAGGGCAAGGATCCGGTATGGCTTATGGAAAACTAACCGGAGACGGACCGGCCACGCCTTCCGGTCTAGTGGCTGCGTCTTTGGCTCACGCATTTGCTTTGATCGTGGCGGTTTCTGCTGGAGCAAACGTTTCAGGCGGCCACGTTAATCCCGCGGTTACGTTCGGAGCTTTTATCGGTGGAAATATTACGTTGTTGAGAGCTATTCTTTATTGGATTGCTCAATTACTCGGAGCAGTCGTAGCTTGCTTGCTTCTCAAGGTAAGCACCGGCGGTATGGAAACGGCCGCTTTTTCCCTCTCCCATGGAGTCACGCCGTGGAACGCAGTCGTTTTCGAGATTGTGATGACGTTTGGATTAGTTTACACAGTTTACGCTACTGCCGTGGATCCCAAGAAAGGTGATATTGGAATCATTGCTCCTTTAGCGATTGGGTTAATCGTTGGAGCTAATATTCTCGTTGGTGGTGCGTTCGATGGTGCGTCGATGAACCCGGCGGTTTCGTTTGGTCCGGCCGTGGTTAGCTGGACTTGGACAAATCATTGGGTCTATTGGGTTGGTCCATTTATTGGTGCAGCCATTGCAGCCATTGTTTATGACACTATCTTTATTGGTTGTAATGAGCATGAACCACTTCCTACTAATGATTTCTAGGTTAGGGTTTTTTCTTGTTTCTTGTGAGACAAGAAAATGCTGTTGTGTCCCTTCTAAAGGTGAGAGATATCGATGTTCTAAATTATCTCTCGTGTTTTTTTATTTTAATGTTTTTTAAGTCATGTGGCTAAGATGTTACTTTTTACTACGTTTGTGTTTTTTTAAGTAATTAATAAATCAGATCTTGGAAATTTTCCTTCTAATTTTAATTAGATTAAATAATAAATGTGCGGAGTTTTCGTAGTATGTCACACGTAAGAAAACATGTACAACGAAATTATTATAAGGCATATTCTTGACATTGTGCTCTCATGGTGAAAACATATAAAATGTAATGGGACCCGCCATTATAATAATTGGTCCATGCACGTTCGTTGTGAATCTTATTAAGTTATTAGGTCATGATACTTTTAGAGGATTTAGAACTGTTGACACAACAAAAGGAATTCAATAAAAATTAGATTAGATGTGCCCAAAAAGATAAGAATATCAAATTAGAATGCCTGACAAGTTGTTCAAATTCTATCACCAGCTTGTTACTTCAGCAATAGCAATGCAATCTCTCCTGGAAAAGAAAAAACACTTGCGGGTCAAAACGAATAATTTACGTTTAGTGAAAATGCCGTAGTATATATGCCTTACAAACATACTTTTAATTTGTAAAATATAATAGGAATTCGATATAGATCATATATTGTATTTGTATCAATGTATATGAGGTATATATGAACGGTATCGCTGTCCCGGTTTTTCCTCTAAAACGCGTTGGCAGTTGCTTCCACGTTCAAGTAAAAATGCGGTGACGAGATTTGACACTCTCGTTGTAATCCGTCAATAATTATGATTAGTACTTGTTTATTCATCGTGGATTTAGAAGAGGTATATCATATATTCGTACGTAGGATTTAACTTTAAATTATGTTTTTTTTTAACAAAACTTAAAATTATGTTGTTACATCATTTGGCCAAACTTAATACATATGTATAAAATCAGTAGTCCGATCAACAACGTAATAAAAGGAACTGAGTCGTTGTATTTTACATGATAACTGCACATTTTACCCATCTAATAGAGTACTCTATTATTCGACCGGTGAGTATAAACTCTACACTAAATACGTTATTATTATTTTAGGAATTTTAATTTTCTACTCAAAGCTAATTGTTAGTTCAATTAAAATATCGTCACTATTATATTAAAACTAAATTAAATTTCTAACATACTATTTAAACATGTGCGTTAATCAATTTTAAGATTCTAAAGAAAAATCTCCAAAGTAAAAGCAGAATCATGAAAAATAATGGGTTTAAATGATATGCAGCTTTTCACGTTTTCACGTTTTGAAAACTTGATTCTGTTATTTTTTACTATTCATGTTATTCATCATGTTTTCACGTTTTCACGTTTTTTTATGTTTTTAAAACATGATTCCGCTAGCGTGTTAAAAATATAACTAAAAAAAACAAAACGTGATTAATCTACTAAAATAGCTTTTCAGCGTTTCACAATTATTCAGCTAAAATATTATTCAGTTTAATTTATTCTGCTAGTAATTTTTCAGTTATTCCATTATTTTGTTATTCATCTAACATACCAGTGAGATCCAATATATTCATCGAGTTACTCATCTAAAGTAAATAAATAGAAACAAAAACTTTTATGACCGAAAAAGATATCGAGTTTAATAATGGGCTGTAAAGGCCCATTCATAACTTCACTTTCACGGATATGACCTTGAGGGCCCTACTAAAGAATACAGTAAAGCTAAAGAATCTTTTAATCGAATAGATAATATACACCACGCGTAATTCAGAAGCGTAATGTACACGCCGCGCTAGTTGATCTCACGTGACAGGTCATGCATCTGGGCCTATATCTGTAGCTTAGTTGGGCCTATATCAGTAGCTTAGTTGGGCTTGTACGTTCTTTAAAATGACTTGTAATGACTTTTCTATTGGAACCCAAAAATATATTCATTTAATATTATTCTTTAATTTTTGAAAACTATATATATATATATATGTAACTGTAATTTACCAATGACTTTGACCAAAACGTGGAAGTGATCAGAGTTGTTGCCAGTTGGTGATTTCTGACGACTGATCTTGTCGTTCACTTACACACAATATTTAAATAAATGTATCATTGCTGTCACATTGTTCAGAATTTAATTAATATATTCTGATTAATTTCGAAATTGATCGTAGTTTTCCCCTTTTTATGAGTTTTCTTTTTAAATACATAATTTTTTTTAAAAACCGAAAAGTAACATGTTTGAGCTAAGTGATGAGTAGGGTGAAGTTTCACGTTTAAGAAGTGAGACGGATGTGTCAATGAGACTCTGACCATAGACTTCCTTTTACGATGCTTTTAAAACATTGGAATATTAAATTTTCTCTGCCACCTTTCTCATCGTTTCTCTAAGTAAAGATAAAAAGTGAAACTACTGTCATTATATAATAACAACAACTATATATATGTTTGAATTTATATTACATCATAGTTGTCCTTTTAATCGAGCGTAGGATTGTCAGACGCATGGACGATATAATAATAATATACCAAAATAAAATCTTACTAAGAGAATGCGAAAGTGTGAAGTCGACTTCTTCTTTGTAATGATGTTTCAGCTTTAATTGTATTTGTTTCCATTTCCGTAACCATTTGAATACGGACGATTGAAGTCAATTTCTCAACATTTACTACACAAGAAGTAATACAGGAGATAAGCAAAATAAACCTTCAAGTGGGCTATATAATTTTTGTAATTGTAAAATCCTGCGATTAATCTAAAAGCTACTGATTAAAATCCCTCAAAAAAAAAATCTCACCTTTTATTTATTTTACTTTCCTTCTTGTAACCTAAAGTTACACACATTACTAGAAAGAAAAGAGTCAAAAAGTCAACTAAGATTTGACCACATCATTTCACCGTTGATTTGCTCAAAGATATGATGAACGGCTGTTGCTATCTCATCAGCTGTTCTGACTTTACACCCATCTTCTATCTGCATGCACAAAAATACCATTTAATTATCATCTCTCTAAAATTCAAAATTTGCAGTAATATTTTGCCAATTGAATAAGGCTAATTATAACAATATTGCGTAATTTGCAAATTTGATAAGGAAACTTGTAATAAAGATTTTTAATTACCTTGAGATTGAAAGAGTAGAGGACAAAGTCAAAGGAAGAAGAGATAGTGAGATGCAGAACCGAGAGGTTTAGGTCTTCAATGGAGACAATAGCTCTCAATATCTGTCCTTTCCCTCTCTTACACCGAACCTTCAAGCTCACATGATTCTGTATCACCGTAGCTTCCACCTCCGCCGTCTCTCCGCCGCCAAATCTCGCCGTGAAACTATCTTCTAACGTCGTCGAGACGCTCGAAACAGAAGAGTTGTTGCATGCACGAGACGAAGAGGAAGAAGACGACGCCGTTTTCTGATTTTCGCTTGTTCCTTCGTTCTGTTTCTCAGCCTCTAGAGATTGCACCAGTTGCTCCAGTTCCTTGATGAAATCTATAGCTCCTCCTACAATCGAAGCTTGGTCACCCTACAAAAACGGTAGCGTTTAGGTTTAGGTAAATACCAAAATAACCGAGACTTAGAGCATGGCCAACGATAGAAACTTATTTATGGGTTCATTAAAAATATTATATTATTATAATTTAATAAAATAATTAATTTTAATAATAAAAAGAAATAAACCATTAACAAGAAGGCAAATGTCCTTAAAAGTTTAGAGATCGACTCTGAACTAGAAGCTTTTGACACTGGTTCTTGTTTTCTTTTTATCTCTTTCTTCCTTTTTCATTATTTTTATTATTTTTAAGGTTTAAATACTATAGTTCAGAACCTCCATTGAAGGTGGTTTTAGAAGATGTTGAATGAAAGTATCTTAAGTAATATCTTAATATTAAATTATTCAAAAAAAATAAAAATCATGAAAGAGAAAGAAAAATCAAATCTTATATATGAGATTTAAAAGAAACAATTCTTAATTTTTTCTAACACATGTCATTTAATTATTTGTTCATTTTCTTCGAAAAATCATAAGAAAGAAATTAATGGTTATTTTAATGTTTAGATACTCAAATTAAGAAATTTAGCATTGCACATGATCTTAACCCCAAATACTTGTGTTCACACCATTTAAGATAAACCATAATCAAAATATGATTCGAATATGATTTTTCATAGTGAAAACATTTTAACTTCTTTAAAATTTGAAAACTTTTTTTATATTCCCCAAATGGAAATATATCAAAAAAAAATTATATAAAAATAAAACAATTTTGTTACCCGTTGAAGAAACGAAGGAGGCATGAGTGATCGGAGAGAGTTTAAGTGTTGGTTCATTTGTCGTCTCCGGTTACGCTCGACGGCAATGTGAGTCATCCTTTGCTTCTCAACTTCATCTTTGTTCTTTGGAGCTCTCGTCCGTTTCCGTTTCCGTTTTTCTTTGACCGTTGCTGCTCCGTTTTCTGTTTTCGGATCTTTTACCGGGTCATCTGTTTGACCCGGATCTCTTTTGACGGTTTCAAGGGTGAGACAGCTCTCTGGTTCTAGGGTTTGTATCTGGAGAAGTGAATGGAGAATCTCATTTGGTTCTGAAGTACTAAAAGTTGGTTCTATGCATTGAAGCATTTGCAGAAATGGGATCTTCTCGTCAATTTCAGTTTCTGATGTCTGAGCAAACTGTTCTTCTATTCCCCCAAATCTCACTAATCCCTCCATAGTTAGCTTCAAGAAAGAAAGGACAAAAAGATTAGTTTTGGGACTTTATGGTTACATTACCCTTTTAAAAAGATTGAAACCTTTTAAAAACTTTTCAAGTAATTTTAATGGTTTGGGCCTTGGTGGGTGTTTCTTTAAGAAAGAACAAAGAGGAGGTAGGAGGAGAGAACAATAAGTTATGAGAAATAAGGAATGTCAACGAGAGAGGAAACAAGAAAGTTGTAGAATATTTGGATAGGTTTTGTTTCAAGGAATTTAAAGCATTTTGCATTTAATGTGTTAATCATATGAAAGGAGGAAGAAGAACAAGAGTAAATGCTCAGAACAGATTCTATGAGAATTAATTCTTCAAAAAAATAAAATCATAATAAATTACAAGAGAGGCTTACATGAGAATCAATCGAAGCTTGAAGAGTGTCTCTAATGGAGCTTCTCCTGCAGTTATATTTTATAAATTTGGGTTTATATAGGTGTCTCTCCCTCAAACAGTCTTCAAATTAACAATTTCTTCTTCTTCCTCTTCTTCCCTCTCTCCTCTCAACCAAAAACATTCCTTTGGGGGCTAATAAACACTTTCTAAAGTGTTCTTAATAAATGCAGCTTCCACAGGAGAGAAGACAACTAGACAAGGAAGAGAAGAAGAAACGGTTCGGTGCATGTATTAAAAACGCATATATATATATATATATATATAACCATCCCATTCCATTTTCACATACTGTAGTCGTATTTTTACGATATTTATATATATATGATTCAATTACGTTATATGTTTTATTATAAAAAATTACGATGTTGTAGGGGAAATATACGTGGATGTTCTGTTTTCTAGATCAAGTTTTTAGAGTCTTGTCTTCATTGGATTTTCAATTATTCTTTGAATGGTGACAAGATTGTTTACTTTTGTTACGCGGTTAATGTGAAACGCATTTTAACGTCGCACTTCAAAATATATTTCCTCTTGACAAAACAAATTATTCATGTGATATAGTATATATTTGTCAAGAGGAAATATATTTTCACAGGCAAAACAAGGAATTTGATATTTAAGTTAGTAATGCAATCATCTGGGGTAAACAAAAATAAAACAAGGAGTTTGACATTTCACTACCGTTATAAAATGAAATATTGATCAAGACAATTATATTCAAAAAATTGTTTGATAGTTCAAATTGTTATCGAACATAAATCATCATTCATCTACTCTTCTTTCGAGTTCGGGATATTGGTTTCATTACTGTGAAGGACTAAACTGTAAATATTTTTATTTCTTCTAACCATGTCTTCTGTTAAAAAAAAATGAGTTAATTTGATCGAAATAAAATTGTTAAAAATAATTAATATATGTTTAAATCATCATTCAACTGATGTGATTCGTGCTGAAGACTAACCGTATTTATTCGTTTCTCTAACTATATACCTCAATGTAAATTTTATCGATCAAAACAATTTCGAAGAAATAATTAATATATATGGCTAACTCATCAATCAAGTAATGTTCTTAATATTGTATAACTTCCTTCGTTCGTGTTACATTTTGCTTCGACTGTTAGGAAGTGGCCTAGATCCACATAGCTTATACACTATATGTAATTCTGTATGGACACAATGAGATGGTGCGTTGGGACTAGGACGATAGAGAGAGGGGTCCCGTAAAGTATTATTGAAGATGGCAGTGAAGACAGTTTTGTTTGGTAGGGACACACTTTCCATGAACAGTACTTCTCACTCTTATTAAGACAGATTCAGATTCAGAAAAGAAGACCAAACCTTTCTTTCTTCTTCTATAAATAATTTTTCTTTATACAAAAAGGATTTTCATGTCTTTTACTTGAATTATTTCATTTATTTTGTTTTTTTCTTTTAACAGGGTTACAATAACCTTATGGGTCATATAATAAGTATTTCCCCATTTGGTCTGTCGACGTAGTATTTTCAAAACTGAAAATGACAATAATATCCTTGTAGAAGAGGACGACCAATGCACATGGCCACAGCCATGGTTAAGTGTCCTAATAAGACCAAACTCGATTTCAGTGCCTTGGTCTCTAGGGCAAACAACAGTGTACTCTCTCCTCCAAAAAGACATGCTAAATAAATTTTTATTCTCTTCAATACTCTCTTAGATCCTTTTTATTGAGCCTGGATTTTTTATTCTCTTCAATACTCTCTTAATGTCTAATGATGTATATGAATATATTGAATTATAAGATAGAGTGATAGACCTAGAGGTCGAGATGTATAAAGAAATAACAGACTTACAATCGTTTTATATTATGAGAAATAAACAAAGTTTACAAGTTTTGTCTAGTACATCAAGTCAACAAAACTATGTCACATTCTTGTTTGGAAAATGAGAAGCAAAACCTTATATATATATTTTTGAAGTACTTTGTTTAAACAAGAATATATCTCTGACACAAAATATTGTGTTAACTTTTAACGGGCAATTGTGGTCTCTCGAAAATGCCTTTGGCTAATTGTAATACTACTTTTTCGAATATAGTTTACCATTAAACCACAACAAATTTGTTAATATACCCTTACCAATAGTTTATAATTAATATTATAATATACCGTTGTATACTGATAGTAGATCATATGGGACTGAAACATGAGAACATAGTTATGGGTTTGCCCACTTGTTAAGATTAGTTTTATGTAATGTCTCTCAGTTCCCTTTTAGTCGAATTGACAGGTTTTGGGTAGGCGTAGAGAAGACGAGTTAGGTTTCTAATTTTTTCTATACAGTCTCACGTCGATTATGCAATTGGCCACCACAAATAGAAACCCATGATTTCGTCCATACACAGTGTTATAAAATAAATGGATCAGTCAATATTTAAAGAAAATACACACTAATAAAACTTCTTAATCAAAAATTAGAGTTGGTGGATACTAATACGATACATTAACAAAAACAAAAATAAAGGAATGACAAAAATGGTTTGATTGGACCTAATACTAGTAAGGGGAAATTGCGAACTAACATTCATTTTGGGGGGGAGGGGGGGGGGATAATAAAAATGCACACCATTCCATCATTCACTAAAAAATTTTGTAGTGTATGCATATCTAACAAATTATAAAATAATGGAAAATCCTTTCTAAAATAATAAAGGGAGAAAGAGAGAACTCGAAAACTTGATCAAATACATAAACTTAAATGTTTAAAAAGTTTAAAAATAATTATATTGTGACGTTTTTATGATTAATATGAATTTGTGACGTTTTTATTGTGACTTTTAATAATATATGACATTAACGTTACAATATAATTTTTGTGACGAAAAATTTATATATTATAACATAAATAATTAAATATGTAGTAAATAGGTCTCCAATACTGGAAGACTGAGCAGAATGAGAGTTTGTAGGTTTTTGTAACAATAATAACTTTTTTTTGTAGTGTGAGTGAAATAATTAAGATTTTACAACACTATTTAAAAGTCATTTTAAAAGTTAAAATTGTTTTTTTTTTATTTTTTGTCAATATTTGAAAAAATAGAAAAAACTTATTTACCTTCCTCTTTTCGTTTAACTCAATTGTATGTCTTTTGTGCATCTAAAATCAAGCCAAGTAGGTTTTCCGCTGATGTAGTTAATTAAAAACAATATATACATCATATAGAGCTTCTCTTCATCTTTTTGTTTTCTTTCAAAGTCCATTATTTGTTTTTTTTTTCATTTTAGAAAAAAAAAATTGCTTTAGTTTTTCTTTCATCACAAGAAAAAATCTCTATTTAACCGTTTCTACCAAGCCAGTGGCACAAGAACAACCATCTCACGATGTCAACAACATAAAATATTTGATCGTCAAGCTCTGCCGTAACTCACAATCTCTTAGATCTTCGGCACACAGATTTTAACACAAAATTACTGTCGATTCCACTGCAATATCTCCCACACAGAGAATCTGAAGATCGACGTACGTATAGTATAGCTTCGAAATGAGTACCTAACTACTTCGTATAAATCAAAATAAACATATTTATCCGCACACATATAAATCATTTATCAATTAAATATACAAATAAATCTACTTTTAACATAAGAAAACAGAAGGATTGTATAGAGACAAGAAACTGATATAACAAAATCAGATCTCTATAAATAAAAGTTGTAATTATATGAAAAAATATCTTATCCATTCCAACACCAAATCCATTTTTTTATAAAAAAAAATACATGAAATTGACGAATCTTATCTCTTTCATCATATGTTAGACTTTTGGAGCCTCATGAAAATCTTAGCACTAAGGGAATAGACTCATAGCCACAAAGCCACTATCTGTTTATTCATATCTTGATTTAAAAGTTACGATACAATTACAACCGCTGATTCGTTAACGATAAAACTTTGATGTTTTTTTCGTTTTCATTTTGTTTGTGGATAATCTTGGATTTGTACTCTTCATTTCATTAGCAAACTATCGACTATATCTAGTTTAACATTTGCATGTATTTGAATGAATTTAGTAACTTACTATGAAAAATGTTTAACCGTACGGTTACTTTTCCTTTTATAGAGACGATAAACAAAAAAGAACAATCAATTTAAAAATAATATTGAAGTTTTTAGTCCTAAAGTTAGGCAAAAATAGAAACTGTTCAAAAATAAAAAAGTTAGGCAAAAATAAATCGAACTAAAACCAAAACAAACATAAACCACACGGACCGCAAATCAAACCGACCTAATTTTGTTAAATTCAAATTTTCAACGATACCAAATTAACCCAACAAGTTGAACTCGAATAAACCCAAAAGTAAATCGAAATTGGACCCAAGTGTTTACGTGGCTGAATAATATTAACCAGGCTCATGGAATCTTTGTAGTTATAAGATTTGTGCCAAAATTATTTTAATTTTGGGCTTTCGGTAGGGATTTTAATTTAGGCTCATATTATATATTACTAAGCGTCGATATACCCCAATATTTGTAGTTATAAGCCTATATATAGTATAAAGATGTACGGTAAGCCCATTGAGAGGCAAACGTCAATATGGCCCAATGTTTGTAGTTATAAGCCCATATAGTATAAAGATGCACCTTTACTCGAGCAGTAAAGCCTATCGTGAGGCCTTTTCAACGTTTTGTTACGAATAAGCCCAATGTTTTGTTATGAATAAGCCCAACGTCAATATGGCCCAATATTTGTAGTTATAAGCCCAACGTTTTGTGTTCCAGAGGATTGGTGGACCCGTAAGTTGGATTACAATCAACTTTCACCATTCCTAGGCTTCACAAAGAACTTGTTCGTCTGAACGTAACGTAAACCATATGAGGAGAAACGAAATTTGGCCTTCTTCTGCGACGACTACGACCAGTTCCACTTGGATGAATCGTCATCAAGTCTTCTCTTCATACTCTCTTTCTTCTTGTGACGCTTGACTTCATTAACATCACCATCACCTTTCTGCTTCTTGCTTTCCTTACCCTTAGCATCTTTCTCCTCTAGCTGGTGTCAATCTAATTTTGAATTATCTATGTTAAGTGGAGATGGTGTTATCCAATTCGTGGATAGAGTATTTACTTTGCTAGGGAATATAGTATTGTCGTCGCAACTTGCATTATGCTCATTTGACCTATTTTATCATTCAACTTATTTCACATGTCAACTACTAGACCGGTTTAAAACTCTCATAAACTCAGTAAAAACATCAAACAAATAAGACTATCTGAAGAAACACTTGATACAAAAAGATATATGGGGAGTAGGGACTTTTTCTCACGTCAAACGTCACTTGCCTTTAAGAACACACTTGGCTTTAAAACTCTCATTGTCTCAGTATGACATCAATAAAAAGATTAAGCAAATAAGACGTAGCCACGATCTATGGAAAGACCTAGGTTCGATAAGATACTTCTTGATACATAATATAGGGGCTCAATGATACTCCTTGAAACACTTGGCTTTATGGGTAAAACGACCTGGCCTCCCATCCGTTGATCTCATTACGATAGCATTGCACGTGACATGACCATAGCCGGCCAGGTTGAAGCTAATGTAGAAGATTGCATTCTTCGCCTTCACCTTCGACTCGACACCTTCTCTGGTTTGCACAATCACCTTTTCCAGCTCAACTACTTCCTTCTGCAACGCAACACAGCACCAAGAGATCAAATCATTAACCTAAATAAATATACCCTCAAGTCTTTTAAGTTCTTTTCCTCACCGAGAATACTCGGAAGCCGGCGAACAAGGCGAATTCCGCGTATAGAAGAAGCCATTCTTTCTCTTGTTCCACCTCTGACTCTTTCATCTGTCAACAACAACATCATCGTCATCACATCTTCTTGTGTTAAAACGCTTATCTAAGACTTGAAAGGGAGGGCTCACGACCACCTCGTAGTATTGCAGCTTATTACTGCCCGTTAGCGCATCCTCAGGCAGCCACTTGTCGGGCATCCCAAGTTCGGCTTCATGATTGCCTTCATAGGGACCCATGTAGTCATCATCTGTAGTAAATATGGTGGAAACACACTAATTAATTAACACTGATGCAAACAAACAAACAAACATATATAGAGACATTGTATTCACCTGGAGCTGGCGAAACTATTCTGCAGCGGCCTGTCTGTACACTGAGGCAATCTTTATCTCTCGTATGCGAAACACCTGATGCAACCTTGCAACTGGAATTGCGTATTGGATCCTTTGCCACTACTGTTATAATGTGGGAATATATCCCGGTATGCTTTGAATCATGTAGACCCGAATATTGAAAGTTTGTCCCCTACAACAAAGCAAACGGCGCAAGCTTTGACTACACACAACAAACTTATGCGATATACAAACCAATAATAACATATACAGAGTAGACAGACAGAAGCAAAAGAGTGGGGGCAAACATACCTTTTGCAGATTGTAGCAATGGAGTCCAATTCTGCCAAAGACGCCTATATCCTCACGGCACGTACCCTTCTGCTTGCGAGAGTGAGTCAAAGAAAGAAAAGACAGTTTTTTTTTTTTTTTGATCGAAAGAAAAGAGAGTATAATGCATGGTTTTAACGAATAAAATGATTACCAGAGCTTGTTCCTCCAAAGTGCCATAGACCATACCGCCACCAGTGTCGTTCATTTGGCCGGGGGGAGTGGGAGCGTAATGTGGTGCTGCAGGCTTGCATGTGTAACTACCAGTGTAAGGAGAATAGCAAAGTGCTTCCGATGGTGACGTGTTGGCGTATGACAGCCAAGGAACGTAAAGTGCTGATGATTTTTGCTGCGCCGATGGTAGGAAGCCATCATAACTCGGTGACTTGTCCGGTATTGGTTCATGAGAAACGTAAGTTGGGTCATAGACTGGCCATGGGTGATGAGGCGGGTCAGTTGGTGCAACAGCGAGTGCCTTTTACAAATGATATCACGGTTTAATAATGCAAATCTCGAAAGAGACCGGTTCAATCCACATTTGAAAAGGAAATCCATTATTTTACCCTAACACTGGAGCTCTCACTGTCTTTTGCAACCTCATTCATCATGACGTCCTCCATTCTTTGGAATCTGTCAAACCACAGTCAGGAAGACGTAATGGAAGTTAATGTTAACCATATTTATGATAAAGTGTGATTCGCCACATTAGGGTTTATGTTAGAATCGTGAATGAAATTCGTTGAAAACAAGAGATTCGACGCAGGAGAAAAGTTAGTAAATCAGAATGAACGAGGATGCGAAACGAAATAACTTCTTTCGTACCTTTTTCTCTCTATCCCACAAAGAAATAAAGTGTCCCCAATTTCGACACCCCAACACATTATTTTATAGGGATCGATCCCATAAGAAACCGACATAGTTATTGGGCTTTTTTCTAAACTTAAAAAGCCCAATAATTGCAATCTAATAAGGGATTACAATCAACTTTCCTAGGCCTCACAAAGAACTTGTTCGTCTGAACGTAATGTAACGTAACGTTACGTAACCATATGAGGAGAAAAGAAATTTACGCCCCTTGGCCTTCTTCTTAGAGCGCCTTCTGCGGGCACGACATGAATCATCATCATGTCTTCTCTTCTTACTCTCTTTCTTCTTGTGACACTTCATCACTTCCATCAACATCATCATCACCCTTCTGCTTCTTGCTTTCCCTTACCCTTGGCATCTTTCTCCTCTAGCTGGTGTCAATCTAATTTTGAAAAATCTATTTTTAAGTGGAGATGGTGTATCCAATCTGTGGATAGAGTATTTACTTTGGTAAGTAATGTATAGTCGCAACTTGCATTATGCTACTTTTGGCCATGTATGCCGCGTGCGTGTACATACACCGATGCCCACTAAAGGGTTCATACTTCATAGTGTACAAATCCAAAAATTAAAATTTGCCACGTCAAGTGGACCAATTTTATCATTCAACTTATTTCACATGTCATCTACAAGACCGGTTTAAAACTCTCATAAACTTAGTAAAACATTACGCAAATAAGACGTAGCCACCATCTGAGAGATACATACTAATATATATGGGGAGTGGGGAGTGGGGAGTCTCTCTCACGTCAAACGTTACTTACCTTAAAACTCTCATTGTCTCAGTAAGAAATTAATTAAAAGATTAAGCAAATAAGACGTAGCCACGGTCTGAGTAGGTTCGATAATATAATTCTTACATATTATAGGGACTCAACGATACTGCCTTGCGTCCATGAAACACTTGGCTTCATAGGTAAAACGATCTGGCCCTCCATCCGTTCCTCTCCTTACGATACCATTGAACGTTACTAGATCATAGCCGGCAATGTTGAAGCTTACATAGAAGATTGCATTCTTCGCCTTCACCTTCGACTCGACAGCTTCACTGGTTTGCACAATCACCTTTCCCAGCTCAAGGACCTTTCCCTGCAACACAACACCAATTAGAGATGATTAACCTAATTAACAAATATACCCTCAGGTCGTTGAAGTCCTTTTCCTCACCGTGTACTGTAGGTAGTCGGCGAACAAGGCGAAACCCGCGTACAGAAGAAGCCGTTCTTTCTCTTGTTCCACCTCTGACTCTTTCATCTGTCAAGAACAACATCATCATCATCACATCATCTTCTTGTGTCAAAACGCTTATTTAAGACCTAAAAGAAGAGGGCTCAGGGCTCACCTCGTAGTATTGCAGCTTATTACTGCCCGTTAGCGCATCCTCAGGCAACCACTTGTCGGGCATCACAAGTTCGGTTTCATGGTTGCCTTCATCACAGGCACCCATGTAGTCATCAGCTGTAGTAAATATGGTGAAAACACGCTAATTAATTAACACTGATGCAACAACAAACATATGTATATGACGAGAGACGTACAAAAGCGTGCATTTGACGTTGTACGTATTTACCTGGAGCTGGCGGAACCATTCTGCAGCGGTTTGTATGTAGAGTGAAGCAATCTTTCTTCTTTCTAAACCAGACATTTGTTTCAACCTTGCAATTGGAATTGCGTATTGGATCCTTTGCCGCTGCTGTTATATGGTGAGCAAATACTCCAGTAAACATTGAATCATGTAGACCCAAATATTGTAAGTTTGTCCCCTACAACAAGGCAAAGAGAACAAGCTTTGACTACACACAACTTATGCGATTTACTACAAACCAATTATATATATAGTAGAACAGAAGCAAAAGAGTAGATTAGTGGGCAAACATATACCTTTTGCAGATTGTAGCAATCAAGCCCAATTCTACCAAAGATGCCCATCTCCCCATGCCAAACCTCCCTCTGCTTGCGGGAGTGAGTCAAAGAAGTAAAATAAAAAAAACATGGTTTTAAAGAATAAAATGATTACCGGATTTTGTTCCCCCAAAGGACCATAGAACATAGTGGCAACAGCGGGGTCGATGCGGCCGGGGGGAGGGGGAGCGTAGTTTGGTGTCGTCGGCGAGAAAGAAGGAGCATGGCAACGTCCTTCTGATTTCGGCCGCGCCGATGGTACAAAGTCATAATAACATGGTGACGTTTTGCCGTATGACACCTGAGGAGCGTAAGGTGCTGCTTCCTGCTGCGCCGATAGTACAAAGTCATCATAACTCGGTGACGTGTTGGCGTATGACAGCCGAGGAGCGTAAAGTGCTGATGGTTCTTGCTGCGCCGATGGTAGGAAGCCATCATAACTCGGTGACGTGTCCGGTATTGGTTCATGAGGAACGTAAATTGGGTCATAGACTGGCCATGGGTCAGTTGGTGCAGAGCTTTCATTTTCCGGCGAGGGCAGAGCAACAGCGAGTGCCTTTACAAATAATATCACGGTTTAGTGCAAAAATATCGAAAGAGACCAGGTTCAATCCAAATTTCAGAAAGAATTCATATTACCCTAACACTGAAGGTGTCATTGTCTTGAGCCTCCTTCGTCACGACGTCCTCCGTTCTTGGAAAATCATAATAACTTCGTGACATGTCCGGTCGTAGTGTAGAGTCGTGATGAGAAGCGTAAGTTGGGTCATGGGACCGGTAAGTTGGTGCAGAGCACCCGCTTCTTTCATTTGCCGGCGATGGTAGGGCAGCAGCGAGCGCCTGACCCAGAACAATATATACCACAGTTTAACGCACAAATATCGAAGGAGACCGGTTCAATCCACAATTAAAGAGAATCCGTTTTACCGTAACACTGAAGATGTTACTGGCTTCAACCTTCATCATGACGTCGGCCATTCTTGGAAAATCTCACCAAAACCTAAAATTTCAATGGAATCCAAAAATCGAACCACAATCAGGAAAAAATAATTTCCAGAGAGCCCTGAATCGCAGTTAATTTAACCATTTACGAAAAGGAATTCGCCAAATCAGGGTTTTCGAATCAACGCCAGAAACTGAGTCTGACAAAATAAAATTCACGTTGAAGCAAACAAAAAAAATCGGTTTCGTGATTTCAGCAGAGAAGATTCGATGAAACAGGAGAACGAGAGAACCAGAATGAACGGGAAAATACACGCAGAATGAACGAGAGACTGCGAAACGGAAGCGAAACGTACCTTTTCTCTCTCTCTCGACGGATCCCAGAAAATAAAAGGTCGAACGAAGTGTTCCCAAAATCTCTCCCCTAACACATTAATTTATATGGATGCCCATCAAAATACCGACATAGTTATTGGGCTTCCTTTTTCTAAACTTAAAAAGCCCAATAACTGCAATCCACAGAAACAAATGAGTGAATTGCAATCAATTTTTACTCTGGGTCTAAATTTGTCGCTTATATAGAGAGAGAGATTTTGCTAATAGCGAGTGGTTAGCCACGTTTCCTGGATCAGTAGCTGAATTTAAAGAGTTTTAAAGGAAGACAAGGTGCTTCATATACAGTACAAAAAAAAGAAGCAACATAAAGCCATGTCACGGTCTGCTCATAGGATATTCATTTGACAGAGGGAAAGTAATATCTAAAATATGTAAGATCGGAGACACGTCGGTCAATTTTTGGAGAAAGAGGCAAGTTAATGATGAGGTCGAAGGAGTTATTGCAGAGCTTCAACATTTCAAAAAGATTGGCGTACTAAGAATAGTTGATGGCTTTATGTCTAACGCTCAGGGTAACGTTAGTCATGCCTCATGAGGCACTTATTGATGCAGCAAGTTCTACTATGTATACTGAATTAGGAAATAATGGTTTATACAGGTGTTGGTGGTAAGCGCAGAGAAATTTATACAAACCTTGGGATTCAAGATGTGTTTGAACTGATGCTGGAGTACATTGCAATTGATTTTTGTTTCCACACCGAGTACATCATATTGGTTATGCTTTTGAACAATTTTTAGTTTCGTGGATGCGAAAAGTGATATATTGAATTATCTTCAACAAAAAATATTATGTTCATTCATTTATTTCTCAAGTAGCAAAGCGATCGGAGTGTATATGGACTATATGGATTGTATTTCCAAAATAAATAAAAACATCGCATATGGAAGTGTCTAATGCAAAGGGACCCTTTTATACGCCAATGAACCCGACTTTTCCCATTGAGTGTTGTCTTAACTGAATTATAATTCTTTTTAACAAAAAATCATAGTTTCTTGAATCATAAAACAACTTAACAAGTTACAAAATCTAACACGTAACCTTTGTTTATATATAGTTTTATAAATGTACTAGCTAGAAATGAGTTAAAAAAAAAAAAAAAAAGAGATTGACGTTAAGAAAAAAGGTAGCAATCATGTTCACCGTACTTTCATTGGGGATTATGGATAATGATATTCTTACTTATTGGCACACATGCATGATTACTGACCTCAAAACTCATAATCTAAGAAACAAATAACTATTAATCTTTAAAATTATAAACAAGTGTCAATGTTACCCAAGAGAAAACATATACTAATAAGTGTCAATGTTCAAAACTTCTCTAGGCATATAGCATATAGGGAGGGATTAACGCCGCCTAATCCATTAATAGAAAAGATGTATTTCATCTTGTTTTAATATAAATTAGTTAATTTTAAAACTAAAATTTTGATGTCAAGTATATCTTTTAATATATTTTCCCCCATTTTTCAAAGTAAAAAAATTACCTACCATTTTTCTTCAGATTTGCATTATACACGGAGAATCTTCACCACAATATGTATATATATATATATACGATCGATCATGTACACAAACATTCAACTTTATATATATATATATATATAAACGTTTAAGTATATTTTCCCCCATTTTTTCAAATTAAAAAAAAAACTACCTACCAATTTTCTTGTTATTATTATTATCTGTTATATATATATATATGGGTTTTAAATGGAGTTTTTCTGGTATAATGTTCGGCTAAAGTCCATTACAATGTAGAAAATTAAGATAGCAGAGAGACTATAATATATACATTGCTACAAACAGTTTACAGATGCAACTAGCTACCACATATTATCCGAGCTTCGATTTGTGGCATTGCCTGTTGTACTTTGCAGAAATGCGGTTATGGTGGATGTTGGCGTGTTATCTGAACTTATGAGACACGGAACTACAATGACACAGATTATAGAATCTAATCAATATTACATTACAAAATAATCCTTGTTTTGAAAAAAAAAAAATCCTTTAACAAAAGAATATATAACAGTCGATGTGGACTGGTAAAGTAGTCTACTAGTCTTCATCATTTCAGTTAGTGATTTGGCAGTTGGCATCACTTGGGACCGTTTGCTATGCATAGACAATTATAGGGACTTGAATACAAAAAAAACAAAAACTTGAATACACTTACTATTAGTTTATGTAAATCAATATTAGTATTTGTGGACGTATGTATATCTATAAGGTATCATTTGCGTTGGTATGTTGCATAGCTATTTGACGGTTGAACGTCATTTGTGTTTGAGTAATTATCAAGTTACCATTAATTTCCTAGACTTGAATAATTTGCTTGCTTAGGGAGTATGGTTAATTAGTTCGTTAGTTTGACGTTGAGTTGGAGAACAGTTTTTTCGTGGCTGAAATCTTAGTCGTTCGAACTTAAATAGACACAAATAAAGGTTCACCTTTTTGGTCATCAGAAGAAGAGTATAGTCTGTATGTATACTGAACTGAATAGTCAAATTTATTTGTGAAGTTTGACCCCCCACCCACCAAAATAAAAAAAAAGAGTTTGTGAAGATCCTGCAGGCGGTGATTAAATAAAAAAATCACATGGATCGATGAAAGAAAAGGACTTGTTGGAGATATTTAAAGGCGGTTGTCTTTCACGTTTCAAATGCCATATTATCATTTATATGCAAGTGTATAGAGAGATGTTTTAAATAGAAAAAGTATGCGAAGCGCAATTTATTTGTTGGTGAGGTTCTTTATTGCTTCCCTTCTCAAACTATTACGTGACCCTTTTTCAATTTGATCATAGTATTTGTTTATAACTTTCTTGTATTACTATTGGCATTTTTTTTGCGTATTCAAAAAAGACAGTGGAAAATGATATACATTACCAAAAGGGTGTAGCGATCAGTTCTACAAATATTAGATTAATAAGTTTTTGTGTCATTTTTGGAACATATCGTCCAAAGTTCATAAAACATAAACGACCACCTGAGTCGTGAGAGCTTCACCAGTCACATCACTCTCCCGTTCGTAACGGAGACGGTGAACTTGTCATTTTGGAGCTGCTTCGACTCGTAAGCCATCTACGATCCTTGTAACATGCATGGGTGTGGCTGCAACACCCGACCCGCTAACGCTGGGTCTGCGCTCCCACACATATATATATATATATATATCAAAAACAAAGTATTCCCTTTTAGACAGCCAAATTAACTTATTTTCAAAACAAAACAAAACAAAAAAAAAGACAACCAAATTAACTAAGTACTACACGGTGTATATCTATGTAACAATAGCAATTCAACTTTGTAACTAATGACTTAACTAAAACATAAGCTCACGGAGGAGGAAAAGAATGTGAATAACATAGGGATCCGAGCCACGGGAAATTTTGTGAGGACCATCGCTACGAAGATCTTTAACTACAAATAAGAGAAGACATATATTATAAGTAAACTGTTTTCGAAAGTTATTGAAAGAAAGAGGACTTGTAAAGAATAAATATCAAGATAGGGAAATTAAGTTGGTGAACACGGCAGATCGAATATGAAAATAATATCAACCATCTCGGAAATCTGGGCAAACCATTAAGGCTGTCATACAAAAATTCAAACAAAAAATTATCAGAAAAAGGCAACTCATAAGTTTAATGATTTATGAGTTTTAGCATTTATGGTTTTTTGGATCTTTAGGTGCAGAGGGAAGAGGAGAAAACGAGGAAGGAAAGGACTGAGTTGTCAGGTCAAAGCGACAAAGCAAACATGGTACATGTGTCTCGTTTTCATTGGCACCAATACTAAACACGACGCGCGTCTTCTCATTTGCGAAACTTTTTTACAGTATTTTCATTATATTTATGACGTCAAGAGCTACTATGACGTGAAAGCGTGTGTAAATATTAAATTTATCGACGTTCTTTTTTTTTTTGGCTACTAGCTACTTCTTTAATAGCTTAACATAATGACAATGTGATGTTTGACGTAGCAAACTAGATTATATATCTTCATTTGCGACAAATAACAGGTTCTATATTACGAGTGAAATACCCTAAATCCAAAAGTAAAAACATAGAAAGTCTATATTGTCAATCATAATTTAAGATATAATTCCAAAAGCAAAAGAGCATATATTAGGGCATATCTTCGAAGGGAGGAATGATGAGCCGGATGACACCACGTTTAGCGATTACTTTGATCCGACGGTCGTCATAGCCTCGAGGGACGATCGCGACCTTGCCTCTGTACTCACGTCCACTCGAGTCGTAAATCGCCTGAGGTGCTCGTCCGATGACAGTGACGCAACCGTCGCTTTCCACCGCTACCGTGAATTGGTCGTTGGGGACACCGGGCATGTCAATACGCAGAAACAGACCGCCGTCGGATAGCTGCTTTGCCTCGTATGCACTACTTGGTCCCTCCACCACCGACGGGTGGGGTATTATGACCGGACCCGTGAACGCCGGATCTGTTCAAAGTTTAATCACAAATCGTCGTCATCAATATATATATATATATATATATATATATATAAATGAGAATCTCTTTAAAATTAATCCTAATTCTGTAATCCGTAGTGTAATAATTGATTACGAGGGAAAACACACGTCCATGCAACTGTGTGAATGTGATATATTACGTACGATAAATAGTAACTAATGACATATTTTATTAAGATATGTATGAAGTTCTGTCGCAATGGAGATTGATAAAGTGCATACCTAGAGGGTCAGTGCCACGGTAACCTATACACGATGAAACAATTAATTTAAGTAAATATCATTTCCAAGAGATTTATTTTCTTTAAAATCGTTGATCTTCACATTAAATCAACGTCAAAAATAACAAAATAAAATGAAAAAAATATCAAATCAAATACCTTGTGGGATATGTCCACGAAGATGAGCTGTAAAATCAAAGAATAAAAATATATGATTTTTTTCTAAAACGAGTCAAAGTAAAAAAAAAACAAAACTAGAAGATGTAAATCAATAAATCAAACGATTATAATATATAAACATACCAAAAGGATGGCCACCTGCGACTGCAACAATAAAATCAACACATATCCCATGAGAATGTTAGATACTATATGCATAATCTCTTTAAATAACAAAACCTAATGAGAATATCTGAGTTGTACAGAAAACAAAAACCATAAAAACTAATTACCTTCTGGGTTGTATCCCTGAATCAAGTGATCTGTCAAAAGATAAAGGTTATAATTAATTAACAGTATTACAAAGCACTAAAATATATATATATATATATATATATATATATACAATAAATGAAAATAAACATACGAAGAGATGTAGGAGACATTCGGACACCTCCAACTGAGGTAAAAAAAAAAAAAAGGTATTATTATTTATTTTTGGGGATAAATGTCAAACTTAATTTACTAAATAATAATAAAAAAAAGTTCGAAGTTCAGAGAAAATTACAAGAACAAGAAGAAGGGCCATGAAGATTGATCCTCTCCTTGGAAAGGATAAGCCTCAGAACGCCATCTCCAAGATAGCACTGAACATTGCTGATTTTACAGCAGTCACAGACAAGTCCAGTGGAAGCTCCGAATTTCCGGACAGAAGGCTCGTGTGCTGGTTCGTTCGGTGCCTCTCCGAACACGAATACAGCCTTTTTCATCTTTGACTCAACAAAGATCTCAACACTCTCTTTGGTAACTCCCGGGAAATCAATCCTCACAAACAGATCTGTAGTCTCTTCCATATACTTGAACTCTGTAAATCCTCTTGGTCCACTCACCTGATAGGGATTATTTGTTGCATAGAACAAATCTACATCACAATCAAAAAACACATATATACGTTATTCATGGGTTGGCGAACAATTTTAAAAAATTATTGAAGAACACATATATACGTTATCATGAGTCGGCGAACAATTTAAAAAAACTATTGAACTTGAAACCTCTAACGATTAAACCGATATGGATTTTGAAAACATACCTTGACATTGAGGGACAGGAGTGATGTGTGTGATAGGTGGCATTGTTAAGCTTTTGGGGATCTTTTAGGATTTTGAGTTTATTTTCTTTTTCTTCTACGCTTCACTTTTTCACTTTCTCTCTGGCATTTTAGGGTTATTGGGTGATTTATAGAAAGAAGCTTGACGGATGGATGGAGAGAGTATGAGTTAATGAAGGCTGTCCAATTTGCAGGACAATAGTTAATGCTACCAAAAATCCCAAACCGAACCGAAACGCATTTCATTAACCATCATCAGTCTCACTAAAGAGAGTCGTCGAAATGGAGTCTGTAAGGTTAGAGTCTCTTTATCATGCGCAGGTCCGCTCCTGACGCTCTCCCCGGCTCACAAAAACGCACCCGAAGGCTGCTCCTCATCCCCACCGGACACCTTACACCTACCGAACTATTTCGTCCCGAACAGTTTGTGTGTGTGATAGATATATGTAGAGAGGATGTAGCGACAAAACATCTAACTGCATTCACATTAAACTCTAGTTATAGATCGCAACTTAGAAGTTCCTAGTTAGAGGAGAGATTTATGAATTACGACTACCAAGTTCAAGGTGCAGCTTCGTTGCCCTTTATAGAATAAGATTGGGACGGTTAAAAACAGTAAAAGATGGTGTTGCAACAAAAGATAATACTTCTGCCTCTTCCGTATTATTCTAGTAGTTGAATCGTAAAATTAAGTAAAACAACTGAAAAACAAAACTCAAACCGCCTTGATTTTTAGGTGGTTTGTATTGCAAACGGCTAAAAATGCTTCTAGTTGTCGTGTAGACCCATCTCATCAAACTGTCACTGTCACTTTGGGTTTTCTCGGCCCGTTTAAAGCCCATTTAGACTTCATCTTCATCAGCTCTTCTGAACTCTCAGACCCGTTTAAAGGTTCTTCCTCTGGAACCCCAAGACGTCGTCGTGTAGCTCCCTCTTCAGCTTGATCAACTTCTCGTCGTTTGATTTCTTCTGCAAGCCTCCGCCGGAGAAACCATCGCCGGGAAGTTATCCTCCGATTTCAGAAAGGAGGCAGATTCTTGGAAATGTGTGACTACGTGAGGGGTAACAATGTAATTACGCACACTATGAGCCCATTTGCCGGCCCAAGTGAAGTCTGGTTCGGCCCGTAAGACAATGGAATGACTCGTGTAGTAGAGAAGTCCGTTGGCTAAGACGGCAAGTGCAAACTGAAGACATGTCAGCGCCGTCACGAACTTGGCCGGAGTTGAGTTTCCGGCTACGCTTTGGTTTTCCGGCCGAATATACTCCAATGATGCTCTCTACATAATCGCCGCCGCTTCTCACCGCCGGTGGCCGGATAAAACCCCATATTTCTCAGAATCGAACACCTTATTATGAATTTGAAAAACAAAAGAAATAGAAGAATGTAGAGGTTGGTGTTTTTCTCTCTCTCTCTCTCTCTCTCTCTCTCTCTCTCTCTCTCTCTCTCTCTCTCTCTCTCTCTCTCTCTGTAAGCTGTTTGTAACAATGTGTATATATATATATAGAAGTGTTGTGTACATAAGTATATTTACCTTTGTGTACATGATCGATCGTATTGTGAACTGAGAATCTCAAGCCTTTTCTTGAACAATCGATCCACAACATATATATATATATTGTGGTGAAGATTCTCCGTGTATAATGCAAAATCTGAAGTAAAAAGAGTCTACGAATCCAAAGAAAGGAAGAAAGATTTGAGCAGAGAATGAGTTATTGAACGTTTTAGGAGTATAAAAACATTTATACAAATGTTAAATGTTTCGGACAAGCGACGGTTTGACTTTGCAATTTGCATAGATACGTAGTTGAACTTTACCGCAATTTGCTACCTTTTGCATATACTATAGTTTCTCTGTTATCTTAATATTCTACTTTTTCATGGACTTAGCCGAACATCGATCTTACAGGCAAGCCTTTGATGCTTGAGACAGAGTTTTGAACACGCCTATACATTATTCAAATCAAAGTTTGTTTCAATAACAAAGGAAACTCAATTATTGACATATAAAAACGGAGAGGAAAGGGTGTAAAATTGTGTATCAACACAATGAGCATGTTGCAGAAATTGTGAGGAAAAACAGTCTCATTATCCGACAAACAATAACTTCAACTATTAGACCGGTTTAAAACTACCATTATCTCAGTAAGACATTAATTAAGCAAATAAGATGTAGCCACCTTCTAAAGAAAGACTAGTTTCGACAAGATACTTCTTTGTCTCTTGATACATAACATGGCTACTCTCTCACATCAAACGACAGCTGGATTCTAGGGAAAAACGATATCGCTTTCAAGATTCGCAATAATTTTCAATGTCCGAGGTAGGCCAAGGAGCTCTGCCACAATTTTGATGTATTCTATCAAACCTTCTTTCGTAGCCCTGATGTGGTGTGCCAAATCCTTATGATCCCCAGTATATCGGCCAATAACCTAACAAGTAAATGGTTTTGGCTCAAAGCATTCAGTCATTTTTTTCTATCTTCAAAATAAGAAAACGAAAAAAAACATGTTGTTCAAACAAAACAAGAAAGAAAAGAAAAACATATACCTTATTGAAGAAAGCTATTTTCTCATTAGCAGGCAAGGCCTGAATGCCCTCGCAAAGATACAGCTGACCGTAGTCGACTAAGATCTTCACCAACTTTTTCTAACACAAAAACCAAAACCAAAACCAAATTCATTGGATGTCAAATAAATAAAATAAAAAAAATGAAAAATAACAAACCTGCTCATCGGATAAGCATATGCCAAGATCAATGGGGTAGTGAGGCCCTTGAGAGGTAAAGTCGACGCGGAGATGGGAGACGAGTGTTACGAGATCAGACGTATCTTCAACCCAATCCGTGAGATAAGGGATAGTAACCACACCGTTAGGTGCTACATTTAAGTGGTGAGTGATCATGGCATAATCGGGGCAATCTATCCACACGTGAGGTCGAACGTAAGGATAAGACATGGGAAGCCTGATCCCGATAGAGGCCTTGAACACTCTGTATTTACCAAGCATGTCTCTACCACGGAAATAGTCGATATAACCACGGAACTCGAGTAGATTTTCGCAGTGGCCCTGATCGTCGCGATGTTCAACTTTTCTGGATTTTAGCTCAGTGTAAGAAATGAGTAGTCTATAGGAATGATCAAACACAACACACTTGTTGGAGTAACTAAGGCTGGGCCATATCTTCTCTAGATAATTCCAAACAGGTTCCTGTAAGGATTTTGACAGTTCCGGTTAAGGGTACTAATTCCTAACAAAACATATATAAATTTCCAAACTACAAATCACACAACAACTTACCCTAAAGGCTATATGACGAACAGGCGTAGGAGAGAATCCATTGTAGGGATTCTCAATAAGAAGCTCTTGCACAATCTCTATGAATTTTAGTCTTGCCCCACTTCCGTTTTTGATGTATTCTACTAAATTCTTTTGATGTGGGCGTAGTGGTAGATATCGGCGTTTCACCTAATAACAAATTAGGTATTTCATAAGCACTGGGCGAAAATTGAGAAAAATTTAAACAAAGGACAAAGGAAAATTAAAAACCTGATCGAAAAATTCTGGTACTTTGCCATAAGGAAAATTCCGAAGGAGATTGTAAAGTTCCGACTCTCCAGCGTCGGCTAGGATGTTAGCCAGACCGGCCTACCATGAAACCAGATCCATCCGACCATAAGAAGAGTAGAATAAGAATGAAGGATTGGAGCAAATTTCTGAAACGAACTGACACGAACCTGATCCTCAGTGAAGTCACCGCGCAAAGTAGCGCGACGCTGCGCCGTCTCCATCGGGGTTAAACGGTGTCGGCTATGTCGAAGAAGAATAAAATTGTTACCGGTAGAAACAATACTTTAATTATTGAGGAAACTAGACGAGACTCCGAACATATGGAGAGTAAAAAATAGAAGTCATCCAATTTGAAATAATTAGGCCTAATAAAAATAGTTGGGCCGATCTAAATTTTAGTATATTTGAGGAGCAAATACTCTGAGACGGAGAGAGAGAGTTTGTTATTGGCATATATACTATCATACTAGAGTGCTAAAATGTAACCTGTTTCCTTTTCTTTTTTTCCTAATTCACAAAGTTGTTTCTGTTACGTGATTTTCGCAAGGCCTAGTTTTATTTTATGACACGTAAACTGGAACAATGTTATCATTCAATTTCTTTCAGACCGGTTTAAAACTCTCATTGTCTCAGTAAAGACATTAATTAAAACATAAGACGTAGCCACGATCTGAGTAGGTTCGTTAAGATACATAATATATGGACTCAACGACGATACTGCCTTCCCTTGGTGAAACACTTGGCTTCATGGATAAAATGATATGGCCTTCCATCCTTACAATACCATTGAACGTTACTAGATCATAGCCGGCAATGTTGAAGCTTACGTAGAATATTGTATTCTTCGCCCAATAATTACAGTCCAATAAAAGGATTACAATCAATTTTTACTTGGGTCTAATTTCCCCTCTTCCCATCTCTCCCTCGTTCTGTCCGATCCTTTGAGAAAAGCTTATACAGATTTTGTTATCTGGGGACTTTTCATCTTATCATATACATATACATACAAGATAGTGTCATTGGTTTTCAAGGATCCATTGTAAGAATAACAAATAGCAAAATTATAATTATATATTGAAGGAGAAAGAAACCAAGCCACTCTTGTTAAAAATGCCAACATATATTTTAATATATATATATATATATATACCTATATAAGCACCAATTCCACATTTGTTCCATTTTCTTCTTCTTTTTTTCCCCCAACCCTCACCAAAAGCTATTCATTCGACTTATACCCCCCAAAATTGAGAAATTAAACGTACACTACCTTCCCAATTGCAAAACAAATCGTACTAAGGAAAACCACAAAAAAAAAACGAAGAAAATTTGAAATATCCCATAACGTCAAATCCCTTTCCCGCAATCACCTAGGTCTTGGCCTCGCCGGAAAAGAGAGAGCTTGCCGGAGTTTCCTCTGTGCCGAGGGATTTGGAGTCGAATTCGAACTCGAATTGGAAATAGCCATAGGGCTTTCGAAAGTCATGGTCTGTGAAAGATTCACCATATCCACCATCGATTGCGTCTGGTAACTCGTAGTCGTAGTGTCGCTCATGTCTCCCCTCGCCGTCGCTCGCTGCCACGAGTGTGAGCTCAGACCGGCGAGAACGTAAGCCCTACCCGAAGTCTCGTACACTTGGCGGCTCGCCATTCTCTCCTGCGTCTCCTTCAGCTCTGCATACAGTGAGGCACACAAGGGATCTCCGGCTCGCCCCGACGCAGACTCATTCAACACCCCACGGCAAGTCTCGAGAACCGACACAGCTTCCGTCAAATCACCGCGCTCGGCTAAAACCCTAGCTTCAGAGATTGCTTCCGCCGCAAGTAACCGTATCCTCTGTCTGTCTACTTCGATCGACACCACAGGTCTTCGTTCCGCCATCACTATCGGCCTGAGAATCTTTACTTCGTCGGAAACATTCAAGTCGACGGTCTCTTTCGTCACCGGGTCTCTGTAAACGCATCGAACCTTCAGTAACGACATCGGATCTGATTTCCCATCGACAACGGGGATATCGAGGTTCACCAAGAAATTCCTCTCTTCCTCTGCGTAGAGATCACCGACTCCGATAGATCCGGTTCTCGAATCCAAACCGCTATCGAACCCGTAGCTTCCAGCTTTAACCGAACCGATCCGCAACACGGGATGAACACACTCGATCTTAACGCACAGCTCTTGAACCACGACGCTGAGAAGACCTCCGATGCACTGCGCAAAGGCGTCTTGTATGACCGTTTCGGACTCTATGAAAGAAAATGTCCCTCCTGAGTTTTCTGCAATGGAATGCATCAAGGAAGCGTCGTGGTCAGAACCGAACCCGAACGCGTGAACCGGGATTCGGTTTCCATTGATCTCTTTAGGAAGCAGCGATTTGTAAACCGTCCCTTTGGATTTGGAACCGGTGGGACTAGTCATGGTGTATGTATCTTGACCGTCGGATAAGAGCACGATGCTCGATACCGGGTTCTTGCATCTCCGGTCGATCAGAGATTTCGCGCCTTTCTTCAACCCCTCCGCAATGTTAGTCCCTCCGTTCGAGACCAACGAATTAACCGCCTGCAACGCCTCTTGTTTACCGGTCTCGGTCATGAGACGGAGAGGGAAGTTACGGCGTGCCGTGGAGGAGAAGGAAATAACAGAGAGGCGGTCGAACGGGCCAAGATTCTGAATCACGAAACCCATCGCTCGTTTCAGCAACGCCAGTTTCGTTCCCGCCATGCTTCCGCTAACATCAAGAACCGTGACTAGATCCACAGGAGCTCGTGAAGAAGACGATGAACTCGAAGCAGCGGGAGCTTTTAGATTGATCAGCACAGCGAAGTCCTTAAACGAAACCGATCTCACTACTTCCGAGATCTCAGGGTACGTTTTGACTTCCAGTTTCCCAGCAACACGAGACTCGGAATCCTCCAAACCCGATTCAGCGGGACGGTCTTGATGTTCCAGAGCCTCGTCGTCATTGAAAACCGCGGGCTCGCTGTTGAAGATGGAGGAGACAGGCCTTAGACCGTCAGGCCGTGGAGAGGATTGGTTCTGAGACGACCTGCGTGGCGGTATTGTCATCCAGGCGTTATCTCTCGGTCGACCTATCGGCTTCACGGCGGATATAGACTTGGCGTTAGGGCTCTGAAGAGGGACCTCGTTCCATTTCGCGCGGCAAACGGGACAAAACTGGTTCCCGTGTCTGACATTGGTGGTGATGCAGTGGAAATGAAACGAGTGAGAGCATTCCGCTGTGAAGATTGCTTGGCCTTGCCCAGCTTTCATCGCCGTCAAACATATCGCACACGTTTTCTGCAAAATTTCCACAAAGGAGAATACAAAACAATGAGGTAACAGACTCTGGATAAAGAAGATTCTTAGTTTTTTAAGTAACTTAAAAAAAGCTTTAGGAGGAAGGAAATGGGTTCCACGTAATACAGAGTTAAGACAGGTCATTGTCGTAAAATTACAAGAATCCAAAGAAACCTGACATAAGTGAGTTTGTGTCATATAGTCTCTGACACATTTGTTTCTGTTACTATGAGCCTCTATTATTGAGTGATGCATAAAAAGAAGAGCGAACGCAGAAAAATAAGATGGAATCTTTCTATTACTATAACCTGGAATAAAAAAAAGTAGAAAGTCCCAGAGACTCGGTTTAAGTTCAAACATTAGGTTTAGTAGTTTGACCGTTCAATAATCTTAGACCAAGAAAATGGTTTCTTTGTTAGAATATGGATCTTGGAATCTTGATCAAAGTTCTTTGGAATCTATGAGGTCAAACAATTAAAAGAACAATGGACAAAGGATACAGCTTTATAAAGTTAAAGGACAGAATTAACCAGATCACTAAGTAAAAGCTTTTTAAGGCAAATTCAACGCTAGAAAAGATCAAAGTTCATAAAAATAAAGAATGCAAAACAAAGTTAAAGAAGACATTTTTGACGAAAAATATAACATTTTACGGGTCTTTTCTCAAAGGGAAACCAAATGCTTATGCATAGAGAATATAATGGTGAAGACTTAAAACTAACAATTATCATGGTAAGGTTTTTAAAAGTAGAAAAATTTAGTGAATAATTAAGGGAAATATCTAATTAATAGTAGAATTAGAACACTAAGAAGGGTATCTTTCAACAATAATTGAAAAGTTGAATGCAAAAAAAGCAACAAAGAAAAAGATTGGTCCTTGAAGTGCACTTGACTATTGTCCAAAAACTTTATCCCCCACAGTGGCTCCATTTGGGAGAGTTGATAATTACATTACAACAAATTGCTCATCTTACTTCAACAATACCAAGAAAAACTACACTCAAAAACAAAAGAAGAAATGACAAAAAAAAAGAAAAAAAGAGAGCGAAAGAAACAAAGGCACTATAAACCAGGGAAAGAGACAGAACACATAAAACCCAATCTTAAGCCAGCTATAATGTCACAATCCTGATTAAGATGTAATGATTCGAATTACAAATATATATAGTTGGTTTTGGAGGAGAGACGTCTACCAAGTACCACGTTCCAAATCCTAATCTCACTAGTCATTCTACATCTTCTAATCCCCATTAGCCCTCAAGACATTAACATTCACCACACAAAACAAAATTTCTTTGTTACTCCTATAGTTTTCATAAAGGTCAACATTTTCAAAACTAATTGGCAGATTTTAAGTTGATAGACACAAACATATGAGGGGCCATAGTAGTTGAAAAAACACATCTAATAAGAAACATTTTTTAGGCTTGATTTTTCAGAATCTTTTATGAATAAGTGGGTTATTGTTTAGTCAAAAAAGATAGGAAAACTACAACTAAGAACATTTGATGTGCGTGAAGATCCAAACACTTTTTGGAAAAATAAATTAGTTGGAGATTAAACAAACAATAAAGTAAAACTAGATACAATAAAAAGGTAAATTAAACTAATTTGGGAGTTCCAAGAAAGATTAGCCCTTGGATTTGCTGTCTACCCAGAACACTTTTTTTATAACCACACACAAAGAGATCCGGCGATCCAACGGCGACCCAAAACCGAAAACTCAGACAACCTTATCTTTTTACAAAACCAATTTCAAAACTTAACAACAATCTAAGACGGAAAAATTCAACCTTAGAGATGAAATTCAATGGAACAGAATCAAAACACTCAGATGACGAAACTGTGAAATAAATAAAAAAAAAACCCACACTTTCTAATCAAACGTAAATAGAAAAGCTTAAAACCGATGATTGTGACGAACCAACAATTCATAAATCGGGGAAAAACAGAGATGCAATTGGAGGGGACCGAAAAAAAACAAACCTTTGATGAGGATTTGCTAATGGACCTCGGCAATCGGAGACCAGAGGAGGAAGGAATCGGCGTCGTGGGCCTTGGGACCATCAACGGAGAAAGCGAAACGGTGTCGTCGGATCTTCTTGAGAGAGAAGAAGACTCTTCGAGCGTTTTGGGAACGTAAAGGCACAAGTTTAGACCTAAAGCTAGCTTTGCTTTTCGCCATTTGCTTCCCATTTCTTTTTTGCGGCAACCAAAACCAATAGAAAGGAAAGAAGAACAAAAATCGGAGGAGGTCTTGTCTGAAATTCGATTTGAGAAAATCTTCACCTCTTATCTTCTGTAGACATTAGTTAAGAAGATGGGTTCAAATGAATGAGTTTGCAAATTGCAAAAGTTTTCTTTGTCTGCGCAGAGAGAGGAGGAGAGAGAGACGGTGGGGAAGTTTTTGACCTTTTTTGGGGATGATGGATGGGTTAAGGGTAATTAGGTCAATATTTTTCATTATGAAAACTTGGGATTATACCAAAGTTAAATTTGACCTTTCATATTTTGTTTTTTTTAATATTCTTTTATTGGTCAGATACGACTTTTACTTTGTTCGATATTTTTGTTTACTAAATATAAAAAAAATGTTCTTATCTAGCTAGTAGTAGTACATCTCAATTTGGTTTTGATTTGATTTTCGCCGCTTACTTTCCTGTAATCATCATTTTGATTCAAAAATTCATACTATGACACTGATTTGGTAATTAAATATTTCTATACAATTGACATTAAAATGTTCTGAATATGACATCATATTTCGATAATTTATTACAGTAATTTCCCACACACAAAAAAAAAAGCTGATGGTTGACAACATACTATAGAAATATGATATCATATTTTGGCGTTTTAGTAAATGACTCGCTAAAATAACAATTTTTAAAAAACAACAACGCTAAGGTATGAAATTTTCAGTTAGACAATTTTTGATTTTTATATATTTCCAGTTGTACTTTTCTTTTTCTCCCCTAAGAAGAAGAAAAATTCCTACACAATCTCATTCCATGAATGCATGTACTTTTTTCATTAGAAAACGACTCTGTGTGTTAGTGCTCATTAATTATTTATGTTCAAGAGGAAATAAAAGGATTGAAACTTGTGGCGAAACTTGAAAGGTTTAAGCCGTGGCCGTTGAAGTAGTTGGAAAATTAATCAATGCATGCCCTTATACATACATATGCATTGGTTTGAAGAAGTTCATGTTGACTTTACAAAATTTACCTTAGTTTCCTTATTTACTTTTTTTCTTTTTTTGGTTAACTTGCTTATTTAGTTTGTGTCAGGTAATTTCAGCAGTTAATACAAGTCACACATCTAATATCTTGCATTATACATGACCTTCACTTGCAAAGCTTTTCAAAATTCGTTTCAGCGCAGTAAGTGAAGGTCAGCAGTATGATCATCTCTCATCAACTTGAATGAAAATGAGTATTTTATGATTAAAAATACATATTGTTTTGGACACTCTTCGTTCCACAAGTAAGAGCTCTTTGAATGGAATTTAATAGACTGTCACAGAATGATGGTTCACCAACTTCTAACCACTGCTCTGGATCGAGGAAAAAGAAAGTACATATACTTGTATAACAACAAAAAAATATAAATCCTAACATAAACCTAGATAATTTCTCTAAAGTATAAAAATTTGGAAGTTACTGTAAATCTATATCATTCTTATTTAAATAAGTCTTTCTGCCAATTAATGTACCAAAATGTATTTGAACACAAGAAGGATACTGCCTAGTGAGTAGTGACATTAGTTGGTATGTTATGAAAGCTATTCATAATAGTCATTGTCTTAAATATACAATTAAACTATTTAAATTATGTTTTGTGAGGGTATGGGTATGTCATATGCGTGGGGATGTGTGCATAGATTTATGGAAGTGTAGTAACTCTTTATACCATAGAGGAAATTGATAAGGAAATGCATTAAGTTTGGTTGAAAAAAAGAAGAAAAAGAGAGGAGCTATGAGTTGGGGATAGGAAAAAAAAGGAGGGGACAAAGATAAAGCAAAAACCTTCATAGCCATTAATTAGAACCCATTCATTAGGTGGAGAATATTGAAATTGTGTAGTCTATTACAGGGTGTCAACCATCATAAGAATTTTTTTTTTTTGGTTTTTGAGAAACCAAATATCTCATGGAGAAAATCATTTTTGAATAAACAAAATATCTCATATTTCACATGTTGGATGTTGCTTCATGAGTAAAATTTTAAGAAGTCCTTTCATTTAGAGATTTAAGCTAGCATTAACACATGTAGAGATCTAATATAAAAATAAGAATAAGAATAAGTCATGTCATGTCATGTTCTCTTAGAAGTATCCTTGGGCTTTCTAATGGTAAGTTTGAGTTACACAAGCCTTTAAGTTAGAGACTGTGTAGCTAGCTGTTGATTTTGAAGAACTTAAGAAAGTAATTTGCTCTATGAGATTCACTTTCGAAGTTGCAACTTTTCTTTGGCATTGTTACATGTACTTGTCACAGTGGATAAAAGTGGTGGAATAATTCGTCTATATCGAGTTTGGATGAAAGATGTTAGATATGAATTATGATGCTTTGTTTGTTAATACAAATACCAATGCTTTGCTGTATACAACGAAGCCAAGATTGCGATATGTTAAAAGAAAAAAGACAAACAGAACACTTGCACCCACCAGAAGTTAATCTCCATAATAAAAGTCCCCCCTAAAAAACGGTCTCATTTATTTGCATCCACGGTATCTTGTGACCCTTCTCATGTCTATTAACTTTGTCCTTTTTTTATTTTTCTATATATTTCACGTATATATATATGGGTGTATATATATATATATATCGGAAATATATGCTCATAACTTATAAGTTTATTTTAGAATAAGACCAAAAATAATAATATTGATCATAAGACAATAGGTACATTTTCTATAGAACCAAAATCATAATCATAATTAAAACAAAATTTTGTAGCTAAATTTTCTTTATAGTGTAGACAATATTGTAGCTAAGTTAGAGAAATTATCGTTTTTAAATCTCTATCTTTTTTTAATCTCATAGATTATGGATCATAAAACAATATGGACATTTTATATGTTTTTTTCGACAATTCACATAATATTGTTGATTTTGAGATAATACAGACAGCGATGGAGAGAGTGAGACGTCAATGAAAAAAAATGATGAAATTATAAGCACGAGAATGGATTTTGGATAACAGGTCAAAGCTGAAAGTTTCTCATTGGTTTGTGCTAAATCTTCCAACGAGTTCTCATACTTGAACCGCGCCGTTTTGTTTGAACTAAACATATATCCTTGTCGCTTTTTAATTAAAAAATAAGTATATCCCATATGACACCAATCGAAGATACGTGTTGCGATTGATCAGTAATCTTGTTCATTAATCAGATTTTTTTTTACTTTTTTATAGTTTTCTATGCAACATTGTCTACACTCTAAATAAAATAAAAACGATAAAGAATAAAAACCGATGGTCTAGTAATGGTGTTCTAGTGGTGAATGACTTCAAACTATGAATCGAGCTCATCTGTTTTATGCAGATATTTTATCTGAAGTTTAAAAGAAAAAAAAAACTAAATGATTGTAGATGGGGTTTTTCTCATTCTTCTCAACCATTATAGATGGCTTAAATACCGAATATCAGGCATCTAACATGCCTTACCTAATATGATTTCCAGTGTAAATTTATGTTAGAAGAAAAAAAAAACTCAAGGTGTATATATAATGGTTTTTTATTCAAACGAGATGGCACAAGTAACATGTTGAATTCCAAGATAAACGATCTGGTCAACAAAGCAACCTAATATACTATTTTCGGCATGAAATCTGTTGTCAAGGATAACATTTTATTATTAGCAGAAAGATGGTCAAAATCCACTTTTTCACAAGTAATTATTGTTTGAATATGATATATGGCCTAGTAATTTATGATAGCATTATCACTGAATTATCATCTGAATTTATATCTGTATAATGTATATTGTTAGAAAAAACTATTGTTTGTCAGATTAAACAAAAACTTACCAAAATTTCCTACATATTGATAAGACTTCCTATAAATAGTTCCTAAATTCTTTTTTTTTAGGAAGAGAACACAAATATAAGAAGAACCTTGAGAAATAACAAAGAAAGCAATTTCTTAAAGAGATAGGATACAAAATTAGTAAGCCAACGTAAAATTTGCCATAAAATGAGGTTATTTGAATTACCATAATATTATCAGACGTTAATTAATTGAACGTTTAGAGATGGACTAGTGAAAAGCCCAATATCACAAATATCATAAGGGATCTTGTCAACCACCGAGGAATCGTCTGGTCCGGTTGGTAAGTTAAAGCCTAACTGCAAGGCCCATATCAGATTCTATCAGTTTTCATTTGTAACAATATTTGTTTTCAGTCCATCAGTTTTCAATCTTATGGTTATTTTTTTTTATGAACCCTAATCTTATGGCCATTACTCTCTGTTTGACTGAGAAATGTGTTACACTTTTCACAGTTTTGGCTAAATCGTTTATTTATAAAAAACGAATATTGATTAAAAAAAACGAAGATTGATATCAATTTTCACATGTATTGAGAAAAAAAGGATGTAAGATGACCATAAGATGTAATAAAACGATCATGATTAAGCATATAGCCATATACACACGTGATTTACAAACTTTTGTTTTTTGTTTTTACTTTAAACAGAGATATCCACAAGAACAACGAATAAAAAATTAGTAAATTTAAATGGCTAAAAGATACTGAAACTCAAAATCATAAGGGATCTTGTCAACGACCAGAGAGGAAGAAGAAGCTTTGGAATTTTGATTCTTAAAACAATCCACCATTGATTTTCTCAAGGAACCAGAGGTTGTTAATTGGTTGCAAACCCATTTCGCCAGAGATACCATCTCTCCGCCGCTGCCATTCGCCGTTGCCACCACAAAATCGGCGGCGTGTTTCACAAGAAGCTCCGGCAAGATTACCCGTTTAGCCGCCGTAACCACCACCGAGGCTTGCAGATACTCCATTTTCGATTTCTCTAGCTCCGTTGTCACTCCTTCTCCAGTGTATATCCTCACCTTCAGTTTTATAGATTTAAAATCTCTATTATCTCTATCAAGTGCTTGAAATAGTGAATAAAAAAATAGTATAAAACTGCTCAATTGACCATATAATGTAATAGATTTGCTTAACAAAAAGTGAAGTAATAAGTCTAACTTACGGCAGGAGAAGATCGAGTTCCGCAAGAGAGAGCAAATGTGATGTTAGGGTCCATTGCATCTACGCCGTATAGTTTACGAATGATCATTTCTTCGTGCCGATCCTACGATTATATATAAGCATACTTAGCAAATTATAATGATTAATAATCAGATTAGTATAAAGAATATCATCGCGGGGATAGCTCAGTTGGGAGAGCGTCAGACTGAAGATCTGAAGGTCGCGTGTTCGATCCACGCTCACCGCAACTTTTTTTTTTTTTTTTTGGTAAAAAAAAAATATGATGAAAATCATTGTAATGATATGTACCTGAGTCATGGTAGAATTTGTAGGCTTCCTAAGAATACAATGCTCTATGGTATGAGCACTTATGTTTTTGCCTCCAACATTCATTGTAGCCTAAAATTAATTAATACTTTGATTATTGCAAAATTTAAAATCGTACATTTGAATAATATGGAGTTCACTGCCGTAAAAAAAATAAGAAGAATATGGAGTTGACTTATTTTGTTTATTTTAGAAAGGAAAAGAAATAGCATACCTTATTGTAAACAAGAGATTGTAATTTCTCAGTTGTTTTTGGAACTCCATGTTGTAGATATCCCTGTGCATACACGAAAGTAATCAATGAACATACGTTGAGTATATACATAAATATGAAAATGGTTTTGTAATTAAAAAGAACAAAATAACAAGTCTTTTTTTGTAATCAATGAGAATATATACATGCATGACACATGCATTGAACATGTTGATCCAAAATGCTAGCTTTTGTTGATGGCTCAACACTCTCAGATCCACTGTCTCAAGATTGTTCATCAACACCCTGCATTATGTTCATTGCGATATATATTTAGCTGATTCATCAATGTAATTCACATTTTCTCACAATGATTTATCTCAAAATTAATTTACCTGAGTTTCCGGATCAAAGAAACCGAGCTAGAGCTCGAAATGCACTTGGAATCCATAGAACTTGAAGTGAAGATGACAAGATTCTTGTACGGACCAATGTCTCTAGCCAAAGATGCTTCTACATCAAATATTCCATATGGATCTTGCTGTCTTGATTCTTTACAGGACACAAGATTCATGGATTTAGACAAACCCGAGGTTGCGTTGTCGACCCTAAAGCTTCTTGAGCTCACAGAGAAAGGAGTTGATCTCGAGATGGGACCAGATTTCTCTAGCTCCATGACTCTTGTGGTTCTAAGGAGACGAACGTAGATGAAGTTGAGACACTTCATGATGTTCTCGGCAAGTTTGTTTGGGTGCCACTTCTGTACGTTTTGTCCATCTTCCATCAAAAGTGTACTTGATAGAGATTTTGGTGGGAGGTCTAGTGATGTATCAAGTGCTACACGATCCTTATTAAGCTGCAAAAAATCATATATAACCATACATTATGAGTAAACTGAACGATGCAAATGATAAAAATCATTTATAAAAACGCACCTTGGGAGAGGAGTATCTAGGTTCACGTAGAGGCGAAGGCGATTTCATCGTCCTAATCATCTTCTTCATATTAATACTCTCTTGCAACTTATTTTCTTGTTGAACTGATCGATGATTTTCCTTCTCGAATACTGTTCCAACTCTTTCCTTAGATTTGTGGAAGCTTTCAGTCGCGTAATCGGCTTTTATGGCTTTATTGATGAAATGCAATGTCTTTGTATTAAATGTTGTATTCTCTTGATGATGACTAGTAGAAGATTTGGTGTTGCTGTTTTCATTCTTCATCGTGGCTTTGTTCACCATAGGGCTTGGAGGTGGGAGATTATGGTATTTTTGTAATACCGGAGCTTGAAGAGAAGTTGTATTGTCATCATGATTGTAACTCTCACTAGTTTGCCATGCTCTTCTTGATGAACTTGTTGTTGCTTGTCTCAATGTTTCATCTTGTTCTTGCTTGAGATTTATCTGGAGATGGCTTATTTGAATCTCTAGTCTCGAGATTTCTCCTTCCACTATCGATAGTTCCGTTATTAGTTCCTTCATCTGCATGGAAAAATAGTGTAAGGTAATTTTTTAAAGGTTTTACCGTATTTAATTTTGGCGATATATTTAACGCTTTTGGTTCAAGTTTTAACATTAAAACCGAAAAAACAAATGATCGATAGTTTACCTGAACAGTGTCTTTGTTTATAGTTATGTCTTTGTCCCGTAAGGGGATCTAACAAATTTGTTTGCTTTAGAAAACTATTAATTAAAGTTTGTAATTTTTGGTAGAGCTGAGTCTTTGTTTAAAAGCAACGTTACCAGAAATATGTGTATGATGTTATTATCATCACATATTATAAAATATTGCTGCTTTTTTACTCTATCCAAACTTTGGAAACTTTATTACTCTGTCCGTTGCACACGTATACGTATAATTATAATAAAAGAAAAATACGTACCTTAGGAGGAAGAGAAGAAGGAAGAGAAATGGAAGAGGAAGAAGAAGGAAGTTGATGTTTTTGTACTCTCTCCAATATCTCACGTGTCTTTTCTTCTTGATCCAGCATCTCCCGTAACATCCACACCTAATATTATTAATTAATACACATTTTTTTTAAACTAATTAGTAATTACCATAATACAAACCTCAATTTCAATGAATTAAGAACTCTGTATTTTTAACAAATGATCATTATTTTACAAATGTAGATATACCACAAGATAAAATTGAACCGCAAACTTGATTGGATACCTATAATACTTTGATCAATGTATATATTTAAAAAATCTATATTTATAACAACATCCCTTGATGTTTGCCTAGACATAAACATAAATAGGTAAGCTGTTTATAATGGATTCCCATACCTCTTTCTCTATCTCTTCTTTTTTCTGCTGCCCATTTAGCTTTTTCGTCCTCTATACAAATCACAATTTTCCAGGGAAAAAAAAGAAAAAAAAAATCAACAAAGGAAAAACATATATAGATTCTTCTTTCACAATGTGAGAAACAGAAGATTCCCAACTTACTCACAACACAGACATGGTTTTTTTTTACATACAACAATGGAGTCATGCAGAAAGAATTGATGATATGATCAGATTAATGTGAATGAATGCTATGCTCAATTCATTTTCATAGGATTGGTTTTATATTTGAAAAATTAAGAGGTTTATGACGGTTTATAACTCTTTTAATCCAAAGAACAATAATAGAACGAAGAAAGAAAATACTCACGACACTATGTGGGACATTGAAGGGAGAAGAAGAGCCAGGGAGAGTTGTAGTGGGCATGGCTAAGATGGAGCAGTCGTCGTGAGGACTAGACCACCGATGCGAAGATGGAGCAGTGAGGCAGAAGCGGAAGGAAGAGTGGTTGAGACAAGGAGGGAGGTAATGGTAATGAAGGAGGTTAATAGAAGAAGAATGTGACATTGAGCTAGATTGGCTTAGGCTTCAAGATGAAGAAGATAGCGATCGTGAGGGTTTGGTGGAGGAAGACGAGAAGCTGTTTTCGTAGCTGATGCTCTTAACCGTCCTTGAGAGAGAGTGGTGGGTAGTGGGATGTTTTTATTTTTATATATATAATATTGATTCCCATTTTACTCTTATGATTTTATCGTTAGAGTACACGGTGGATTATGATTTAGGCTCACTAATCATTATGAACAAAATGCATTATCTATAATTGTAGAATTAACGTGGAAGCAAAAAGAAGAAGATTTTAATTGGATAACCATTTCCATTTTTTTATTAAGAAAATTATATATTTGATTTTATGATTTGAAAATGCATACACTATTTCCATATACATATAACTGTTTGTAAATTCTCCCAACATAATAGAAATGCTGCCTAAACCGTGTCAAGAAATAGAAAAATAATAATCAAATTACTCAGATTCTGTTTCTTATGTATAAATTACAGAATTTTAATGATATTTGTATGATTTTATCAAATGATAACAACGTATGGTAACCAAACTTTTTGGTATCATTGTATTTACATTTATACAGTGCCGCACTTGAACATTGTCATTACCAAATTTGGATGCAGTAGTAGAAATCAATATCGTTGAACTGACGATAAAAGGGTTTGAACAAATTTGTCTTTCCAACACTATATATAAATCATTAAACTTAAAAACATGTGTTAACATATATATACCCGACAAAACAGATTTAATTAAAAAACAAAGAAAATATTCATAAAAATAATATATCTAACGAAATTAACCAATATATCCAACTAAATATAGTTAAGAAAATAATAAATATAACTAATATATTATCTTTATTTTTCGTGCTGAACTTGATGTGTAGTAAACAAGACGTCTTGAGATACAATAATATTAATGTCACATTTGATCTTGAGCATAAATTACAATGGGGCTTCTCACGTTATGTGTACCATCATACCATATTAGATGTGCAGACGAAGGCAGTTTTGGGTCAAGATCGTTGCCTGAAACAGTCACCACAAAAGATTGTTTCTCGTTCACCGTTTTAAAAGACAGTGCACTAGGCGAGACCGTGACTTTAAGCTTGGATTCATGATTCAAGACCACCTTTGATTTGTATGTAGAGTTGGGGATACCGACGTTGGTGACGGTTCTGTTAAAAGTCACAGTGAATGAGCCATTAGATTCCGAAAGTTTAGCCGACAATGAAGGATAGTTGAGGTTCCTTGGTAAAGTCTTCTCAGTGCAAGTGACGGCTTCACCGGAAATGAGTTTAACCGTTTTCAAAGTGTAGTTCAAGCCACAAAGAAAGGCGATAAGATCTGCTTTCTCCGTTTTATAGACAAGTCCAGGATTTAGAGCGGATACTGGGTCGACATGTCCAGCCCCATAAGCAAACTCCGTCGAGGTAAAACCAGTTGTAGTAGCATTCATCGGCCAAGCTACAAAGATTAGTTAAACGTATTAAAAACTTTTGAGTCCCCACGAGTCAACAAATGTTTCTTTATCTACAAGAAAGTAAAAGATGGATGTGAATTTAGCTTACCGGTTGTCATGATGGCAGATTTGATCATGGAAGGAGACCATTCGGGATGAAACGTCTTGACGTAAGCTGCCACGCCTGCGACGTGTGGACAAGACATTGAAGTTCCAGAGAGAACAGAATAGTTCACACGTCTTGTGTCTTTATTTGTATTAGACGTTGAAGCCAAAGGTGAATAAGCGGCGAGGATCTCTATTCCTGGTGCTGTTATATCCGGCTGCATTTTCAATCAACCATTGTCTCTCAGCCCGGGAAACAAAAGAGAAACCATGCAAGATCATATATACACATTACCTTAAGAATATCAGCAACAATAAAGTTTGGACCGCGAGAAGAGAAGGAAGTAACTTTAGGAGCTCTCTGATGGAAGATTGCTTCACTTTTTAGAATAGTCGCTTGCGGTGACCTAAGAAAACAAACGCAGGGGATATCAGGACAAATCCGTAGCAAATTGGTACGAAGCAGAGAGAAGATCGTTCGTTTAATTACTTTGTGGAGTTAACGTAAGAGATGAGAGAGTCAAAGTCATGCGGTGAAAGATAAGAGAGAGGATAAGGGCTAACGGAGGCATAGTCTTTTTCTTGTGTAAATATGTATCCAGAAGCTGCTACTTCCGAGTCATTCCCATAATTGCACGCCACGATCTTATCCTTCATCAGAGACTTCTCCCTACATTTAAAAACGTTTTCGTATACAAGTGGCTTTTCTTTCAGATCGAAACCATTCACTGACCTCCCCTGTTAAAGAACACAAAAGAGTCACTGGTAATAATAAAAAAAAGGAGAAAGACTACTAAAATCATAGAAAGGAAAAAACGTTTCCTTGACACTTACGACAAGTGTCTTTCCGCTTCCAAGAACAACTTTGGTGGCAAACTCACGGTTCGTGGTGCTGGCTGCAACGGTGAAGATCCAAGGCGCTACGCTCGTCACTGTTGTTGGCTTCGGACCAAAATTACCTCCTCCTTGCATAGTGAGAATCCCATTTACCATAGCGTGAAAAGCCCCGATCGCCGTTGAGTCTTGGTCGATATCACGCGTAAAATAATACCCTACAGAGATAGTGATGATGTCGACACCGTCTGCAATCGCGTCATCAAAGGCAGCCATCATAGATGCCGAGCTACATCCTGCGAAGCCACATATTTTGTAAGCGGCGATTCTTGCGGCGGGAACACCGCCTCTTACCGTTCCATAGCCGACTCCGAAGAAGCTTGTGTTCTCCACTGCGTTTCCAGCCGCAATGGACGCTGTGTGCGTACCGTGGCCTACGCTGTCCCTAGTGCCTTCTTTTGTGTAGTCTCTTGCTCCAATCAACTTGCTGATACATTTGTAAACATGTTTTAGTAATCAAGATTAGTTCTCGTACTGGTCTATTATTTCTAACTTCGACCAATGGTTGGTTAACAAGAACTAGTACAGAGAGATATTAGGGATGTGTTAAAATGACAAATCTCATGCTATTCATCCATGACTTTCAGAACAATCTTATGAAATCTAGTCTTTTACAAAGAGTGTTTTTATGTAATATTTCGAGAGATTCTAATAAACAATCACAAACTTTTTTTATTCAACCTTAAAATCATCTAAAACTTTATTAAAAGCATAAGATAATATATATATTCTAAAATATAAAGGTTTATTACTTGTTGCATGTGAAATTTGCGCCGCCGGAGCAAACACCTTTCCATTTTTTAGGAGGAGGACCAAAGCCTTTGTCGGAGAAGCTTTCGGATTCCGGCGAGATCCCACCGTCAAAGACTCCGACAATAGTATCACTCTCTACGGCCAAGTTTCGCTTTGTACTCTTTCCTTCCTTTAACCCCATGAAGTCCCAAGACGCCGTCGTTTGGAGTTCGTAGTTTATGTTCGGGAACACAGAAACAACTCCCTCCATTTCTAACAACACAAAAATATTTTTTTTTTCCGGCCAACAAAAAAAAGAGTTTTAATTATCGAAGAACACTAACCGGCTACTCGTTCACGTTCTGACTCAGTGAGTCGGGCCGCGAACCCGTTGAAACTCCTCTTGTAACTTCTCACCAATCGACCTTCGATCAAACTAGAAAGAATATAATACGTATATATCATTTGTTAGAATCGTGATAACGTAGATTACTATAATTATAAGTTATATAACTAAACACCGATAAGAGGATGAGTCAAAATAAATTGCACCTTTCTCCGGTGATTTCTTGAATAATACTTATGTGATTCGACATTGGTGAGTAGTCTGGTCGAGACGGAAGTGAACCCATGTAGACAACATACACCTTCATGGATTATTAACATCATCATTAAATAATTATTATCATGATTTATCACATGGACCGTAAACTTTTAATAAGGAGAAAAAAAAAATTTGATTATGAGAACATGCATACCTGTTTATCCTGAGGATCATCTGTGATTGCTGAGACTGAACTCAAAAACAAGAGAAGGACACATGAGAGGAGGGAAAATGAAGTTGCTTGTAATTTCTCCATTTGATTATAAAATGAATTAAATGTTACTGCAACTTTATTAATTTATGTGGAGTTCGACAGAATTATAAGGACGTTTTTACACCAAGCTACAGTTGTCTTTTTGGTCAACCATTAGAGTTATTTTGCATAGAAACTTTGTTTATCCCTATATTTGACATTCTATTAGCCATAAAATTTCATCTAAATTTATAATAAAATCTGTATAATATAGAACTCTCCAATTTGTTGTCGAATATGAAAATACGACTGCCCACAAAAAGAAATGACTATTTTCTTTTTTAATCTTGAGATCTTATTCTTATCCACATCAGTTCTTAACAGATCATCTTTACCAAACTGAAGCTAACTCTGAACAAGCCCCCAGTGCTGTGTCTAGGTTCAAAGGAGCTTAAGATAAATTTTAAAATTAAAAAATTTTAAGACAGAAATTTATAAATATTATTAACAAAAAGTTACACTAAAATATATTAAAAATAATGCATATCTATGTTTCTTTAAATAAATTAAAAATAATTAAAATGTGTGAAAAATGATAAAAAGATTAATTATTAGTGAAGGAGAAAAATGATTTAAAATTTAGATTTTATTTATTTATTTAGAGTTCTTTTGGTAAAAGCCATAATTTATATATAAAAAATATTACCAAAGAATCGAACTTGGGTTACTATTACTATCACCAATAAAACTATACATAATATTTTTTAAAAAAATTATAAGCTTTTGAAGGTTTATATTTGTTGGGAGTGAGGCAAATGCCTTTTTAATTACACCTGCGAGTCCATAGACAGCATGAGCACATTATAGTAACAAAATGTGCGACATTGTAACAAAATGGGTGTATAATGAGCACATTATATATATAAGATTATTTACACCCATGAGAACTTCTTTGGATTTCTTTTTTAAATTACTATTATAATACAATTAGATTTTATAATTGAATTTAAATTTAAAAAATAAACTTTAACCAATATTTATATGACATGCATGTGTAATATAAGGTTTTTAATTATTTTTATAAAAATTCTCAAAATGAAAACCCCTCTTCACTTCTTTAATAAGAACTCCACTGTGCAGATGCTCTAAGAAGACACTTTGTGAAATCTGAGACCCCCGCACGATCTCTTGCATAAATTATACACTGACCCAACAAGTGGCTCAGTCTTAGAAAAAAAAAGTGGCTCAGTCTTAGAAGACAACTTCTTGACTAAATTACATTTTGGTCTTTCACTTAGATTTCAGTGGGCCTATAAGCTGAGCCCAGTATCTTCTTACTTCACTTTCATTTTTGTTATAGATGATCTATCCATAATTCTCCGTTTTGACCTCGTAATCACACTTTCCCATCATTTAATCATGTTTAAGCCACTGGACAACGAACGACTTGTTGGGCTTATGAAATTTTTGGCCTAGATTCTAATTTTAATTAATGTAATTTTTGTTTATTATAATTTAATATAATATCAAAAAGACAAAAACAAAGTTTGAGAAGGTTATCAGTAAAAATAATGAGAATCACATTCAACCAAAAAAAATAAAATAATAATGAGAATCACAGATGAAGAAAGAATAACAAATTTACTGAATTTATTATTTTTTGGTCACTTATTCATATGTTTCAATTTACTAAGTATGTACCATTCGAAGGTCAAATCCTAAAAAACCTCGCTAAAACCCTCCGTCCGCTGTCGCCTGCTCCGTTCACCGGGAAAATTCTTCCCTTTCTCTCTGTTTTTTGTATCACTCTTCAATGGCGGCTTCCCTTCTTCTCAACCGTATTTCGCGATCAAGCAGCAGCTCAATCTCTCTCCATCGGGTCTCAGGAGCTCTGGGTTTCAATTCCCTTTCTGCTCATGGAACACTCTTTCGAGGTAGCCCTTTTCTGATTCTATTCACTCTCTCTTCTTCTGTAAATAAATATTCCAACTTTGTGACATTTTCGGATTTTCCATCACCGTCTCTTCCCATTTGTTTACCCAAAGTCTTTCTGTGCTGAGTTGAGTGCGATTGTCTATGGTATTAGATCTGATTTTTGTTAAATTTTCGGAACTGTTTCTGTTCTTACTTACTAGGTTAGCTACAACAGCTAGTGACACTACTCCCCGTTAATCAAATGATGTCATGGCTTTTAGATTCTCTGTTCAAGTTGTAAGATGAGAACTTTCTTATATGAGAATCATCTGGTTGAATCTGTAATTACATTTGCTGTTTTGGATCACATAGTGAAGAGTTATTATGCCTGTTGCTCACCTCTGTTCTGTAGCCTACCCAAACTGGAAATTTTAGTTTCCCAAAGGACTCTGTGATTAAGATATGGTGTCGCTTGTGACTGTGTGTAGAGAGGTCACTGGCTACTCTTGCCGAAGGAGCTTCTCATTTTGATGAGATGGTATCTGTGAACCAACGAAAGTATTACCTTCTTGGCGGTAAAGGAGGTGTCGGAAAAACGAGCTGTGCTGCTTCTCTCGCGGTTAAGTTTGCTAGCCACGGTCATCCGACCATCGTGGTTTCAACTGACCCTGCTCACTCCCTCAGTGATTCCTTTTCACAGGTCTCACTCAGCTTCTGATTTGGCTCGAAAGTGTGTGTTTTCAGTTTTCAGTTATCAGCTAATCTCTTTGGTTTTTTTGGGATCCAGGACTTGTCAGGAGGAGTTCTTAAGCCGGTTCAAGGTCTTGATTCTCCGCTTCTTGCTCTCGAGGTGATTGATGAACTACGCGTCTCTCAACACTACTCTATGCTTAGCATATGTTTGCTGAGTTTTGTTGTTCTCATGTTGAAACAGATAACACCTGAGAGAATGAAGGAAGAGATTAAGAGTCAGACGGGTGATAAAAGCGTTAAAAACATGATGGATAGTATGGGGCTAGGAATGTTTGCAGGCGAGGTTTGTATTCTGTTGATTTTCTTAGCCTACGTTATGATTTGGAAACTTCGTTAATGTCTTATATAGATTGTCCATCTTTGGTAGTTAGGGGACTTAAATCTTGAAGATATGCTCAATGCTGCATCACCTGGTATTGACGAAATTGCAGCTATTTCCAAGGCACGTATGTGTTACCTACTCCTGTATTTGGAAATCCCCTGAAGAATGATGAACTTTTTTTTTAATTTACTAATGTTGTTGAGATCTCTTTTCCAGGTTCTTCAGTTTATGGAGTCACCAGAATACAGTAGGTTCACGCGTATAGTTTTCGATACTGCTCCCACGGTTTGTATAATATATTGTAATTTTGTAGTGGTCCTAGAGTATGTGTTGCATTCTGTAAATTCCGAATTATTTCTTGCAGGGACATACTTTGCGGCTTCTTTCTCTGCCCGATTTCTATGATTCATCCATTAGCAAAATAACAAAGGTTTGAGCATTCAGTTTTGGTTTTGCTCCTTTTGGACTACATACAAGGCTTGCAAATTTGATGTGTTTAGCTTACTTGCATCTTAATGAATTGTTTAATTATCCAGCTCAAGAAGAAGATTACTGCAGCAGCTTCAGCCTTTAAGTCGGTCTTTGGTAAAAAGGAGATACAACAACAAGAACCAGTAAGTATAGTTTTTTTTTCTTTTGACTCGATACTTCTTGTTCACCTTTTTTCTATTTCTGAACATTCATGTTTTAACAGTCCAGTGAGCTGGACCAATTGAGAGAGAGAATGGAGAAAGTTCGAAATGTTTTCCGTAATGTGGACACTACTGAGTTTGTCATTGTAACCATCCCAACGGTAACACCATTCTCTTACCTTGGTTCATAAAGATCGTTAATTTACATGTCGTTAGTGAGACACTTAGATTTTATTCTTCGACAGCTTTCTCAAGATCTTAGGGGTTTTATTTGGTTACATACTCACTGGGCTATCATCTTTCCCTTTAGGTTATGGCAATAAACGAGTCTTCGAGGTTACATGCATCTTTAAGAAAAGAAAATGTGCCAGTTCACAGGCTTATTGTTAATCAGCTTCTACCAGAATCTGAATCCGACTGCAAATTTTGCTCCATGAGACGAAAGGTAACGTTGTTTAACTCTGTGCAAGCAAAAGCTATACTGAATTTGAATCAGTTTGGTAATTCCGATAGACATAGTCATTTTATGTACCTTCAATGTGATATGATATATTTCAGGAACAAACGCGCGTGCTCGGAATTATTCAGAACGATACAGAACTTTCCGGGTTAAAATTGATCCAGTCCCCATTGCTAGATGCAGAAATAAGAGGGGTTCCAGCACTTAAGTTCATGGGTGATCTCATTTGGAAATAAGAAAACTAGTTTTAGCTTTTCATTTTACAGCGCATAACAATAAGTTAAATGCTTCTGCTGTCCTAAGATATATGAAAAATTTAGATGATGAGAGGAAAACAACTTACAGTACAATGTTATTAACTTTGAGCCAAGAAAGTAATAAAGTTCTTGAAGGTTTTCTCTTTACTTCTTCTATGTACTTCTACACGATTACTTGGTGTATAATAAACGGAATCGATAACAAACAGGTGATGATCTATGTCATATCTAAAGCAAAAGAAAAATATACAACATGAAGAATTACAGGTAGGGAAATCTTAAATCTCTGTTGATGGAACTACCTATGAACAGCGTACCGGGCTATGATCTGCTCTATGTCCTCTATTGATTCTTCCAGTATAGGGAAGAAATTGGTTTTTTTTTTGAGTTTTCCCGAGATTTGCAGGTACAGAAGGAAGAGGTTACGGGAAGCTAGAAGCTACTTCTTTTGGAAAGTTACCATACAAAAGAAGGCTGCACAGCGGCTCAAGATACCGGTTAGAGTTAGGAAGATGAGGCAACGAGGGAAGTGCTTGATGTTGTATCCATTCTCCATCAGTGATCCACAGCGAGTGATAAGCCAGACTCCTTTATACCTGAAATATTATACGGAAGAGTAATCAAGATGCAGAGATGTGCGTTGCAATGGAGTTTTATAACAGGGAGAGGATAAAGTTTGCATACCTTTGAGCGTTTGACACCACAAATGCTTCGAGAGCCCATCTCGTGTAGCACAGCTTTGAGATTGCATCTACGATTTTGTTGTCGTTGGTACTGGTGGCAATTAGAGTCAGAACCACTGGAAGCAACACTGACCACTGCACAAAGACAAAAAAAAGAGAAAGATGTGAGACAAAGGTTTCTACTTTTTGAGTCTTTGCTTCTATCATTAGTATTGGACACTTACCAGTTGAGCTGGACCAGGTTCGAAAAGTATGGCCAGGGCATAAGCTATGCCAGTCACACAGTAGACAAGACAGATTAGGACAATGTAATTGTCTGTGACGGTTGATCTTGGATTGTTGAAGAAGTAGAACATGGAGAGATAAACAAGCGGCTTGACAATGGTGTTGAAGTGATCAACTGTGTCTTTTGCTAAGAAGTAAGCTAAGCTGCTCATTCCGGCTCGGCTTTCTCTCCAGTAATGTAGTTTATCCAGAGAGAATGATCTCAATGCAGTAATCTTACACAACAGAGCTGTAAGAAAAGAGAAAAATTAGGTAAAAAAGGTTAGAAGAAAGAAGCCATTTGTTGCAGAAGAGCTTGAGAAAGTTTCTACTTACAAACAGCAATGACTGTGTATGTATATCCCATGGCACCAAACGTTTCATCGCTCACTTTCGCAAGCGTTCCTAAGCAGATACCAGCAAGCAAAAGTATAAGGTAATCTACAGCTAGTGTCCTTGCTTCTCGCAGTCTTTGTTTACCTAACCTGCAAAGCACACAGATTGAGTTTTATGAAAAGGATTCTCTGAAAAAATCAACTGATTTTGCAAACTTTTTGAGGGGAGTTTTACCTTCCTAAGAAGTATCTGAATTGCTGATACACACCGGGGACTTCTCTTTCAGACAAGTCACCTGAACTACTGAAGTTGTTCTGCAAGTTATCTTTCTTGATTTCAACATTTGCCTTGACATCTTGCCAAAACTCTCCAGCGAAAGATGTTCCGTCATCTCCAACAACGCTCCCGTGAGCGCTTCCTCCATGAGCAGAGTTCTCTGCAGAAGCAGAAGAAGCCATCCCTTCAATGCTTTTAAGCATGTCCATAGGCACTGGATACCCGTTGTGAAGCATCCACCTAACCGGAAGCTGCTTATAGGTTACACCCGAGCTTGTGCTTGGCTTTAATATGCCTTCCAATATATCAATGTAGTAATCAGGAGGATTCACACGCTCAGGGACAACGATCCCGAGGCTCGAGAAGTATTCTTCAACTTTCTTGACTGATCCTTGGTAACATATCAGTCCACCTTTGGCCAGAAGTATTAGATCATCAAACATCCGAAACAGAGTGTAGCTGCAGAGAGACAAAAGGATAAAATGAGAAAGAGAAAAAAAATCGAATCCTCTGTTTCAGTACTTAGCCATATGGGAGAGTATATTATGTTGAACCTGGGTTGATGGACAACCATACAGATGTTTACTCCTTCAAGAGCTTCACGGCGTAAAGCTCTGAGAAGTAACTGAGAAGACGAACTGTCAAGACCTGAGGTTGGTTCATCTAATATAAGAAGTGATGGTTCCATCACCATTTCAAGACCCACGTTGACTCTTTTCCTCTGACCACCAGAGATTCCTCTCTTTTCCACAGTCCCAACAAGAGAGTCTCGGACATGTTGCAGACCTAGTGACTCAATCACTCTTTCTACAACCAAAACCTTTTCAGGCTTTGGAAGATCCGCAGGGAGCCTGTAAAATATGGATCATGCATAAGTTCTCTAAAAACTTGAGTTTCATCAACCAAAATGTTGGTTGGCTTACCTGCATCTTGCGCTGAACCAGAGATTCTCCTCCACTGTCAAGTTTCCATGGACAATGTCATCTTGAGGCACAAAGCCAATGATTTTCTTGTAGGATTGAATTGATTCAACCTTGCCGTTTACAAGAATCATTCCAGTCATGGTGCAACCTGGTGCTTTGCCTGTCAAAGCTGTTAGGAAAGTGGTCTTCCCGGCTCCTGAAGGACCCATCACGGCGGAAACACGTCCAGGTGATAGTTTCCCTGTCACACATCTCAGAAGATGTTTGTTTTTACCTTTCAAAGTAATCGAAAGGTCTTTAAAAGCGACTTCAATGGTAGGCCTCTTTCTTATATCGATGTCATTAGCCATGGAGATGACTCCAGAGAAAGTCAAGTTCTTGTTCTGCTCCTGCATCGCCTTCTCCTTTTCGATCTGGCCATAAGCGTACCTGAACATCTGGCTCTGCGTGTGCAAGGACTTGCCTTTTGGAGCATGCTTTTTAATGTTTTTATCACCAATCTCAAGGTTAAACCCTTCAGTGTCTTCAGGGTTCTGCTCAATGTCGTGTAACATCTCTGTTAGTTTGTTCTTTTCCTTCTTCTTCCCCTTTTTCGTGTCTGAGCTGCCTCCTGGCATTGGAGGCAAAGCAGCGTCTGATCCAGGCTTCGCTTGGCTGAGACCTCTCATCAAATCTGGCTGTCTCATAGATTTCCTCCTAGAGAATGTTCTGGAGAACGATTGTTGCAGGTCGGTCGCATGCTTCTTTGCAATATCTTTAGCGGATTTCCACTTCTCTCGAGACTGCGAATCGCGCACGCTCTGTACTGCCTTTTCCCTGGATTTCGCTTGCCTTCTTTCTCTCGTCGCAAGTACTTGATCAGAGCAGTTGTATAAGATTATGAGCAAGAAACCTAGTCCAGCCTACGTAGAAACAAGCCAGAAGACTCGAATGATGTTTTTGTATATATAAACCAACAGATACATGTAGAGAGAGATTAAACACTCACAAAGAGCATGATTCCATAAGCTGTGATGTTCTGATTTGTTGATCTTGGATTGCATGTTGCCAACTTAAAACAATCTGCAAATTCATCAGAGAAAAGAGAATGTAAGTTCTGTGTTTGCTATGTTGTTTGAACAAAAGAGGATCTCACTCACTTAGTTCAGCAGTAGAACCTGTCCTGCAGTAATGTCTGAAGCAAACAAAAGATTAGTTTAGCTGATCAGAGAAAAGCTGGAATCACCAAAGAAAGTTATTAAGTTACCCTTTACTACAAGGAAGCTTGTCGATAGTGGAAGGACAAAAAGATCCAGCTGAACAGAAAACTTCACTGCTACTAACAATATCAGCCCAAATATCAGCTCCACCACATGTGTGATTTGGCTGTCCAGAAGGAAGCTGGTAATGATATCTGCAATAACAATATAGCCCTGTTACTAATCTTCACCTAAATGTTCAAAACAGAACTTAGAAAAATGAAGCCGAGAAAAAAAAAACAAGACTTACGGGTCGCATAACCCTGTTGTTCTGTTAAGCTTAGCTTCTGGACAATAAGCTCCCAAAGGACAAGCTTCACAAACCATTTTGAGGGATAACAAGATTAGAAAACGGATTAACATTTCAATCGTCTTTTAAAATGGTTAACTTACGTATCATGCAGGTAATGCCACGAGGGCAGAAGAAACCTGCGCAGCAAGGCGCGCATTGCTGAGTTCTTTCGGGGACGTTTTTGTCGTCTTTAAGGTCAACTTTGACTTCTTTAGCAGTGCGACAAGCCCATCCAGGTTCACATCCAGACATCCATGAAGATAGATTGCAGTTCTTGTTTGGTTTCAAGTAGTTCGTAGCTCTCTTTGCACCTCCTAATAATCCATTGAAGTATATCCTCACTTCTGCAGCCGTACATATCCTCTGCATCATGTCACCTGCTCTCATACCAAATACATCAACAATTATTATTTTTGTATCAATAATGAATTTTCTTCTGAAACGTATTAGTGAAACAGAGAGATAGATGATAATTTACCTTTTGTGGTTTTACCACATGCGTTTAAGAAGCCTGGCTTTGTAGAGAAATTAAACGCTTCATTATAATCTTCTTTTCTGCAACACACATTGATTGGTTTTATTTTGGGGTTTGACAAGTAAAAATGTAAGAAGACCATTTTGTTTTTATTATACTAACACATTGGTAATGCAGAAACCGAGTTCTCGTTTAATGTCATCTTCAAAAACTTCTGTGAGATTCGATATTTTGTCAAAGACGAATTGGTTATAGAGGCGATTCGCCGCGGGATTATCCAGGCTTCTATCTTCTTGACAGATTACTCCTTGATGAAAAACAAAAGCAAGAGAAACGAAGAACGAAACAAAAGTTTCTTGAAAACGTAATACATTTCTCCTTCCCATCCCTGGAAATTTTCCGGAAAAAGGGAGAAAAAAAATACAATGTTGCAGAGAATTATTCTGGAGATCGGGATGGATCAACGAGACATTAGATTATTGATTTGTTCTT